CAATTAGAAAGGGAGCTTGATTATTGGAAATAATAGATGTCCATATTGGCTGATGAGAGCCAAACGGGCATTAACTCCTATACTTTTACAGCAGACAACACTCATAGCAATAATCCATGCATACAAACATATCATTTGTGAACTTCTATTCTTTTCCAGATTTAGTGCCCTTCTGCCTTTCAACGGATCATGTGGCTTAATGTGGCCCTTTAATAAATTAAGTCTCTAGGGTTTTTCATCAACTTGGCAATCTTTGGTATTGTGCCAATGGTGAGGGTGCCAAGCCTTGACTACTCATAGTTAGTTTTGTTTCTATTTTAAGACGACTCTTTCATGATAAAATTAGAAAAAATGATGAGTACCATTGAATAATCTGGAACATAATATTTTCCCCTGCTTTTAATGTATGTGGATACAATGACATATACTGATGACTTTATATTTACTCTTTTTTTTTCCTTCCATTCTTTAATAGAAATTGAAAGTAAAATTATTTAGTATCTATTGTGCATTCACAAATTTGTTTTCACTGGTGTGACCAAGAGAAAGTAGGTATCTACATGAATTCATTTTATTGTTAGAGAATACAATGTTAGAGAATGGAATGTAAGACAATGAATATAAAGCTGTGAGCAAATGAAAACTAAATATAATTAATTTAGGAGATACAAATGGACATTAAAAATGATATCCATCAAAAATTGTCCCATCATCAACTTAATGAGTATTAGTTACTTCCCAAAAGATGATTACAAGAGTGGAGAAGTGAATGGAGAGGTGTTGAATTTGATCCCAAGCAGTGTTTGTTCTGAACTAAATAATAATTAAAACAATTGAAAAACAAACTTATTTCAATTGTTTTAATTATTATTTGTATATCACCCTGATGGAGGATTATTAACATTAACATTAAATTATTTGATCTATAAATATATATATATATATATATATATATATATATATATATATATATATATATATTTCTTTTATATCAACAAGCAGCATTTATATATATCATAGTATAAAGCAAAGTATGAAAGCAATAAATGAGACGTGGAGTGACTGCCATTATGAATTAAAGCACACAATTTATTAACATAAATTGAATAACATCTTCAAAGAAAGATTAATTTCTTTCACAAACAACAAATACTTGAACAAGCAGAAGACTAAAATATAGCTTGAAAGTCAGATTTTAATGCCATTTCTTGATAAACCCTGATAGCATTTTTACGATACAAGTTATTTTCCCAAATCGAAAGGGACTTCATGCCCCAGTCACATCCACGAGACAGACCACAGACTCTACAAAACTTTACATTACACAGAATGGAAAAAAAATTGATCGGTTTGGTTTTGGTTTGATGGTGTGACTGAGATCTTAGGGATTAGGGGAGAAATCTGGGAGGCAATGGAAAGGTGTTTATATAAAGAAAGGCTCAAATGTTAATTTAAGGGGGGGGGGGGGCTGAAACACAAATACACACACCCAGCACCAGCCCCAGAAAAAGAAATCACTCTGGAACCCCAATGTCAGAATCTAAGAAAGAGGACTTCTCAGGACCATAAGAAAAAAAAATGTGTGGAGCCCTTTGTAAAGGAAACACAGTACCCTGATCTAATAAAATGCTTGATACAATCAGGGAGGTGAGACTCTAAATCAAGGGATCACTTGAACGATTCTAAGCCACAATTCCACACAGCAAAAGATCATTTTAAATATCTCCCAAAATAAGAAAGAATAAGACATCCCCTTGATATTATTACAAGCTTGAGAGTACATACATGTATTAGCTGACATGTTAATAATAATTATAGAGTGGGAGCTGTACTGAAAAATGCAGGCATGGATGTTTTGAGATATAATTCTTGTATTTCAGTACTACCAATTATTTACAAATTAATCATGAGTAATACACACACTCAAAACAAATATATAAAGAGTTTAGACAACCACTTTATCAAATTTCTTTGTTGTTCTTTTGCTACAACAGCCTGTATGAGATTTTATTTTCATTCATTTATATACATGAAGATTGATGCATTATGATCTTAAAGGTACTATGTCCCTTTTGCAGCCAACCTCAAGTGCTGTAGAACTTTGCAGGAATTATGAATATGTCATGTATGTCCTATCTGTGAAATTTAAACGTTAGCAGTGTCCTCATATTCAAATTATGCAAGGAAACCCGTTTACTTGCTAAACTTCACTGTCAGACACTATTGAGTGAGTGACTGGCTTTTTTTCTTCTTTGGTAATAACATACATGAAAAGAGTTGTAAAGGGTACATGAGCATTTGTCTACTTCAATAACCCACTTCTTGTGATGGCCAAGATTAAACTGATTGAATCTTTGCGCAGCATAAAACGTATGACCATTCAGTACAATTGTCTGAAAATCAAGACTATTACTTTTGGGCTCTATAGCCCAAAAGTCAATTTGACAACTAATAGTCGTTGTTTACCCACTTGAAGACATTTTCAAGCCCCACCTTTTTAGGGAAGTTCTAAATTAGTATTATCTTTCAAATGCAGTTGGAATTTAACTTTTTCATTTTTTGGGCCTGCAAATGGGACATAGTACCTTTAAAGAGAAATTGAGAATACCTGCATTTAAAGTGATAGTTATTTTTCAGCTAAACATTAATGATCATTTTTTACTCCATTTAGTTTCCCAAAGGCAATACCAAAACTCATCAAGATACAAAGAGCAATCTTGCCATTACTTTTTAATCTGTACACATAAAAATTAATCAAAATCTTTCAGAACCACATTTGTTCTTTGGGAACCACATCTGCACAATATCTATCATTTCATACTCCTGTACACATTCATGCAAATTTCAGAATTTCATCCCTAAAATGACTATCCCCACTCATCATTTCTAATATAGAAATCTTGGAGGTCATTTTGCTTTGTTCATGAAAAAGATCTCGAGCCAGAACTCCTGCCTATGCCAAACTACCTACCTTGTAGGAAATATTGTATTTTCTTAAAACCCTTATGAAGTTTTAAATCACACTGTCAAAGTAAAACTTCTTTTGTTCATTGTGTTGGACAAAAGAACAACATTTAATTAAAAGGTGAATCAGTTATAATTCAATTACTACCTCATTAAACCATCTTCGGGGACCCTGTTCTTTAAAAGAGAATGATATGTCCCAAGAAGACAATCAAGCTTAATCCCTCAATTAATTGCAGATCTTTGATAAATATGAGCCATTGTATTCATTCAGCCAAATTTGGAGTTAAGCAACATACCTATGCAACAATGAGCGAGTGTAGAATAAAACAATCAACTGATTATAATATGTATATTTTCATGTTCTTCATGACTCATTACTCTACATGCTTACAGACATTTGTACTGAGCACAGAGATCAAAAGGAATGTGGAAAATGGAAGAAAAAAACTCTGCTATTCAGAAACTACTTTTCAATGTCTTTTGTTTTTCACATTGGATGAATTATTTAATTAAGTAATCAAATATTGTTTGATTGTGATTTTTTTTGTAATGCAAAGAACAATAAACATGTGAATTGAATATTAACCCAACACTTCATAAAAAACAACAACAAACTAACAAACAATCATTATCAATCAGAAAATGCTTATCATCAATGCACATTCATAAGTTATATTATGAAACCAATTACCGTTTATTAAAAAGAAAGTTATATGAACAGCACCACTGCATTCACTCAATGCAAATACCTGAATAATGTCAATTATAAAATTAATGAACACAAAATTCTTTATTTTGTTACATTAAGACATGTGCTTCATGAAGGGGGGAGGGGGGGGGGGGTTAGGGGGCACTTGGATATTGTTAGGGTATGAAAGAGACCCATGCAAATCAAAATCAAAACCGTTCACAAGGGACTTTACACTGCATTGACACTGTGAAGAACACTCACATTTCAATATTGTTTTGTATGCGCATGTTTGAGCACAAGTACCATCTATTATGATTACGGCAATGCAAATGGAAATGATTTGAAAACGAACAATGTGCATTGGGAAGTCCTTGGCCCCCTTTTCACACTAGCAGTGCCCCACCCCACCCACCCCCCCCCCCCCAATGTTCACTCATATGGGGGCAAAATGGAAATGCATGTATGTTGACAAATAATTAGCAAATACATGAAGCACACATAGGGTATATGAGCTACCACCTTTAATAGAGTCAGAATTTTATACAAAGGTCACATAATTATGCAGCGACCATGGAAATTAGTAATACAAATACAGCTTTAGAAAATGACATGTACAGCTTCGTACGCACGACTGAACATGTCATGATACAATGAGAAATGGAAAACAGTCTAAACACAAGCTTTAGATAGTGCCATAGCATACTGAGAGAGAGAGTTGTGACACAAGCACGTGTACGCAGTCAAGGTTCGCTTCATGGAGCTTCAAATGATTCCCTCCCACATACAATCTCTATTGGAAGGGGGAGCGCTCCATGAAATGAACTTTGAGCACCTATACGTGCACATGTCACAACTATGTTGATCAATGAGCTATGATTAGTGCCATACAGGTACATGTCTTAAATACAAGCATGAGTCACCCATACCTATGAAATCAGAATAATACAATGATGAGGTATATGTGTGAACTGTGAAGGCATATGACTTATTGTTCTTTAATTAAGTCTTTGGCAACAAAACATGGATGACTGTACATTGTTAATCCCCTGGAAATTGTCAGTGCTTCATTGCCTGAACACGCGAACAAGCAAATCAAACAAAGGAAGTTTATTAAAACTCATTAAGCCCTGCTTGTACTATAACCATGGACCTACTACATAACTAGGGTCAGGAGTAGAAAACAACATTATGAACATGACTGACAAAGAAAGCGGACAAAATATACAGTTCCTCAGGTACACAAAGGAACATCCCTTCACTGCTATTATGTAAAAATGTGTAGAACAGGTGTCACATACATATTCACCTTTTTACATAATAGCAGTGAAGGGATGTTCCTTTATCTACCTGAGGAACTGTATATTTTGTCCGCTTTCTTTGTCCGACATTTTCATAGTGCAATCAAGTCATTTCCATTACTTTTTTTTGATGACCATACCACCTTCAAAATATTCTTTCCTTTCTGAGAATGTCTGACAGATTTGGATAAAGGATGTCAAATTGTAAAAAGGGAACAAAGAGGGAACAAAGAAGACTTCAAATATGTTACCCTTTAGCCCCAAAACAGATGTAACTACATGTAGGTCATCAAAATACTCTTTAAAATCAAATGATCTTTTGAGGTAATAATATGACAATCAAGGTTAATAAAGCTTGGTCAAAATAAGAATACACTGTCACTGGACAAGGGAGATCTATTCAATACATAAACAGTATTAGAAACATGAAATGGACATAAAATATACTGCTTCTTAGCCATTCATTATAGGTAAGCTGAATTTAAATATTTGGCTTAAATAAAAGTTGAATGTCTGAGACAAAAGGGAAAGTTTATTGTTAGTTTCTAGTTCCTATCTTATTATGAAAGACTGAATTCCAGATTCTGTTTTGTTTGAGAAAAACAAAAGAAAAAAAGAAAAAAAGAAAAAATATCGAGGTAATTTGGAAAAAACTGTGCCAATAAGGTTCCCTTTCTACAAGGTATCGAGGTCCCCTAGATTGTATGTGGAACAGAGCATAAAGTATAGGGAACGGATACGTCTATTGAATTCTCTGAAAAACATACGCAAGGAATATCCGGACATCCAAATTCTTTGCGTTTCAAAGCCCGATGGTTCCCTGCTTGTGCACGATCCCTTCCGCTCTACAATACAGACAAAAGGAATATATATTTGTACATGTAATCTGGGGGTTTCTGGGGTTGCAAAGAGCCAAATATTTTATTGGTTTTTATTGGTTCTTGTTAAATTATTATTGGTTTACCACGTTTTACTGGTTTATGAATAAACTCTTGTATACAGTTTGCAAATGACTTCGACTTTTAAATAACTAATATGTCTTATCAGAATCAAGTTTGTTAATGCATTGGAAAGATCAAAGATTGATTGGATGATGCACAAGGAAAGTTGTAATAACCTACCAGTAATTCCCCATTTTGCTTAACAGCAGTCAATATCACCCTGTGATGCATGTGCTTTGGAAATAGAGCGGATGTTTACAACTATGAACTCTTCATAAATTCTACATAAATTGTCTTCCGGTTACATACACATAGTATGTACTTTTATCCTACTGTTTAAACACAAGCTGGGAATCTGATTGACTTATTACAGTTACAATCATCCGCTTTTCCCCAATGATATGACTCAAACAGTAGAAACTAAATGGAGTTTGATTGGAAACGGTATATGAAAGGGGTCCTTAGCCCTATTATCCATTTCTTCTGTATTAGTTTGTGTGGCCATATCTCTTTGAGTGGGTTCGGGTTCAGGTTCAGGTTCGGGTTCGACCTCGGGTTCTGGGTCAATTTTGATGATATTCATCTTTTTGTTACAACACAGAATGGACCAGAATGGAATACAGAGTGGTGTAGATGAGATATTTTAAACAAAGTCAATTTGATACCGCATGCCACATAAAATGTAATACAATGACAGAAGTAACAAATTTTTTAAACAGTATTGCATGCCATAAGTATATGAACACATATATTGAATAAATCATTGATATATGACGAACATGTAATAAATACGACAATAGTTACATGGAAGATCGATTAATGACCACAGCACAACAACGCAAAGAAGGTTATGTTTTACAAGGGTATGTAACAGTTAAACCACGTAGAACATGCACATTAAGTATTGTTATTTCCACAACGGAGAGTTAAGGTTAACAATCACAGTTAACAATCACAGGTTTAATCATGATTCCATATAATTATTAGGATTAAAGTACCATTAGGCATACATGTAGGATATAGGTGGAGAGTAATATTGTTAAAGGAGAATAGACAGATGTTTAAGGAGAGTAGACAGACGTTGGTGGTACACGCACACACCATGAAGTGACCCATCACCATAAGATGAGATCCGTTTGAAGAGGTGGTGAAACGAAAATGAGGCGTTTTCCAGCAAAACAGCACACGTGAAGAATGAGAAAATGGTATAAAGAGATACATGGTACATTATTAGCTGACTGTAACACAAATGTGAAGAGTGATTTGATAAAGAAAATATTATTGATTGATATTTGAGAAATGGAATTAGTCTATGAAGTAACATATTGTTATATGATTTGTTAAGAGCCAGAAAGGCATTAACTTATACATGATGTATGTTGATGATTGATATACTGATTCAAGTTAAACCAGAGCCTGGGTCAAAGGTCACATTTGACATAGGAAATCTTAGACCCTTATTTTTGGAAAAAAAGTTCAAGCCCAACGTCAGTTTTAAAACTAAGTAGAATTTGGATCATTGAGCCAACACCCTTCCGAATCCAAACAGTCGATAAGGGCCTACACATTGTGTGCTAAGTGGAGACTCCATACAAGTACTTTCATCCTATAACAAATTTCAGGGTGACGAGAAATATGAAAGCTTAATTCATGTTGACAGTAAGTAGTGGCTACATTTTCAGAGCTTGTGTAGGTGTACTGTAATGCCAATGTAATCAATATATGTCAGACCCTGAATTAAGGAGTATTAGCTGACAAGTGTCTGTGGCACAGACTACACGTAAATGTGTACAAGAAGTAAATTCACTTTTTTAAAATAAATATTTAAGATAATTATATTTCCCTTTTGTTCCAATCATGCAATATGTAATCTATGAGGATGCATGCATTCCGCAATTAGAACCCTAAAGGCTTGTTCAGATATGGCTCTGTAAACTAACGCCAAAAAGAAAAGAAACAAAAAACTCGCAACATTTTTTGTGTGGTAAAATGATCGGCAACTGCGCAACAAAGGTCCTACGCATTCTTACAGAGCTCTGTGTTATACGATAAAGAAATGTGAGGAAAATTACACTTTATGTCATAATTTTTTTTCAGCGCAGCGGTTTGGCTAGGTCATATCTGAACGACTCTTTAGAAAGCCTGACTGATTATATGAGGACATGATGCACAATGTTACATATTCATGCCACAGGCCACATGCAAAGGGTTAGATTATGCGGTATTAAATGAGTAAATGAAAGCAACCAAACGGTTTAAAAGACGCAGAGTTTTTGGTTTTTGTTTTGTTCAAATAGTGATAGCTTTGAATATGTGCACATGGGGGGGGGGGGGGGTGGGATGAGTAATAGATACACTGTTATTTTCTGTGGAGGGAGGTTAACCAATATTCAGGCAATATGTTGTTCTTGTTTCTTTTTCTTTACTTTCCTTTCTTATTCTCCTATTTTTATTCTTGTTCTCCTCCTTCATTTTCTCCTGTTCCCTTTTCCCCTTCTTCTTCATCTTCTTCCTACACCTTTTTTTTTTTTTTTTAATTTTTTTTAACTTAATTTCCTTTACCATATTTATCTATTAAAATTTAAACTCTAAACTTATATCCTACTACTCCACAGTATTATCCTAATAACAATAATATCAATTTTTGAAACAGTCTAAATATATGCAATATGTTTTTGAATCTATATTTCCAAATGTATTTTAAACGTTTGTACAAATGTATTTATGTCATTTTTAAAAAGGAATATTTGTAAAATCATCGCAATTCGGCTATGCCGCAATGATGTTTTTTCATTAATAAACCAGTTATCTATTTTTCTTTTAATATACCGCTAGAAAGACAAGACAGTATCATTTCATTCATGTACCTTCTGTTTTAACACTGATATTCAAGCATCAGAAGGCAGTTCGAATATATTACTTTGCATTAGTTGTTGCTATGTCAGACAATCCCCTGGCAAGCTCAGAGATAGTCAGTAGTTACCACTATTAAAGTATAAAATTCAAATACATAATGTGAACTAGTCACCTAAAAGGAACAGCTTAAAGTGTTTTTTTAAAGTGACTACATTACTGGTACCCTGTTTACACAATCGTAAGATAAAAGATCTGATAAAATTGCCAAAGTCCCTGGCACTCCCTATCTTCAGCCTGAATCGCCGGCCATGAAGAGCTGGCCTTCACTTCAAGACTACACACATATAGTGACAAGTAGCAAGCGGCAATTTTTAAATTGATTACATTAATTAGGCTCACTTTCAAAAAATAAGAACACATGACATACAATGTACAAGAACAGACACTTTACAACTTTAGCATTAGTTTAATATAAGTTAAGTCATTTTAGTGTCACATATTGACCCCCAAAAAGGAGCTTACTTGTTAGTAGCCCTCATCGTTAAAAGGCAACATCAATGTACATGTATAAGTAGGCTTCAATATACATCAAATTTCACTTTGAAGTACTGCTCTTAAATAACAACTGAAGTTTAAATTACTCACATGTAAAATATATACATCATCATGTAAATGAAGTTATTGATTCTCTATATACAGTACGAAGCAATAATCTGGATATCATTAATAATAAAAAATTAGTAAAGATTTTTACTTTACCGTGGAAAAATATATTTACAAGATCTACATGCCTATGTCATAGGGTCCAGACCATTCCCACATGAAATTTAACTAATTACTAGGGTAACAAAAGTGCCAATTACAATCTACTCCACAATGAAACCACAATTTGATTGAATCAGTGCTAATACAAACCAGTCATCGTGAACAGAACTCTTAGAGTTAGAGTGCACTTAAAAACAAGATTCAGGGATGCCAGTTAGAATAGATCAGAGGGTCTGAAAACAACCTAAAATGAGCTATTTTGTACACAAAAAAGTCTAAACTCTGGCCTGAAAACTGGCATCCCTGAAGATTTGGTACAATGACTCTTTTCATTTTGCAGAGGAGATGATGATGATGAAGAACATTGATAGAAGATGTATGGAAGGAAAAACACAAATATGAAGAATTGGAAGTATGAAGCGAAAAGGAAAGCGATGGGTCCACTGGCCCTCTTAAATGGACTACTCAACAACCAACCTGCATCTCTTCATCAGGTGACTGTGTAAAAGGTTCATCCTGATGATAGTAAGCAGGAAATAAAGAGGAAATGGACAAAATAAAAGCAAAATGAAATCATGGTTTTCATGGTTATATATCAATCATACACAGGACATCTATCAATTTGCATATATAATGGTGATAATTTGTTTCTTTTCATTTTTAAATGTACTGCTTTTTGCAACAAATAAAGAGCTTCATGAGAATACCTGGGACTAATTAAAAATGACTTTAAGAAAAAATAGCATGATTACATGTATACTGATATCAAATTCTGAAACAGCAACAATTTTATTCCAAATTTTTTTCCTTGAAGTTGAAGAACTTTCTCTTCATATAATGTACATGTATGTGCGCAATGTTTTTTGGAAAATAGGATTGCCTCTTTAAAGTCACATATGTATGTCAAGCAGGTTGTTTTATGGTGTAACAGCCTCTCAAGGTGTAACAGCATCCCCCTAAAAACTCTGGTTATTGCAAGTCATAAATCTGCAGGTTTACTCATACACTGCACTGTTCAATAGTTAATGTACACAAAGCCCCCCCCCCCCCCAAAGGACGTACAGAAAGGGGGTTTCCCCCTACATTACACCTACAAGTAGATACATAACATATCATCAAATTTACACTTATTAGGGGATTTCCCTCTCCCCTTCCCTTACCCCAACCTGTCCTGCATTACATTACCACAAAGGCGAAGATCTCCTGTCAATTCAATTACTCACAGGAAAGGGGACCCAGCTCCCCCTCCCCCCCCCCCCCACACACACACACACGATCATCCTGCTGTATCCTTTCCCACAATTAAATATCATTTTTTGAGAAGCAGAAGGGAATTAACTCTGTATTAAGTGATATGATTAATGTTCTTCTGGCTCTCAGCAGACGATATTATCTTTTTTGACGGGAAGGGGATTCCGGCCATTAAATCCTATTGCAGCAAAATATAAATCTACGGGTAGCAATTTTTCTTAAAGAAAACCGCAACAGCCATAATGCCTCATCAATTTGTTATGCCTTCTGTGTTTAACTTATTCAACACACAGTGCAGTTTACACTGCAGACAGCATATATCTATGGAAAACTGTGAGATCTTTGAAGCAAAAATGCCATCACGTTTTAGTCAATTTTTTTGAAGTTCAAGTCATTGGAACCATAAATTCATTACTTTGTCCTCCTTCTTCATTGAACTCATTGAGTGATTTCAAGTTGGGTGTTTAAGGCTGGTGTTAGTGTTTAATAAACACTAACACCAGCCTAAACACCGAAATGGAAATCAGCTGGTGTTAAGGCTTTGACCTCTGAATATCCTCAACTTCCGGTAGCTAGTGTTATCGATTTTGCAAAATTGTCGTCTGCTGAACCGACCTTTGTGGCTGGTGTTAATATTTTATGTACAAATGTCCTATTCACTAACACTAGCCCCTAGGGATTAAGCAAATGTTGATTTCCAGTTCGGTGTTAGTGTTGTATCCGCACACAGTCAACGCACAAACGACGCCAATTTATTGTCTGACGATCAAATAAGAATATGTGAAACAGGTAATTCATATATTCTTATGTGTAAAATGAGTTATTTTATAAGACCAGAGAAATAGGTGTAAATTTATTCTGTACTTTTCATGATATCTTTAGTTTTGATGTACTATTTTTAAATCATCGTCGTGAAATCAAGTATGTGGTGACGTCACAGCTGGTGTTAAGCTATCGATTTTGAAATCGGTATCGGCTCTTAATTTCATCAGTAAATTTTCCGCTCGATTTAAGAGCTCTTGACTGCTCTAAACACTAACACTAACACTAACACCCAACTTGAAATCACTCAATGTCACCGCTTGGTATTTTGTACATCTTTTGTACATGTTTTCTACATGTTTCGTACATGAACTCCAACACTGACTTGATACAAAGCGCTTTGCTTATAGTCGAAAAGAAGCTACATAAAATCGCAACTGTTATTTTATCATTATCATTATCTTTATTATCAAGAAACCTCAGAATAATAATTAATCATGGATCATTGATCAAGAGGGGGGAAAAACATTATCTTTATGCTATTGAAGCAGAAGTTAGTCTTTACCATGACAATGTCTGTCAGAAAACCTTTGATGCATATTTAAAAAGAATAGTCCCAAATTACCCATCGGAGAGACATGATTTCATGACCTAGTTGTGTTCAAACAAATGTTTTATTTGTGGATCTCCTCCCAAGCGGATGACGCTACATGTGAACACACCTTGGTAATTGGGAGGAAGGGGATGGCTGAAAATAAGAGGCAAGTTTTCAGCTGGACAATGTGTCATCCTGACTTTAACAAGGAGAGGAAACTTGGCTTGTTACCAACGAGGCACGCGAGGTCTTCACTTCTAAACAAAGTCCTCTCCTCTATAGAGCTTTAAAGATAAAGACCGGTTCTGGTCATGCGATTGCATTGTGAAAGAAACAGTGTGGAATCGATCAGAAAACGTTGATCATCTAGCATATAAGTATTGGTGTGTACTGCGAGTTTCTGGAATCATCAAAATGATATTTGGCAGAGTCGTGGTAAAGTTACCAGCATTGTACACAGAAAGATGTATATGCGACTACACGAAAATCCATCCCGATTTGTATGCTGTTACATGCCATATTTAGAATATTAAGGCATTTGAAGAGCCATGCTTTTCAGGGAACATTTTTTATCTGATATTCTTCCACACTTGCATAATAAGAATCATAACGCTCACAAATTATTTTTCACCTCCGTCCCAGAACTCAACCTTCTCTTTAAAGCTGTTTTGGTTGCTAACAGTAATTGAAATCAAACTGTGTCGAGTGGACTGGATGTGGGTTTATTGCGGATATAACGAGAGGAAACCGGCTCCTGTCTCGCTTTGTTTATATGCCTTACTGCAGCCCTTAAATCAATCTTACACATGTACAAGGTTCCATGCACTTCATAAAGGGGTGATTCAATGCAATATGTCCCGACAACATACATGTGTGTCTTTTGTTCATATTAATTCCATATAAAAATAGAAAATATCTCTACATGACCATGGAATAATAGTAAAGATTTCATTAATATTAAAAGACTTAAAATTTTTGATCAAATAAACAGATGTACAATGTATTCCTGATGGGAGTTTGAAGAATCCAGAACCACGAAAGGAAGCATTTAACACACTGAAAAGCTGCCAAAGCCAAATTAACCAGCGAATACGCTGTGTTGACACAAGGAAAAATATAATAACCTAACTACTTTCTTTTTTGGACAATGAAATTCCTTGATTATTCCAATTATTGTAATTTTTCTCATATTCCCTGACATTTGCCTGACTGGAAAAAAGGGAGCGTATTTTCAGGTTTTCCCTAATTTCCAGGACAGCTACAAGTACGTGTAGGAAGCTGGTCATACTACCCAAAATATTATTCTGCCAAAAATATCACTCTAAGTCTGCATTTTAGACACATGATATTCAAGACTTTGGTTTTGGTAGTAATTTCTTTCTGGGTGGTGATCTGAACTTTGCTCCTGCTACAATTGCTCTGAGCTTTCATCCCCATCTTCATCATTTATTAAAGTCATAATTTTCTGCTTATGAGGAGTTACTTACTTTCGCGCCATTACGACACTCCCTCCCTCCCTCAACATCTTCTTGTCTCGAGCATCCTCCTCATTTTTAGACCAACCTTACTGCTATCTTTCTTCACCATATTTTCCCATGATATCTTTGGTCTTCCTTTCCCTCCCTCTTAATATGCCATCCACTTCCAGATCCATCTTCCCTTCTCACCACATGACCCATCAATCTCAAGCCACGTTTCTTTACCCCTTCCACCATAGTTTCTTCCAGACCCAACCTTCATATGAGCTCACTTGTGTGAAGTACACCTGTGTTCAAAGACTGACAAGAATCTATCAGACCTTTTTTCTTGTAAATTGTTAAAAGACTAATAAGCATTTTAATAGTAAATTTATAAAAATCATTTAACCCACACTATTTTATTTTGGTACAACTGTAAGTTGTTCAAAGAAGAAAAAAAAACATTTCATGAGAACTTTTTTTCTTCTGTTACAGTGTAAGTGGTTCTAAGACTATTTTATGAGACCATTTTTCTTCTGGTACAGTGCAAGTGGTTCTAAGACTATTTTATGAGACCATTTTTCTTCTGTTACAGTGTAAGTGGTTCTAAGACTATTTTATGAGACCATTTTTCTTCTGGTACAGTGCAAGTGGTTCTAAGACTATTTTATGAGACCGTTTTTCTTCTGGTACAGTGTAAGTGGTTCTAAGACTATTTTATGAGACCATTTTTTCTTCTGGTACAGTGCAAGTGGTTCTAAGACTATTTTATGAGACCATTTTTCTTCTGGTACAGTGCAAGTGGTTCTAAGACTATTTTATGAGACCATTTTTCTTCTGTTACAGTGTAAGTGGTTCTAAGACTATTTTATGAGACCATTTTTCTTCTGGTACAGTGCAAGTGGTTCTAAGACTATTTTATGAGACCGTTTTTCTTCTGGTACAGTGTAAGTGGTTCTAAGACTATTTTATGAGACCATTTTTTCTTCTGGTACAGTGCAAGTGGTTCTAAGACTATTTTATGAGACCGTTTTTCTTCTGGTACAGTGCAAGTGGTTCTAAGACTATTTTATGAGACCGTTTTTCTTCTGGTACAGTGCAAGTGGTTCTAAGACTATTTTATGAGACCGTTTTTCTTGTGAATTGTTCAAAGACTAATGAATTTCTGAACATTTCAATAGTAAATTTCTAATAATCATTTCTTCAATTACTTCAGTTCCCTCTTTCGAGTTCAAGGACCTTAGTTTGTTCCGTAATTTCCAAACATGACTTTAGACATCACATGTATCACCCTGATGTTTTTTTTGTAATTGCACCCTTTGTGCATTATGAATCCAACGTAACACACAACTACCCAGTCAGGACATGCATCTGATTTAACACACACCAGATTGTGTGAGGAATCATTTAAACAATCACACTTATACAACCTATTAAACTTTGACATCTTCAGGTAGCTCGCACATAAATGCATTTTTCTGTATTTTCTATTTCCATACCAGCCTTCTGCTTTATCTCTTGTTTTATCCATTTAATTTTTTTTTTTATACTGTTGATGGTTGATTGACAAACTTTATGAAAACGAAGGTGGTCCAGATTTACCGCACATTGGCTCTATGTGATTAAGATAGCACGATTGCAAGCATTGTTCTACATGTGTCATTCTATAGGCATACCAGTCCATTCCATTTTAGCTACATGTACGTGACACATGCACAGGTATTGGGGAATAAAAGCGCTTTGATTATGATATCAAAAGGTGCTTGAAGTGCCATCTACATGTAGATAATGCAATTATTCTGCGATTGTTTCTTATTAAAGTAGATACCATGCACACAGGTCACGAGTGGGTTGGTTCATGTTCGCTTCACAGCAAAGGGTTTCAATTTCATTGTCTTAGTTTTGGCCCCAATCCAACAAAATACCAAGAGTTGTTCGTTCTTTCTTATAAAGATGTAACATTGATTATTAATTCCACATTATGTCATACAAGGCCAAGAGAGTTGCAAAGCATGGAATGAATAAAAAAAAATATAATTATTATTATCGCAAACTCTTGAATCTTTCCAGTGATTTGGCCTCACGCCCACAAAATAAAAAAGTTGTTTGTTCGTTCTTTATAAAGTTGTGACATTGAGTATGAATTCCACATTATGTCATACAAAGCCGAGGGAGTTGCAAAGTATGGAATGAATAACAACATTTTTTAAATTAATTATTTTTATTGCACCCTCTTTGTGTACACAGCTTTCTCTGTGCACAGTTTTCTCTGTACAGCTTTCTCTTTGTGTACACAGCTTACTCTGTGTACACAGCTTTCCTGTGATTTGGCCCCACGCCCAAAAAATAAAGAGTTTTTTTGTCTTTTCTCATTGAGTTGTGAAATTGAAATGAATTCAACATCAGATGTTGATTACAGGCACCTTTTTAGTAAAGCTCAACATGACAATATAAAGCAAATACAGACTCTTATTTCCTTGTGGGCCTTGTACCTTAACCCCTCCATATTACCAAGGAACCCATTTTCAATTCTATTCTATTCTATTTTATTCCAGCTGACCTCTCACAGCCAGCAGTCCAACATTCACCCTACAGTTCAAAGGTTAACCCTTTCCCTTTGAGATTCTGATATTCCCATAGACTTTGTGCACAGAGCACCCGGTTCCGTACGCAGAGGGTTAAACCATGCATCATGCAGACAGTGCAAGTTAGTCCACTAGCAAGTGAGGGGAAAGTTCAAGGTTCAAAGGTCAAAGTTCAATCAAATACGCACCTCCAGGTCGTTGACTTCCATCTGCAGCTGCGACATGGTCTGGGCACTCTTGCTGTTTCCTGCTGCGATACGCCGTGTGGCACTGCAGCATTTGTTTGTATCTGAGCAGGCATCAGTGGGACAAGGTATTACACAGTTCTCCTTCGAGCTTTCTCTCATCTGGTGAAAACATGTAATGAAAATATATTTTTTTAAATTATAGAATTTAATGATAATTATGAAAAAACATTTGTAAGGAATCAAATCAACATGAGCAATGTGCCCTTGATTCGTTGGGGAGGATATATGTCCATGTAAGTAAGGCCACGGCTATACTGATGGAACAACATATAGCATGAAGGTACATGTACATGTAAGTCTGTAGCACAATCTAGCATAATTCTTAATGAGTTTTGGAAATGGAAGAAATGTGTCCTGAGCAAGAGCAAATCAATTAAATATGTGTCATATACATACAACGATGCCCGTCTGGATCCAAATAGGCCTAGATGAAATGGTATTGGAGGTTGGATGTCATGTGATTAATTTACATAATTATTCACAAAATTATTAAAGACAGCAGGCATTTAATATACTTCAGGTGGCAAAAGTAGAGGGTAACCACTTTTTTTACAAATAAAATAAAATAGTCTTCATGTAGTTTGATATATATACATGTATTTTGAGCATCAAGATTGCACTACATGTATGTCACGTTCCAGTACCTTTGTATCATCCACCACAGATACACTGTACATGTTTGTATAACAAACGTCATGTATCGGTAGACATTTATTTGATAAGTGGTCTTATCAACAGTACGCAATGGTATTAAATTGCATTCAAGGGACATGTTCCAATTTCATCAAAGTTCAAATGAGAGTTGGTAAACTGCCAATGAACCTACAAGTATGGGTTAAAAACAAAAAGAATGCTTTTTGTACGAAAAGGAATTTTCTTCTTAAAGTTTCTGTGTTTACCATCTGGTTAAAAAATTACACTTTTTAAAAACTCATATACATGTATATTGGTTCAATCTAGCTGTCGATAATTATACTTTAAAACATTTTTGGATCAGAGACCCCCCCCCCCCCCCCTCCCCCCGAAAAAAAAAAAAAAAAAAAATCTCATCGACAAGGCTTTGTAAAAATATTTTTGATTAACAATTAATCATTATACAAAAGTAACTTGATCACAAATCATGATACAGTGCTTTATAATTTATAATAATATTTCTAGTAGTCATATCTACACTCTTATTTCCATGGCGTCAAATATCACTCTAAATGGCGTCAGCTGGGAGTCAACTATATTCCTAGTTAAAGTGACACGGATTCCGAATCAATTTGACTCGGATTGTGTGGCATCAGCTGAGAATTGACTCAATTCAGAGTCAAGTTGACTCCTTTTCCGTGTCACTTTAACTAGGAATAGAGTTGACTCCCAGCTGACGCCATTTGGAGTGAAATTTGACGCTGTGGAAATAAAAGTGTAGACAAAACTAGTTGTCATGTATCATTTCACCTTTCTCAAGTTTTCAAAGGGTTACCATCATCAGACAATGAAAAACAGTGCAAGGACAGTTGCACACACTATCAATTTAACTATTTGTACACCATGGCCCGTCTTACAAAGAGTTACGATTGATCCAAATCAATCGCAAGCTTGCAGTCTCTTATCTCTTATGTACATAGTTGCGGTTGCTATCAGCTCTTTGTAAGACGGGGCCCAGGACTTTGCATCAATGTCGACTTAACAATGACAAGCCTGTTATTGTCTGTCAATGCTAACAATGTATAAAGCTCTGCAAACACTAATTAATCTTCACGTTTTGTTTGTAATATTCTGAAAATTATGAATGCTATATCAATCCATAAATCACCCAATCTGATCTCAATACAAAGGTACATACACATGTACATGTTTATACTCTAGTTGGATATTGCCTTTATTAGAAAAGGGAGTTGTTTTTTCCATTTACGAATCAAACGGAAATGTACATGTATTTGAGGGGATTCCCTTTTTTATATGGTTTCAGCCTTTTCATATGGTTTCAGCCTTAATATCTTAAATCATTGATGGATTTCTAAAGACAAATCATTGATATTTAGACATTTGACAATGACATCAATATACATAAGCTGTTTAATTTTGTTAGTGTTTTCTTGTTATTTCTAGGACTATGAATCAAAAGCTCTTGTACCAAGAGCCCCCCCCCCAAAAAAAAAAAAAAAAAAAAACACACACAACAACAACAACAACAACAAGATAATTGTTGTATTATGAATCAAATTGATTATATCAAACCTCCACAATCAGATCTTTATCTTTTCTGTGCCTTTGAATTACGTTGTAATGTCATCATCATAATCATAATTGTCATAATCATCATTACCATTATCATCAGCCTAATCACCAAGACCACCTTCACCATCTCACGATCATCATCATCACCATCATCACAACCACCACCCTCATCACTACCACCACCACCATCCTCATCTTTCTGGGTCACAGCACATTTTTAGGAGAACTTACAGATATAGACTCTGGTTGAATTAAATGGTGTGAATTAAATTACATTACTGTTCCTTAAAATGTGACTAGTAGATTTCATGAATCTTCATCAACACCATCAACATCATCAACATCATCATCATCTTTCATTGGCTGTAGAACATTTTGGAAGAACTTACACAAATAAACTCTGGTTGAATTAAATGGTGCAAATCAAATTACATTACTGTTCTTTAAAATGTGACAAGTAGATTTCATCAATTATCATCAATATCATCAACGTCATCATCATCTTTCATTGGCTGTAGAACATTTTGGAAGAACTTACACAAATAAACTCTGGTTGAATTGTAGTGCTATGGATTCCCTCTTGGTGAAGTATTTTTGTGGCCTGTTCAATAACCTTTCCATACTCCTCTAACGATGAAACACTGATGTGCAGCGTGGCGATGAGTTTGGAACCTGTTAACTGCCATACGTGGAACTCATGAATGTTGTCGATATAGCTACACTGTAAATGGAAAAGTGCAATAATATATACATGTAGTCTTAATTAATTTAATTTAATTATAATTTTTTAATTAGTTTATTAATTTCCATAAAAATCACATTACAAGAACATTTACATTTGCAAAAGGTACATGTACTGTAAATAGTCATAAACAACCAAGATAGTTACATAGATTGGAATTGATTTTTTACAATTTTTAATTATAACATCTTTGAGGCTATGTTTCCACAGCTTTCAAGTGATTTTCTCACTATCGATTGATTTAAAGTTTTGAGATAATTTCTTTTTCCTGTATTAAAATGTGAGACGTTTAAATTCTACAAAGTACAGTACATGTACATGCACATCAAGAAAATGCCTGCTTCTGTGACATTTAAAACTTTTAAACTAATACCCTTTTCTAACTGCACTCTATCGGAGTCACACCGATGAAAATACCGATTGAATTTTCCTTATGTAAACAAAGGTGAAACCGCAGTTTTCCCCTTGTTGCTTTCTAACTGCCGGTGAAATTCACTCGCTGTGGCGAGCCCTTGCCGGAAGTGAAGAATTATTGCGTAATTATTAAGCCCGCGCTCCATCTAGCTAGCATGCAGCATGTTCAACCATAAGTCAACAAACACAGCTGGTTTTGATAAAGCGCGCGTATACTGCGACCTTTGACCATTTTAATCGCTGTTTTAATCGCCTTTTTCTCCCGAACGTTTTGTAACTGGCAATTTCATCGGTGTCACACCGATAGAATGAGAATTTAATCGCCTATTTCTCTTCTTTTCATCGGCTATTTAATCGCCTTTTTCTCCTCTGTTGCTTTCTAACTGGCACTTTCATCGGATGCGTCCGGATGCATTCGATGAAAATCAGTGCAGTTAGAAAAGGGTATAATATGTAAGGGCTTTCCACTTTATCTGTTGTTTTGAGGTAATGGAAGGCTTCTACAAAATCTCATTAAATAACAAAATACAGAATTTCAATGGGAAATAACAATGCACATTATGTAAAACAGTACTGATGTTTGGGCTGAACTATTTTGTTACAATTCTATTTTTACAGCGCTACTACATTTTATGTAAATAGAATATGCTCATTACACAAGTTGCATTATGTTGTAAGAATTTACCTCTTCTCGTAGTTTCTTGTCAATATCTTCAATATCAATGCCAGTAGGTATAGACTGCAACAGGATCATGCTAGACTGTTTAACTGCACAGATAAAGAAGTTGTTGATACCATTAAAGTAGAGACTTGAAGATGATTCACAACTAATAATTATGGACAAATGATATAGACTATGGATGGAAAGATATTCTCTTGAAAAGCACAAATAATTTGCTGAAAAATCATATAGATATCATGAAAAGGCGTAAGGTTGTTTTTAACAATCTGAAAGCTTGTCAGAGGCTTTCCGACATAGCAACAAGTAATGTATGCAGATTAGATTCCAAGTATTGTAGTTCATTCATTCATTAATAACAGGTTAATTGAATAAATCATCACTAGGGCCCAAGGAAAGAAACATCCATTAATCTGACTATGTTTATAGTAAATGGGTCTCTTAAAGCCCATCTGTACTAGTTTGGCTAGGAGAGATTAGACCACCCAGGAAGTCACTGACAAGTGGCTATCTCATCAACTTAGCTCCCAATTAACATTGAAAAAGAGGATGATGGGGGACCAATGATCACCGATTAGGCATTGTTTTCTATATAAAGGGAGCAAGTACATGTAGCTACAAGTAGTACAGTGGGCCTTTAATTCATACAGAGTACAAGACACTACACTTACATAACACCACATGATACTTACATAATGGCCACGTTGTGGTGCTAATGATTATAACAATAAGAATACTGAGTACAGGATCCACGCAGAACACCCAATCACCGTCGGCAAACATGACTACGAGGGCACTGATTATAACCACCACCGAACCTAGGGCGTCGCCAAGAACGTGAAGGAAAACGCCTCTCATGTTCAGTTGCTGCGCTGAAGCTGAAATTTCAAAAGAAAAAAATTAATTGAATTTTTTTTCTTTTCCCGGCATTCATTTGACTCTTTTCAAAATGTACTATTGTATTGTATTCAATGATTTTCTTTGTTTTTGCAGATTATAAATAATAATAATAAAATGACTCCCATAATGAATCTCATAATTCACTTTTGTATTCACATGGGTGGGTACAGGTTAACTAAATAAATGAGGCTGAAAAGAGATCCATAAGTGTGTAATCTGAAAAGACCTTCAGTAGGGATTTGGTATTAATGCCTGATACTCAGGGAATTTCTCTAAAACTGGATTCAATCAAGATTTCTCATGGAAATTCTGCCAAATCTAGACTTTACAATCTACCCCTTTCGAATGAACAATCAGCATTAAGCATTTATAACACAAACAAGAAAAAAAAGATAAGGGAGTGGATCAAATCAAATCTGATTTCATATTGATTGTCTGATATATAGTTCCTGGTACCAATGATTCCTTGACTCATAGCACTATAGTGTCTCCTTTCAGAGATGTTTTGCTTGCCCTTTGGATCCAGAATGCTAGGAATTACACATTATATACATGTACATGAGCAAAAATGACAGAATTTGTTTAGTCTATTTCAAATTGAATACGTTGTGTTGTTCAGAAATAAAGAGTGATGTAACTGTAACTAATCATTAAAGTCTCTAAATTGGCAATGGGATATAAAATATATATTTAAATTTTTTTTTTTTGTGGTACGAATTGGCAATTTTTCAGCTCAATTTCACAGATTTATTTCACATTGGTTCATTAAATCAACCTTTTTTCCAAACTACAAAGGAATGGAAAATGAGATTAATTTGAAGAGAGAAAACTGATAACTTTTGAATATAAGTCAAATCTGAGCTGATACAGTGTATGTGTCAAATGAGAGTACCGTATGGCCTTAAGTCAGAATACAGTATGTATGCATATACAGGTACATGTACTGTACATTAAGTTCAATATCTACATGTACATCATGACAAAATCTTATTTGACAAGACCCTATTATCGCCTATCTTTTCAAAGGTTGTGTTTGAATTGTGTATTATACAAGATATATACACTGTATACAAGTGGCATGCCATTGTCTGAAAACAATCTTATCATTAAGTGTGTTTTTTTAAGAAGAAAAAATCACGCACCTAAAAATGGGAGAGGCCAGTATTACCTTCAAACTATTTCACAACAGATTGTGAAGAAAGAGAGAAAAAAGAGGCTAACCCCTCAAATACTTTAATTGAGAGAAAAATAACTTCTCCCTTCATTGAATATTAAACTATCGGTAAGCAGGAAGTCAAGCAGGAAGTCAAGGTTTCTGACTTCCTTTGTGCCCAGGTAACAAAAGGGCTTTCATGTTAACAGATTGTTTACAATAACATAAATGTATCCGATTTCATGCATGATTCCCGAGTGTTGACCGAAAGAATAATGGGAAAAAAATACAGTATGAACTTCTGAGTTTGATAACGTCATAAATTACATTTGTACCAACTCATGCACACTACATGTACTTCTAATTCAACTTTTATGCTCACATGATAATATGTTCACACTTTTTGTCAGATTCCTTTCATTTCACTAGACAAAAGTCAAGAAACAACATCTAAACTGCCAAACTTTTTTTTCTTCTTCTTTTAATGTAGCATGCATTCCGATGCTTTAAGATGAAGTTGAGTTCTGGTCATGCGATTGCATTGTGAAAGAAACGGAGTGGAATCAACCAGAAAAGGTTGATCATCTAGCATATAATAATTTGTGTGTATTGCAAGGTTCTGGAATCATCAGAATGATAAGAAATTTGGCCAAGTCTTGGTAAAGTTACAAACACTGTACACAGAAAGATGTATATGGGACTACACGAACACGTGGCGTAAAAAACCTACCCCCCGAGTTTTACGATGAACATGACATATTTAGAATATGAAGGCATTTGAAGAGCCATGCTTTTCAGGGAACATGTCTTATCCAATGTTCTTCCATACTTGCATAATAAGAATGATAAAGTTCATAAATTATTTTTCACCTCTTCCCAGAACTCAACCTTCTCTTTAAGAGCAGAGTGCATCTCTGAGATATCTTAAATCAGAGTTTATCACAAGTGAAATGGAATTTGGATCCACGGCTACGATAGAAGGTATTTGTTGTCACCTTGCTTTTATGACTCTTTTTGGTATATTTGTAAATATTCAAAACACACTGAAGTGTTTACATTGAACTTCCTTATCATTGTAACATATATGACATTTCACCTAACCTTCACTGTGCAATTCACACCATTGTCCTACTGTAAGTTGATTTGTGTGAGAGCAGAAAAATAAGTGTAACAAGTAATACACATTTCAAAATATTGACATTGTTGTCATTTATTCTCCCATTATCTCACAGTGCCTTTACCAAATTGGTTCAAGAATTTGAAATTCAAATGTGTATTGTTAGTAATTATTAAAAGCAATCTTAACTTTCTCATTGTTTGTCTCATGTTTCATTTGAATTCATTAATCTGCTTTTTCTAATTTTTCTGCTTTCAACTTGTTTTGAAATAAGGTTGAATTTTCCTGCCAACAGCTTACCTTCATGTTTCCTCTGCTTGAGTTTTCTCTTGGTCTCGCTGTCTGTGACGTCTACTCCAGCTTCCACATCGTTAGCATCTAGCGCCCCCTCCTGTCCCTTGGTTCCGTTAGCGAGAGCTACCCTTTCTTCAGGCTCCTTCACCGATGATGCATGGCTGTGCCCATGGCCTCCACCTCCACCTCCATGGCTATGCCCATGCCCCATACCTTTAAACATTTGAGGGAAAAGGGATACTTATTTTCATTTCATTTCATTTATTTCTACTTCTCATAAAAAACATATAACAATTTACTTACAATATCTGATTAACACAACAAAACAAGAAAATAGCACAACATTATTTAAAGAATTGAGAGTGTAGACCTAGAATTAATACTTGAGGCTGTTGTGGAGCCAGCAAAGGCCATTGACCTATCAAAAAGGGGTTGTTCATATCAGGACTTTTTTATGTACTACATTTATATATAAAGATGATCCAAAAGAAATACTTTGTGCACTTTAAATCTTTAGTGAGGAGAAGACCAGTCTAGTGGTTCACCTGCACATTTAGTAGGGTCTGAAAAGTCTTGGGGATTAAGTCTGTACTTCCTCTCCCATGCACATGTGTTGCAGAATTCATCATAACTATGACAATGTTTATGTTGATGTAGAGGTTGTTGTTGTTATTATTATCGGTGTTTCATTCTAATGAATATGATATCGAACTTTCGATCGCATGGTTCTCGGTTCATGTCCCACCTTTTTGGGGCAAGACATTAATTTCTACCCAGGTGTTAAATGGGGACCTACACTGTAGTAGGATGTGAATGTTTATGTGGTTGGATTGACATGCATGCACTTGTGAAATGGTGCCTGGCTGGAATACTCCCAAAGGAGCCGACTGTGTTCAAGATTATATGCGGATTAGCAACTAAACCTAATGACCGAATTAATAATAATTACTATGTAAAGTAAAGCCCTTTAAAGCGTAGTACTATTAAAGCGCTATACAAATGTGCCTATATATTATCATAATACTTACCGTGTGAACTAAACAGCAAAATTCCTAAAAGGTTGACTGCAAGGCCGACCCCACCAACGATAAGAACCAAGCGAGGGTCTTTGATTTTATCTCCCTGAACAAGGCGCTCAATGGCATCTACTAATATTGTAAAGCACAGGGCGAAGAGAAAGACTGCATTGACAAGGGCTCCAACCACCTCTGCTCGTTGCCAGCCATACGTGTTCTTTGGAGTGTCACGTTTAGCATACTGCAAGGAGGAAACAAAGAATTCGGAAGCAAGAGTATTGACTTATATGTTTGATATTGTACTTCATTCACATAGAGGCTGAATAAAATCATCAACTTAAGGACATTCTGCAGTATCGTTAGTGCGCACCTTAGCTGCACACGATCAGCTACTGATCATGTACATTACTTGTACATGTACAATATGTCAAATACCAGGAACTCAAGTCATTGTACATGGTACATGTAAATTCATATAAAACCAGCTGGCTTTGAGCAGCTAAGGTGCCCACAAACATAATACATTATTATAAAATGGGTAGAAGAATCCCTGCAATCTGATTGGTGTATTAATCTGTAAAATAACAGATTTTAGTGTTTCTGAAGATTTTTTGTTGCCCCATGTTATAAAACAGATGATGCACAGGTTTAATTTGTGGGTCGGCAGAATTGTGTGCACGCGGTACCTTTGAAATTGGTCTGAAACCATTCAAGACAAAGGTACCTTGTGCACACAATTCCTACCGACCCACTCAAACCTGTGCATCATTTGCATGTACAGGGTATGTGCAATATTGTACATGTATGTAAGATGACTCAAGAGGTTCATCTGATTGATGATGGACATTTTAACTTGAAAATTACCTACATGTATAAGGCATTAAGAAAACCTCAAAGGCCCCAAAAACCTCCTACACCTGTACATGTACTAAACCTTGCACATGAGACTGAGCATAGTTTATCAATTATGGGAAGATGAGGCTTATAGCAACATGTTTGTTTGACACAGCTTGACACTAAACAGGTGTCGGGACACATGGGTGCCCTAAATGTACATCTGACACTGTTTTATATGAACTTGATATCAATGACAACTGCCACAGCTCTATGAACAATCTTCTCACAGCAAATCAGATGTACATGTAAGCATTTCAGTAGCTTTATTAACAATTATCTTATTTTGTTATTCATATTTTATATCAAATTTCATGAAAAAGGTACATCACCCCACCCCCTTCCCCTTCAAAATTGTAACAACATTTTACAATTATAACATGTGAACCCTATGATGCAAAAAGGTAGTGTGGTGACATAATGTACAGTAGACTCAATTACTCCCACAATTAATACTGTACATTGTACACATGTTTAAAGTTAACTACATGTACATGTATATGACTTGTATACTACATGTACGACTGACATTGATTGAACAGTACAAAGTTATGCATAAAGTTATATTAAGTACATACACGTATGATGTTGTAAAAATATTTATAGTACTTCAATCTTTGAGACAATATTTGCAGTTTGCACCATTTGATTTGTCACAAAAATCATACAGGAATCTGTGATCTCAGGCAACGACAGAAATAGCTGTTGGAAAAAGGATGTCACGCAACATATACCTGACTTTTATAGTATATCACTTTAAAAATGTTATGTGAACTTTATTTTTCTCCTTTTGTTGTGTGGGAAAATTATTTTCTCACTTGAAATGGCTTCAGCTAAACATTGTGCAACCTAACAATAATATAGAATACATTCAAGTTGTTTGATTTATCTCCCTAAATCCCACTAGAGTTTCTGAATGTTGAAGATCTTCTAATTTAAGTTACAATGTCTCTTATTAATCATTAATTTTAATAACCTTTGAAAAGAGGCGAACCCCCTTTTTTACAGCATGATTTAAGAATAAAGATTAAACAAAGGTAAACAGTTAATTCCTGAGGTACTGTACAAGAAGTGCAGTACATGAAACACAAAGACTCACAGTCATTACAACTCTTGAGCAAGCAAATGAAATCAATGTCAAAAGACAAATTAAATGTTATTTAGTTGACCCTGTACATGTACATGTATGTCTCTACTTTAACATCAGTAAGAGAACACCAACAGATTGGCCAAGTGAATCTCACTTAAGTACCTCAAATCAACCCAAGCTCTTTATGACTAGATTTTGGAATTCACACTAAGATCCTAGGAATCCTTCAAGTCCACCCTCTTCTAGCACGTATACATGAGGCGCGTCTTCATCATCTCGAGATTGCCAAATAGCCTGCTATTTGGGAAATAATCCCGAAGTAACAAATCGTGTCTTCACTATCTCGAGATTCGACCTCGAAACTTGAAACTCGACCTTGAGAAATTAGCTCGAGATATTTTGCTCAGCCTTAGCGTGTATTGCGAATCTTCGGTCTAGTGAAGACGCACGGGACAAATAGCTGGATATTTTGCCAAATAGTAGGATATTTTGCAAACTATCCCAAGATATCTTGGGATATTATCCCGACCAACTATCCAGCTAATTTGCTACTTCGTTCTAATGAAGACGCAATTAGCTGGATAGTTTGCGATCGGGATAGTTCAAATAGCTGGATATTTGGCAATCTCGAGATAGTGAAGACGGGCCTATGTACATGTACATGCGGTTCAATTCAATGGTTTATTCAGTAAAGTGATAAAGATAAGTGAGAGAAAAATAGAGATAAGATCTGTATCACATGCTGTTATCATTATACGGTAAACTTTTTACTGTCTTTTTTAAATGTTCTTTTATCATTCAATCTGTACATGTATACATGTATATATTGTAAAATGTATGTTTTTTTCTTCAGATTTGAAATAAACTTTGAATCTTGAGAGAGATCAATAGTCATACCGAGAGAGAGAGAAAGAGAAAGAGAAAGAGAGAGGGGAGAGAGAAAGAGAGAGGGGAGAGAGAAAGAGAGAGGGGAGAGAGAAAGAGAGAGGGGGAGAGAGAAATAGAGTGGGGGGAAGAGAAAGTGTGTGTGTGTGTGTGTGTGCGTGTGTGTGAGAGAGAGAGAGAGAGAGAGAGAGAGAGAGAGAAGGTGGGAGGAAGAGAGAAAGAAAGTGGGAGGGAGAAGAAAAGGGAGAAGGAAAGACAAAGAGATGAGGGAATGTACAATGTACGATGTGTACATGTACCCGGTGTGAACTTCAGAATTTGTTCAAGTCTACACACGTATAGTATGAATCTCTCCGCCCTTATTTTGCCCACTCTCTCTAATACTATCACTTTTCTTTACACTACAATACAAGAAAACCTGCAGTACCCCCCCCCCCCCCCCATAATCATTTGGCTGTTGTCAAAGAAATAAATCTTTTATGTACGCAGTACAACAACAACAAAACAAAAAGACTGTACTGGATCAATACGGTATGAAGGACATCCTTTATATTGCTTTGAATTACATACTGTAGAGTTCATCATGTTTCATGATGGGAAAGCTGTGCCCCACTTCGCTGAACAGGACGTGCATGAAGTAGGCCTTGCCATATGTACATGTAGCTTCTGTGAATCATTCCTGACCTTCTTTTGGGGGAAGATTTCTACGACTTTCTCCTGAAGGAAATCATGAGGATTTGCAATGCAATCTATTTCTTCCTGGGTACTTACTTGCACTAGTTTGACGAGACCCTGAATTACTTCAAAGCTGTGAATTACTGTGCATTCCTAAGAAACAGCATGAGCAACTTGAAATTAAATAATTTAACTTATTGGAAAGTACTGTAGTATGCTCCCATCCTTGAATTGCTGAGAAATGTACTTTAAATACAGGTGTACATGTGTAAATGGAAAATCAAATAAGAATAGTTCAGGCAAATATTAAGTATGTACAGTACATGTACATGTACATGGCTATTACATGTACAGTATGTGTACTTCAACTCAGGTTTGCAAATTAACACAGAGAAATAAATATAAATTCTAGGGGAAATAATAACTAAAAATGTTACAAAACATCAAACAGTAATTACAGTATATATTTTATGTTTGGAATTACCATACATGAACTGTTCATTAGTTAAGAAAAGTGTTCAATTTCATGAAATTAAATGGTTATAAAGTCAAAAAGTCCATGCACCCAAGGCAATCCCATCATGATCCCTTTCAAGTTGTTCAATCACCTTCATGTACCCAAAGTCCCAAACTTGAACCCAATAATCAAACAGCGACTTGCAAATTTTAAAACAAACACTACCATCTACATACAAGATCTAAATAAAACTGTATGCCTCATGAATACCACAATACAAGCTTTGCATTTTTCCCCTTTAATTTTAATCCAAAACAAGAGTGATGTAAATGTACACTGCAAGAGAATTTGTTCAATATCACCTTCACGCACCCAAACTTGAACCCAATAATCAAACAGCAACTTGCAAATTAAACAAACACTACCATATGATACAAGATCTGATAACTGTATGCCTCATGAATACCACAATAAAAGCTACAGTATGCATTTTTCCCCTTTAATTTTAATCCAAAAAAAGAGTGATGTACATGTAAATGTACACTGCAAGAGAATTCTTTATTGTCATGTACTGTACTGTCAACAACCCGAGTGATGGAGTGACTGGAGTGATGGAGTGACTGGAGTCCTTTGACCTTTCTTTGTCTTTAGTTTGGGGTCAATGATACGATCAGTAGAGTACAACTGTAAATACAATGTACATGTGTAGGCTATGTATCCCTATACCTGATCCTCTTATTTGGTCTACCTCACATGATGCTTCCAGTAATCAAAGAAGTTCTACATGTACAACTGTACCTCACCACTGTATGCATTGTACATGTACATGTACATGTATGTAAATGAATCGCTTGGAAAGGCAGACAAAGTTCCAAAACATCACTCTTCGACATGCATGTACATGTACATGTACATGTACATGTAATCATACATGTAATCAAATCAATGTCATCATCATTATCAGCATTCATTCATAATTAATTCAATAAAGGAATGTATATTCATTAATTACATGTAATTAAATACCTTTCCAATGTACAAGTGCCTGAAGAAGTGACCTGTACAGGTTCCTTTTAAAGCTTATCAGTACTAGTTTATAATAGGAGGGATTAGACTGCCCTGCAAGGTCACTGGACAGTTGGCTATCTCATCAACTCAGCTCTCAGTTAACATAAGAAAAAGAGGATCATGCAGCCTTTTCACACACAGCTAAAATTCTATAAACATGACTAGTATAAACGTGTTTCGAACGTGTTTAAACTAATCACGAGCCTTTCACACACAGAAATTTCATTGCGATCGTTAATAGTTTTGTGATTAACTACTGCTCGTAAAATGCGCAGTAGTGCCATTGCGCATTGAAGGTCATGTCATGTCAATCAAAGCGCACGCTCCATCCAGTTTAAACACGTTTAAACACGAATTTCCTTTCACACACAAAATGTCAAGCTCTCTAGATACGAACTTCGTATCTGCAGCCTGCTTTTAGGGGCGTATAGATCGCGACTTCGTATCTATCCCAACAACGTATAAACGATGTTCACACTGGGAAATTTTGTCTATAAACATGTTTAAAACTGTTGAGTGATTCTAATCATCTCTAGATACGATGAATTTGCTGTGTGTGAAAAGGCTGATGGATTCATGGGGGACCAATGGTCACCGATTAGGCATTGTTTAAAGAGAAGGTTGAGTTCTGGGAAGAGGTGAAAAATAACTTGTGAGTGTTATCATTCTTATTATGCAAGTGTGGAAGAACATCAGATAAGACATGTTCCCTGAAAAGTATGCCTCCATAAAAACTCTGGGGTAGGATTTTAACGCCACGTGTTCGTGTAGTCCCATCTTCCTGTGTACAGTGTTTGTAACATTACCAAGACTTGGCCAAATTTCTTATTATTTTGATGATTCCAGAACCTTGCAATACACACAAATTCTTATATGCTAGATGATCAACCTTTTCTAGTCGATTCCACACCGTTTCTTTCACAATGCAATCGCATGACCAGAACTCAACTTCATCTTTAATATAGAGAGGGCGCAAGTAACTACAAGTAGTGCAGTGGGCCTTTAAAGGGATCTGGTAACTTTTTCTCAGATTCTGAAACAAAATCCTGGATCTAGCTCATGCTGCAATAATAATTACTCTAGGTCAGTCAGGAACCACATGACTTGTACAAGCCGATCGCCTGTCTGATAAGCAAGAGTCTACAGTCTATTGGGGAAAATGAGTATGGGGAAAATGAGTATGGTAAAACTGGTCACTCAAAGATTTTTACTTTTTTGCGGCACTTCTTGATCATTTGGAAGCGCAATTTTTTTTTTAGGGCTCCAACATTACACCATATCACAGACACCGATAACACCTAGGGCCGTGCATCTCAGATTTAACATTGTACGATGCCTGTAACATGTCTCAATAAGAAACACTATTGAAGTGAAAAGAAATATGTGATCTTTATAGGCAGGTGGTTGAATACAAATACAGGTACACACCCTGTAGTCATTTTAGGGCTATACTGTGTAATGTGATCCATATGACATCTGACATTTACATGTACATGTATGCAAATATTTAATCCATGAATCAAATTTCTTGATATGACTATGACTATGGTACTGTACTTAATACAGTAACATGAGAAAGCAACACAACAGGGATGCCAACCTTTCAGAGCACAAATCCGTAATCATAAGGCTAAAAATCCGTAATTTGGAGACAAAATCCGTAATTTTCTGCGCGACGCAAATTTTTCTGCACGCTGGCAAGCGCAGCTCCCGCAGGCAAGCGCGATAGCACAACAAGTTAAATAAAAGTAACATAGTCTACCTGTTCATTAGTTGGTGTTACACGATGCATTTCCATTTCTTACTGTATTCTTCTTTAAAAGTCTGTAACTTCTTGCCACGCTTCTTAGTTGTGGAAGACATGATGATTGATATCTAAATCCAACCAACATGAGTTCAGATTGTCGACGAAAATCGACGAACGCTGTGACAGCCTGTGAGAAATCCGACAGTGTACACGGCGCTAGCGTAGCGAGGCCTGGCGCTGGGCATGGGCGGGCGGTAGCGGCGCGGCCAAGAGAGGTATTTCACCCGGCCCCCGCTCGCGAAGCACATGTTGTATGCACATGTATGCACTGAAAGGGGTGTGCTAGATAACAAATTGTCCAATCGGAAGCCCTGTGGGATTTCTATGCATGGATTCAAGGATGGCTGCGCTGCAATAGTCAAAAGTACGTGCTAAACCTTAAACGTGCTAAACCTTAAAGTGCTAATTTTGAAAATCGGCAAAATCTGCAAAATCCGGAATTTATGGTATGAAAATCGTACCGCCCGTAATCGGCCGATTTCCCGTAGAAATTACGGGAAATCCGTACTAGTTGGCATCTCTGACACAACTATTCTTTTTTCAAGAAATGTACAGAAAATATTGCACAGAATTGCCTTAAAGCCTCACTGTCCTATTTGTAGCTACTTGCTCCCAAGAAAACAATGCCTAATCGGTGACCATTGGTCCCCCATTATCCTCTTTTTCTTATGTTAAATGAGAACTGAATTGATGAGATACATACATACATGTACATGTAGCCACCTGTCATTGACCACGCTGTGTGGTCCAATCCCTCCCGGCCAAACTAGTACAGCCTGTCTTTAAAGCAGGTTTGACTGTACTTCATTTGTAGTTTTCCGTTAACTGCACATTAAAAAAAATGAGAGGCTTTTATAAACTCTTTAAATTCAAATTCTAAGAGAAAATGAAATGACATACCCTGACTGCTACAAAGCCTACAATGAGGGCGATGATGTCGGACAGCATGTGGAAGGAATCCGCCACGAGAGCGAGGGAATGTGTGATGTATCCTACGCTGAGCTCCACGAAAAAGAAGCTCGCTGTCAGCACCATCATCGTCATGAGACGACAGCTCTTGGTAGAGAGCATCCGCTTCTTGGAAGAAGTCATCTCTTCGTTGTTGTTCTCGAGTTTTGAAAATTGCTGTTTGGAGAAAAGAAGAGATGAGAATAGAATGGACATTCATTTTTACTAGCCTTGTTGCAAAGATACAAGCAATAATTTTATCATTATGCAGTGTAGATCAAGAATTAAAACCTAAAAGGGAAATTTTAAGATACATTTATCAAGATGTATGTCACATGTACACAGTTATCAATGTTACATTTACATGTATAACTGGGCAAGTCCAATGTACGATTGCATTTCCCCCACAAGTTACAAACTGAGACAAACTGACCCTGTTCATAAAACATGCTATCATTAAACAAACATTAAACTTGTATGACAAATCTTCTCTCAGCCAATCAACTTTAAAGATTTTAGTAGCTTATTTTTTGACCATGTGAGATAATTTTGTTTATCCATCAAAGCCTAATCAGCATCAATGTTGTTTTTCCTGAGGGCCCTGCAATTATCATTACCCCAGCAATTGCCAGGTACATGTACCCATGTTGTACCTGGGTGGAGAGTGTCAAATTTGGATTAATGCCTTGCCAAGAGTTGAAAGTGTTGGGCTGGGATAAGAACCCTCAACCCATGGATTGAGATTCAAGTGAAAGAATACCATGACACCATCCAGATATGATTTATCAAGTTTCTAAACTTATTTTACATATTTTTTACATGAAAAAATAATACATGTATATTTTAAAGCTATTTCTCTATTTTCTTATGGAAAAAAAAATGCAATACATACATTTTTAGTTTAAGGATTTGGAGGAAAAGATGGATGAAAAATACATTCAGTGTTTAAAAAGAGTATTAACAAAAAATTATGTGAAATCTTGTCTTTTCACTATAGTTTAAGACCATTTTTGTTATTGACTAGGATATAAAACTAGATTTGCAGGTACCCTGAGATATTTAAGGTGACCTCCACTAAATGGAGCATAAAAATAAAATCAACCTTGTAGCAAGACATGTGTTGTATCATTGGTTGAAATGGACTGCATTAATCACTTTGTGTGTTGGAACAAATGGGAAAATTGCCCGGTACTTCATCATTAGTGACATTACCGATCCAGCCAAATTGAAGTTCCTATACATTAATAATGCTACTTTCAAAAATGCATAACTTTCTTATTTTTTCCTGATTTCTTTCAAACTTTCTCTTATTTTCTGCTTTCCTTTAGAGTACCCGGTACACTGTAGTTTGCTATCAGACTTGGATTTTCTATTATTAAAGGTACTAAAGACCAGTATTGGAAACGCCCCAATTCCAAAAAATGAAATGGAAGCTCTTATTACCAATCATGTGAAAGAATATATGTTTTGACTACCGTATTTGCCGGCGTAAAGGCCGCACCGCCGTATAGGCCGCACCCCCAACTTTGACATTTCGTAGAGGAATAAAAAAAACTAAAACAAAAAACAAAAAACAAAAAACAAAAAAAAGAGAAAAAAAAAACGGACCAAACAAAATGATCGTAATTTTCTTGTAGAACACTCTTTTTTTTTTTACAAACTATACCAAATTCATCAATATTCTTATAAATCAACAAGAAGTTAACCTCAAAAATGATCATAATTTAGCAGATCTTCATCGACTTTTAAGCTAGTACTGTATCGTACGCAGATTTGGTATCCTACAATACCCCTTCCTCGATGTGCGGTGTAATCCGAAATAGCATTTTTCGACCTGCGCAGTTGCGTTGCGCGGCAGCTAGCTCCGTAAGTAACGGCCTGTCCCTTTGTTTACTTTTTGGCGATGCAATGGTATGGACTTAGATCTATCGGCAGATTTTATTAGAAAAATAAGTTTTTTCGCCTTCATGTCAACTATGCAACATAAACTTGTCGGTAAGTTGTGTGGAGTTATTCTAGAATTGTCCTGTACCGTTGTCTAGTCATGCTACCGTTCCTATAGTCCCATACGTGCAAATGGACGTGATGTTTTGACCGCTGAATTTTGTTGTTGTTGCGTATACGCCGCACCCCGACTTTTTGATTTTTTCTCACCCGAAAATACTGCGGCCTTTACGCCGGAAAATACGGTAATACATGATGATAAAAATTTTGCTGGGAAACCGCTTACTAATTGATATATTTGGTAAATTAGTTTATCTATTGGTGGGTGAGAGAGAAACACATGTGCCGCGCACGTGTGCGTAGTCCCATATACATCTTTCTGTGTACAGTGCTTGTAACTTTACAAAGACTGGGCCAAATTTCTTATCATTTTGATGATTCCAGAACCTTGCAGTACACACCAATACTTATATATGCTAGATGATCAACCTTTTCTGATCGATTCCACAACGTTTCTTTCACAATGCAATCGCATGACCATAACTGGTCTTTATCTTTAAAGTAACCTTGTAATGGCTTGTATATAACCAATTCAAACACACCTGTTACATACAGTACGTGATGTTTTTAGTTGCTGATTAGCAAGCAAAAATCATGATTACTTGTACAAGTACATACTGTACATGTACCGGTAGTCCATTTATTTTTGTTATAAACAGATTCATAGCAATTTCACCCTACACTGTACATGAGAGTTTTGCAACTTAAGAAATTTGTGTTCTCATACATTGTAGATGTGGTAATTCACTCGTTGATTCATAAACTGAACAAAATTATTATACAGTAGATCATTGTAACTTCACATGTACATGTACATGTAGCTACTGGGAATTAAGCTACATGTAACTATCTGAATGATCTTATCTACCGTATTCTTACAGGGCATTAACTGACCAGCACAATTGCAATAAAAACTTGAGACAGAAAGACTTATCTGGATAGATAAAATCAAAGATTGTTCTATTGACCTAGCCAAGCGCAAACCACCTTTAAAAATATTTAGACTTTACATGTACATGTACATGTACATGTATGCCAAGCATGCGCATCGAGTCTACTTCTAGGGGTTGGGTGTCCACTGTCTAGACACACTATAATGCCTTCTCTTTTGCCTTTGAATTTGAATCAGGAATTCCTGTCCTTTACAATATTGTTCAACAAGTCAGACATAGAATATCTATAAAAAAAATTGCATATAAATGCATGTACACTGTACAGTCAAACATGCTTTACCACCTGTCTACAACAAGCACATTTTTTGTTTCCCCTGGGCAGTCGCTGTAGACAGGTTTGACTGTATATTATGGGGTGACCAAAGTTCGCCAAGATTTTTGAAAATATAAGGCAATAATGTGATATTGGATCAATGATTTCTCATATTCTACACAAATTTATTTAGTTTAATTATTACCAAATGGACGGTAAACTTTTTGACTATGAATTGGGGCAACTAAAAAATTTATCATCACAGAATTCTGGAGATATCGCAGTCTCAAAATTTGATGTCAGATTGGCATGTGCTCGACTGAGGGAAAAGCAAAGAATGAGACCTTGTACTGTACATTTGTAGGCTAATTTCGTGGACAGGAGTTTACAGCTGATTTATCAAAAATAGCGATTCATCAAGACTTCAAGAATAAGATAATGGCATAATTTGTTAGGCAAAATATCATCCAATCAGTTAGCATCACTTTTTATATATCGATATGAATTTTTTTTAAACGGACGCAAAAGACTTCAAAATTTGAGATCTTTTGTCAAATTTTTCATAATTTCACACCCAATTCCAAAGAAAATTTTGTCTCTAATTAATTTTTGGTATTGCTATTGGTGGCATCAGATTTTCACAATTTTACAGATTTTTTGAGATAGTGAACTTAGGTCACGCGCGAACTATGGTCACAAGTGCACACCACCATACATGTACTTCTTCAAATTGCTGTTTTAAATCAACTGTCCAGAGACACAACCTGTCTAGACACATAATATATTTGAAACGTTTTATCAAAGTCCTTTGAGAGACTCACTGCCTCCTCTTAGAGCAGCAAAACTTCTTCACTTCTCTTCTCGTCCGAGAGCATCGTCATCTTCACGATCGTCCGCGTCGACATCGCGTTCTTCACGGCTTTTCAGCCATGACAATCAAGTCGTGTCACATTCACGCCTCCGCATCATCATCGCATGAGCCCCTTTACTCGTTCATCACCCGGCATCATTTCCAATTGACTACGTCATTTCTACTTTTTTGTGAGCTTTATTTATTCACATTTATTTATGTCCATCTCATTTAGTATTGGCCAATTTATCTCGATATGCAATACCCTCGATTCTCATTCATGTCATTTCTGATCCATTTATTTTGCCAGACTACACTTGCTGTTATAGATCTAGACTATATTACATGTACATGTACCTCAATAAAATAACGAAAAGGGAATACTATTTAGACCTAGATCTAGCCTAGGCCCTATCATGTGTTTTAATTGTCTGTGCAACCTTTATAAAATTAAGTTTAATACGTTGTGTGATCAGTGAAAACGCAAAACAATCACATTCACAATACACCAGTGCACATACGTAATTCTCCACAAGTACAAATGTAGATCTAGGGCCTAAACAAATTTAAATAAGAAATGACTTCAAAGTTCAAGTTCAACAAAAGTTCAAGCAAAAGTTGGCGCACCCAAAAGTTTTTTAGGTCTACATCGTGAAACCTCTTATTAGGGCGTCTGATCGCGCACCACGTTTTGTGTGCTAAAACCCTTCCCATTGACATTGCACACATCCCTATAGAGTCTATGTGCTTTGCAAAATAAGTCAAGTTTTTAAAAATAAATTTAGATTCAAACCTTAATCTGTTGTGATCCTGAAGGTGATACTCAATAAATGAGGTGTCATATGAAAGGGCAGATTAATTCCCATATTTCCAAAGGGGGGTCATTTCAAATATCTAAAAATATCTTGGTCAAAACAGCGATTTAAATGCATTTCCATGGCAACTCGGGAGATTTCCAACTTTTGAGAATCAACCCCCCGAGGGATAATTAGTTCAAGTCGTAAGGAATACGTTGATGTTCTTTTTTTCCCGCTAGCCCCAAGGGATCACGTAGGATTTACAGTGTAAGTTTGAAAATACCCTTCCCCCACTTTTTGCATAGAAATCTATAGCCTAATATTATGCATTAAAATGCAGCTGTTGAGCAAAAAATGATAACTCGGCGTGAACCACTTTTTTGTCCATTCTGACCAAAATGCTATGAATATTGAGGGGCTGAGGGGCTGTATCTTTTGATAGAAACATCGGTGAGTCTTGAAATTTGAAATGTTAAAGATAAACTTTAGTAGGTCTACTGGTAATGCGATTGCATTGTGAAAGAAAAGGTGTGGAAAGGATCAGAAACAGTTGATCATGTAGCATGTAAGCATTGGTGTGCACTGCAAGGTTCTGGAGTCATCAAAATCATAATAAATTTGACCGAGTTTTGGTAAAGTAACAAGCACTCACATAGAAAGCTATATATGGGACAACACACATGATGTCGGGGCTGGTACTACTACTACCTTGATTTCCTTGTCTTTCTATGCTCATTACTCAGCCAGTAGGCCTATACATTTTCTTTCAAAATTGTTTGGCACATGTCATTTATTTGTAATCTTGAACATTCAGTGTAAGTTTCGTTTGATTCTGTGAGAATTAATTTTTTTTTTTACCAGTAGGTCTAGGCCTACTGGATTTTATCTTTAATTAGATTCTCTAGGTCTAGATCTATTCTGATTAGATCTAGGGTCTAGTCTAGGCCTACATATTTTATTCAAATATCCAACAAAAATGGTGAAAAACGATCACAAATTGGAAAGTGAAAAATCGTTCAGACACCCTACTCTTATAACTGTAGTGTTAGCACAGACATAATCGACATCAACATGTTAGCAGTGTTAGTGTTACCAGTAAAATTGTGATGACTCAAACTCAAAGGTGCATAGAGGGTCTACTGTACATCATCATGTTCATGGCCTCGCCGGGCAGGCTGGACGATACGCGCCGCCACCTATGCCGCCACCGGGAACCAAGCCCGGCCCACGCGCAGCTTACAGTATTCACTTGCTGTGCTATTTATGATGAGCATTTTGTATGGAAGAACCTCACCTTACAATACAACTTACGTTTAGTTTTGTGTCTAGATCTATCCGACGTTTGCTTCAGACTAGCCTTCTATAAACAGCTAAAGTCCAATCCTGAATTATGTGTTAGAAGACAAATAATTGCTCTTTGTGGATTGGTTACAAAATGGCGAATACCATCTAGCTTTTTCCGAACGGCACCAAAGTCTAAATTTGCAGTAGTCTAGTGCATGTGCGCTAGCGATATAAAGCGCTACCGGGCTGGGCCGTGTGAATTTTAGAGCTGAGTGCACACTAGACAATAGACTTACCGGCATTTTAAGATTGGATGCACCCGGTGCGCTCCGGGAGAGAAATCGTCGAAGTCGCTAGATTCTTTCTCATCAGATCTCAAACGACGTGTGCAAATCTCTATCTTGCAACAAGAGATGGATCAGTTGAAGCCAGGGATGCCTCTTATCTCCAATAATGCAAACACTTTCTCACGTTTCGGTTTCAATTTTCCATCTGCATAAAGACTGTATTACACTCTGTATGGTCACTCATTACAAGAACATGATATCATCTGAAGTTCTGAACAATATGGTCTGCCTCGACCTAGCTGCGAATGCAAAAGTGATTTTTTTTTTCTTCCAACTTTCTCACAACATATCATAATAATTCAAATTTATCATTAATGTTGCGCGGTCGGTGCCGTACGTACATGTTACGATCGCTAGTTGACGCACTTTAGATTCCTGCGCTTTTAATCATTGAGCGTCAACTACTCAGACAGACGTAGACAGGCACATAATTATTCCCCTTTTTCTTCTTTACCCCCCCCCTTGACTTTTAAGCGTTTGGTATAGAGTCTGATGACACATTTAAAAGCCTATTTCAGTTTTTAAGGTCTATAGAACTCTAGATAGTCCCTTCGTTTGTGGGAGTAATACAATTATAAATCTTAACTGGAACTTAAAAATGAAACTGTTCAGTTAGGCCTTGTATGTTGGAAATTTTTGACAGAGTGAAGAGACGTACGGCCAAGAAGGCGATATCCTCTGTTAATTGCAAATGTAATTCTTTTGTTATCACTTTCTGTTAATTAATTTTCCCGATATGACCATCATGCAGGGCTTTTAAATTTCAGTTTCACGTCCAGGCGCGGATCCAGGATTTTCCAATAGGGGGGGCCGGAAATTTGAAAATTGCGCAGACCATTTTTTCAACTCAACATACCAATACTGACAAGGTCATAATTATTAGAAGCACGATACCGGTAGAATTTTTGACATTTTCATCGGGGGGGGGGGGGGGGGCTATAGCCTCTTGCCCGGAAAGTAATTTTCTGGTTTCACAATTCGAAATAGTGAGCGAAGCGAGCGAGCAACAATAATTTGTGAAAGTGTTATTTATCACCAAAATAAACGAGAAAAGATATCAAAAACTCATATTCGGGCAGCTCGCTGTCCCCCCTCCCCCCTCCATTACGCGCGAAGCGCGGAAGCTTTGACCCTTCATTAATTGTTACTAGAGAAGGAAGACAATTTGTTGTACCATTCTCGACTCTTAATCCTTGTCTGAATTCATTTTCCTCCCGCCCGCGCGAAGCGCGGAAGCTTTGGCCTTTCAAAGCTTTGGCCTTTCATTAACTATAGAGAAAGAAGAAGATTTGTTGTACCATTCTCGACTCTTATTACTTGACTGAATTCAGCCCCCCCCCCCTTCCCGCGCGAAGCACGGAAACTTAGGCTTTTCATAGTTTAATGAAGTTATTAGAGAACGATGATTCGTTGTTCCATTTTCGACCCTTAATCCTTCTCTGAATTTAGTTTCCCCCCCCCCCCCTCCCGCGCGAAGCGCGGAAGCTTTGGCGTTTCATTAAATTAAAAGGGAAAGGAGACGATTCTTTGTACTATTCTCGACTCTTTATCCTTGTCTGAATTCAGTTTTCCCCGCCCGCGCGTAGCGCGTAAGCTTTGACGGTTTATTAAATTATTAGAGGAAGAAGACGAATCGTTGTACCATTCTCGTCTCTTAATTCTTGTTTGAATTCAGTTTCCCCCTTCCCGCGCGAAGCGCGGAAGCTTTGACATTTCATTAATTATTAGAGAAAGAAGAAGATTTGTTGTACGCATTCTCGACTCTTATTACTTGACTGAATTCAGCCCCCCCCCCCCCGCCTCCCGCGCGAAGCACGGAAACTTTGGCCTTTCATAGTTTAATGAAATTATTAGAGAAAGATGATTCGTTGTTCCATTTTCGACTCTTAATCCTTCTCTGAATTGAGTTCCCCCCCTCCGCGCGAACCGCGGAAGCTTTGACGTTTCATTAAATTATTAGAGAAAGAAGACGATTCGTAACTCTTAATCCTTGTCTGAATTGAGTTCCCCACCCCCCCCCCCCTCCCGCGCGAAGCGCGGAAGCTTTGTCGTTTCATTATAAGGGGACGTTTCATTATAAGGAGACGATTCTTTGTACCATTCTCGACTCTTAATCCTTGTCTGAATTCAGTTTTTCCCCGCCCGCGCGTAGCGCGTAAGCTTTGACGGTTCATTACATTATTAGAGGAAGAAGACTCATCGTTGTACCATTCTCGTCTCTTAATCCTTGTTTGAATTCAGTTTTCCCCCTCCCGAGCGAAGCGCGGAAGCTTTGACACTACATTAAATTATTAGAGAAAGAAGACGATTCGTTGTACCGTACTCGACTTGTCAAAAAAAAAAAAAAAATTCTTTGTCTGCTCCTTTTTCGTCCTATGTCCTCTTCCTGCCCCTACCGCCCCTGGCTACGCGCCTGCTTTAAAGGGAAAATGAAACAATCATGATTGTGATTATTAGGTTAGTAGAAATGAAAGGGAGAAAAGATATATTACACATAACCATGGATAAATCACGGCCGGGAGCGTCATATCATAGTTTTGTGTTATCGGGCGAGGGCCGGGGCGTAGCAACCAAGCAAGATTTTGCAATGTTGAAATTATGCATTCTAGAAAATTCCGCTATATTTCTTTCTAGCTATATTTCTAAATTTCCTGGGGGACGTGTCTCCCTATCGGGCCCAGGATTGCCGCCCCTGTCCATGATTACTACCAACATGAGTTCAAATACAAACACGAGCGAGTTGGTATGAGCTGAATTCAAATGAAGGGCAAAATAAGAGTAATGAAGCGGCCCAACCGTTAATTTAAAATTTGACTGTTGAGTATATAGCTTCTATTTAAAAGACATCCAAAATATTGTGCCCTTTTCAAATTTCTCACTAAAGAGTGATGACCTTTGTAGCGCAGGGGGGCTGTCTTTTACGTTTAACTTTGAATCCGCGGCTCGAGATTTTATGCGGCCGGCCCGGCCCCCTCTATTCAATAACGTTTGCCAAACCTTCTGGAATGACCCCAAATCTCCCGATTACAGTTCTCCCTTATTCGTCGTTACTGTCACTTAGCGCCATTTCCTTGTCTTTCCCCCTTTCTCACCGAATCCCCCACCCACTTACTATAGGGTACGCACATGTATGTTCCCTCTCTTTGAAAGCACCCCCTCTATCTCCAGTGTAAGTCAGTACGGGCCGGATTTTTGTGTATTACGGGCCGGACTTTGTTGCGTGAAAAGTAACTCTTTATCGGAAATTTTGGGAACACATATTCGGTCCCTCCGACCCCGGAGTGGGAGGGAGGGGGAGGGGGAGTTGGGCTTTCTTCTTTATCTTTTCTTTTCTCTTCTCTTCCTTTTTCTTTTCCCTTCTCCTTTCTTTTCTCTTCTCCTTTTTTTCTTCTCCTCGATCTTCTCCTTTTTTTTTCTCTTCTTTTCTTCCTCTTTTTTTCTTCCTTTTTTTTGCGCCGCCAATAGGGGGGGCCGCGGCCGTTTCGGCCCCCCCCCCTGGATCCGCCACTGACGTCTGGTTTCCTTTGTATTGTATTTTTATCCCTTTTTCGTTTTTGGTACGTTCACTAATGTTTTGTTAGCATTTGTTTTCTCATGTTATTTTATCTAGAGACTTAATGGAAAGCCACGCAGGCTAAACTTGCTAAAGTGCATGTTTTTTTTCTCGGAATGAGAATGAATAAATGAATCAATAAATAAATTAATTAATTTCTTGAATGTGCAGAATCCATGTCATGGCACAGTCTAGATCAGGATGTGCCCTCAGCTGTAGAAACGATGTAGGTTGATCAGTATAGTTGGTAAACCTTTGGGACAGTCTTCACCTCAGGAAGTGTATTTTCCACCATCATCGCCACAATTTGCTAAGGCGGCGCAAAGAATCAGCAGTTTGTGCTTTTAAAAAAAAACGGGACAAGCATATTTCCCTAAAAAATAACTTTCCCCTAGGTCGTCAAGCGACCGGCCTGATATAAACAAAAAATAATTAAAACCTATCGCTTTATGAAATAACTTGAAATAGAAAAAGCGCACGCGTGTACTTATTTGTTGATTTAAAATTATTCAGTTAATCAATGTTTATATAGGGATTATTATAACGTGCCACCACATCCCTCCGTTTTCTAGAGTTTTACTTTATTACATAAGTTTTAGGGATTTTTCTTGCCTATGCAGTGCGTCCCAGAAAAAAACGAAACCGAGAATTATCGATGATCTATCATAACTTAGTCAATTTTTTTTTAATGAATGACACATATTTGGAAAGCTTAGATCCTGAAGAGAGGAAACTAAAAAGTCATTTGGCGGACGGTATCTGATTTTCAAAGAGAATATCACATTTCTAGAAAGTTGAGTTTCTGCCCTTTCATATGACACCTCACACCTCAATCAGGAAAAATGAGCAATAATTAAGGAATGACAAAGTTCTGTTTGTTTAAAATAGTGATTGCATTTCCATAATTTTATCAAACGAATTCGTTTTCACTGGCTGCCTGCCGTAGCAACAAGCAAAATTGACAACAGACTTAACTCCGATTCGTTGACAATCAGCCATTTTCGTCTACGGCTGATTGTCAACTTTGTTTGTTGCTACGGCAGGCAACCAGTGAAAACGAATTCGTTTGATAAAATTATGGAAATGCAAGCACTACTTTAAGCAAACAGAACTTTGTCATTCCTTGCTCATTTTTCCTGATTGAAGTGTCATATGAAAGACAGAAACTCAACTTTCTAGAAATGTGATTTTCAACTTGAAATGCGAGAAAAGCTCAGCAAAGGGGTTTATTTCTCCAACATTCAACGAAGAGGGAGGGGGCGGGGGGCGTGGCCCCTTTGCATCATACGCCGCTGCCAAGATGCCAACTGTCTATATAACGTGAATATACATAATACCTATACATCATGTACTTGGTTCTACTTGTAAGGAATACTGTTGACTCATTCGTTGTGCACGCAGTTCCAAATTTTAGACACGTGAGAAAATATTTATGATGAAATTCTGGAAAAGGTGTTTATTTAATCATTTTACGTACCGTGTTCTTTTTTCCGATAATTTAAAGAATCACGCGAGCAGCAAGGGGCGGATCCAGCCGGCGGCAAGGGAGGGGGCCAAATCTTGAGAAAATGTTTGGCGGCGAAACAGCCAGCTGGTGAATAAGAGTGGGGGAGGGGGGGGGGGGGGGGGGGGGGAGAGAGTAAGGAGTAAAAAAAAAAAAAAAATTGCCCCCGAAAATGTGAAAATTGCACCCCCCCTCCCCCTTGAGCACCAAGGGAGAGGGCGCGTCTTCAAGCCCGCCCCCGCCCCCGCCCACCCATCCCCCCTGGATCAGCCACTGGTGAGCAGTCACGAGGCCTGACCGGACGTTGACGTCGTAGCTAGTGACTGAAGAAAAAAAAAATTGACAAATTTTTTTTTTAAAAAATGTTGCTTTTTACATTTAAAGGTGTCCCAATGGGCTGAATTTGCGGGATGGGGGGGGGGGGGGGCACAGCAAGGGCACAATTTCTGCATTTAATTAGTATTATAAATTTGTATACATTTTTCTATATGCCTAATTTTATTAGGAGTAGGCATGGGCATGTGTTCCTTCTGAAACCCCCTGAACCTTCCACTGACATTAAAAACTAAGCAAAAAGACAAAACTGTTACATTTTGTTGTATTTGTTTTATTTTGTTCTATATACAATCTCATAGCACATACATAACAGTGCTGTAAGAATGAAACTGTTCGACACTAGCCTACCTTCCAGGATTTTGAGAATTCTTCTTTTCCACTTTCTAGATGTTCATCACTCAAATAAAGTACACAAAATATGACATGTAAAAAGTTTCCTAGGTTTGCTTGATCTTTAGACTAGAAGAAAAGATACATATGTTATAGCCTTCAATAAACAAACAGAAAGAATAGTTTCTGATTTGCAGAAGATCAAATAACAAAATATCCTGGACATTAGGCAAATTCCTACAACTTATAAACTTTGTATAAGACACAGGTAAAATACATGTATGCTTAGAATGGAACAAGAATGTATTTAGGCTACATGTATTTATATATACAAGATAAAGGAGTACAATACTTTTTACAACAAATGCAAGATACAATACTGAAGAAAGTGACAAAAATATAAAATGTGCATCAAAAAATGAGAGCAGCGAGCGTCATTCATGATCAAATTTGCAGAGATAAAAAGTGTCTTAAAAGACCTGCTAAAAATTGAGTTTATTTCAATAGCAAATGGAATTGTTTTAAACTTATACATTTATATTTATATTTTCACAATTGTACATGTCATATTGTTCTTTACTGTTATGGTCTGACCAACACTCATTACATAAGACAGTCCATAATATACACTTCTTATGAATTCACATGGCATTATCTTTAAAACGATGCATCTTAAATAACTACCTGAAACCCGATTGCATATATCGCACAATTAAAATTCAACTAACATTTCTTCCATAAAATGTATTAACTACTCTTCAGGCAAATACACAAATGGAACAAACATCTTGGTTTATTTTCAATAACCATGATCTTTTTCACCTGTTATCATTATTAAGTACTTGGCATTACCTGTGTCATTTAAAATCAATAAACCATTTAAAATCAATAAACCATTATTTTTTTTTGCAAGGTACCTTTTCAAATGTCACAGAAGAGTAGCTTCATCTATTCCGACAGAAGAAATAATAGGGACCAGTCGCACAAAAACCTTTTTTCAATGAGAAATGACAAAAATGAAGGACAGATCTGCTGTCATTTGTCACTGATGACCAAGTTTTGTGAAATGGGGCCCAGGTCTTATTTGATGGCCATTGGTTCAGTGTCCTAGATACAATTAAATTGGCTGGTTTCACAAACCGGTACATGTTTATCTCGGGTCTTGAAAATGCAAATTTTCTGATCAGGAAACATTAGGTGATATTTTTCAAATTACCATTAATCAAATGAATCTCAATGCCTGAATGACTTTACCTGTAGAAAACACAGATTACCGGCATCAAATTTAGAACAATAATTAGAAAAAAATTAAGTGTAACTAATGAATCATTGACAAACCGTTCCAAATAAGCACACCTAGTAGCAAAGACATGACAATGACAAAGAATTCTAGAGGGAAATACACCAACTAATATGCCATTTTAAAGTAAAAGATACATTGTATGTCTTTGGTCAAAATCAAATGAAAACAACATTAATCCATTAGAGGAGATATAAATATGCATTTAAAAAGGCTTACCTACTTTTAAATACTTTTGTTACAAGAAATTCAATTTCTGTGGATTTTTGTGACAGGAAACATGTCCTTGACACACAGGACTCGAGGAGCATTGATATTTTGTTAGAAATTAGAAATATACCAATAAGGTTACATGTCCTCATAAGAAGGAAAACAATCTTTCATGATACAGGGATGAGATATTCTACAAACTGCTGTATCTGAAAAATCTGAAAGATTGTTTAACTGTAAATAGAATGAAACATGAGAAAGTTTGCAAATTAATTTCAAAGTTGTTACCAGTACTTACTGTCGACAACTTGACACCCAAGAGAAGTAATGAAAAAGAAGCAGAGTTTTGAAACTCAAATACAAGTCAGTAGTATTCCCATTGTTTAAACCATTTCCATTTCTTATAACCAAGGATAGACTATTGATTATCTAAAGTCTTTAAAATGACATCAAAATTAAAATCCTGGCTATCTGTCCCTGTTAAAAATGACCAGAAGTTCAAAGTTTCTCATTCCATTTAAATTGCACCTGAATATGAAGATGAGCATACAGATAACTGATACATTTGTGCAAAGACCTGTAAATGTCAACATGAAACATACAATACCTGGATTTGTAGAGTAAATAAAAATGGGCATTGCTTGGAAATATTTATTAAAAAACCCATTGAATTGCAAATATTATTTTACTAAATGTATTTGAACTTGACAACACACACAAGTTGGTAATTCAAAAGTTGGAGAAATGACACTTATTCTAAACATCTAAGCTCTCTCTTCTTTACGACATCTTAATGTTTACAAATATGAAAGATTGCGTTGTTACAAAAATATGAGAAAAGATTGTTTGATAAATGCATACATATACAAAATCTACATTTCATTTTTGCTCTTTATACAATTACAATATTACACATCTAAAAGTAGATCATAAAACCTCAAATGACTTACATGTAAGTCAGTTGGGAAATCACCTATGGAATCAAACCCTTTCTCGCATACTTCACAATACAATTTTACTGTTCAAACTTGAGTTATTACGCCATACTTGGAGAGTGGTTTTACTGTGAGAATTAAAAATTATACACAGTAAAAATAAATATTAAAAAAAGCTATGAACTGATGAGTCGTTCATGTTGGTGAGCAGCATACCAAAGTACAAATCACTTTTATATGGAACCCCTCTTTGAGTGTGTACAATTCCAACTTGCAGCTTAAACGCATCTTGGCCATCTATGAATATTCATATGGTGTACAAAGTGCTAAGATAACAGCCACTTTAAAAGCAAAGGTATCACTTTGGAAAAAGTTCCAATCAAAAACAGGTCTCTAGAACTTGGCATGAATTGAAAGGATCCAATCCTAGAGATGGAAAAAGAAGCTGAGGTATTCATATCACACAATTTCTTTTAAGTAGTGACAATTGCTAAGACCTGCTTTATGAAGAGGTGCACATTTTCAGCAACTTGAAATAAATGGGATTATATTAAATTGTTGGCAAAATGTTATGTAAATTGGCAAAATTTGCTGGAACAAAATGATTACAATAGGGATTCACTCATTGCTTTGAGATGTATAAGAAATAATAACTTAAAAAATTGTTTTTAGGAAATCTCTCATAGAAAGCAGGCAACTTAAAAGGGAAATCCAGCCTTGACAACTGCTCTATAATAAATCAGAAAAATCATTGAATCAAACTGATGAAAGTGTGAATTAAATTGGGTGAGAAATATAAGAAAGTAATGAATTTTTGAAAGTTGAAATCTCTATATGCATGGTAACTTCAAACTGGCTGAATCAGTAATGTTACTATGACGAAGTGCCGGACTACTTTCCCATTTGTTTCAACCATAAATTATCAAAATATCATTTTTTTTCTTCAAAAGGGTCTTTTCATTTTAGAGCACCAATAATATCATACTGTCTATAATACATTTTGAGTAGTGCCCTGAAGGGAGACGGCATTTATGAGAAGAACATAATAATAAAATAAAAATGGGAGAGTCGTCTCCTGACTATATCACTATCAACTGACCAAATTGCCAAATTGAGATTAGCATGGATTTACTGATCTTATATTTCAAACATTCATCATTCCCTTGTTATTGGCCTAATTTATATCGAACGTTTGCCATTCTGTTTTTGTCTTATTTTTCTGCTTCCATTGCAAGGGTTTGATTGCCCTTTAAGGCCTAACTATAAGTATAAATCTATTGTAGCAGTATATGCTGACTGTGTAGAGGTGCTGTGGTCTATTAGAGAAGTCTATGGACTGTAAACCACAAGGCACAGGGTTCAAATCCCTGCAGCAGCACAAACGTCCATTGGCAAGACATTTAATCTACATTTTACACACTCGAATTGAGTTTATTCTTTCAATGCACTGAGTGCTATGGTTGCTGAAGTCTAAGCCAGGGTGACAATATCCAAAGTCCTTTGGAAGTGCAAATGGATGCTATCTCATAAGGTGACATGCGCTATACAAGGATGGCATATTATTATTATTATTAGCGAAGCTACTGTCAGCTGTGCAGAGCGGGACAAGGTGGAAGATGGCAGGTAGGAAGAAAGGGGCGAGGGGGAAGACACTACATAAAAACACTACAAAATATAATAAAACTTGAAAACTCTCCTAACTCTCCTGATTGGAATCCCACACATTTCCTGGAGGGATAATCGATTCAACGATCTTCTTTTGATGGCGAGAAACCATAGCGAACTGCAAGAGATAGTTGCGACACGAGTACAGGCCAATGCTCATAGGTTACATCATGTAACTCGATATGCTTCTCTCAAATGTACAATCTCTAAGCGAGGGATCTATTCGAGTCTCCATGAAATGATTGACAAATCTGGAGCAACTTCCGTTGACACAACTAACCCTCTCTCAAATAGCTATGGTGAGAAACCCCCTGAAAGATGACAATACTCATACTGAAGTCCTTGCTCTGCTCCCTTGGCCTTGCATCCATTCTTCGACGGTGCTAGCCATTTATCACTGTACCCATAATGCCTTCATGATGATTAGTCAATCACATCTGTGTTATAAGCACCCACTCCACTCCTGATTGGGTGTAAGTATCCATTGTTTATATATCACATTATCATTTTTTCTTTTTCTTTCTCTTTCTCTTTGTCCCTGTCTTTAGAGGACTTGGACAGCTGGGCCACCTGCTTTGTGAGCGCCCTGTTTTTAGTCTGAAAAGGGAAGGTTTGGAGATAAAAACCAAAAGTATGTTACTTGCAATAAATATGTATTGCAACAATTGGTAATATTGTTACATTATTTATTTTTCGGCATACAGATATGAAACAAAATGATGCATTTGTCTTTGTTTTTCAAAATTTGCTAAAATTTAAATATAGAATACATTTTTTTACCTAGAAACCCATGCTAAAAAAGGCCCTTCAACAAAAGAAATTCCAACACGTCAGAACAGATTTTCCAGCCTGAAGTCGATAAAAGAGGCTTGAAATTTTGCCAAATGACAATGCTTACAAGGTTATTTATAAGGGATTCCTGTGCTTTCTCAAACAATAAAATCCACTTTACATTACTTTTCAACAGTAATTTAATCATTAAAAAACAATTAACGACCCTTTTTCTCCACAACATCATACCGGAGTGTTGGCTCAGTCAGTAGAGCGTCCGCCACACAACCAGGAGGTCGTGGGTTCGAACTCCGGCCGCGTCATACCAAAAGACGTTAAAAGATGGGAGTTGTTGCTACCTTGTTTGGCGTTCAACAATAAGGGATAGAGTAACGTCGACCTGGCGCTGCTCAGTGGCTGCCGGGCTCACGATCAATTGGGCAAAAAGAATTTCCCTTTTGGTTTAATAAAATTTGGAGTGGACTATTAGGCTATTATTATTATTATTATTATTATTATAAATCAGAACTGTTCAAACAACACCACCTGCCCTGTGGCTGTGATCATTATTTTGTTGCATTTCTTATAAAACTCTGAAATATTTCCTTGACAGAATTCCTTGGTAGTTTCCCTTTTTTTACAATAATTATCAAGGTGTGGAAATATATTGTTCCAAGACTTTTCAATCTTTCTTAGAATCATTCTGGGAACTCTGATAACAAAAGGCAGATAAGAAAGGAGCTTGAAGTTAAAGCCTATCTGCACTAGTTTGGCCAGAAGGGATTAGACCTCCCTGTGTGGTCACCACAGAAACTTATCACATCAAATCAGCTCTCAATTAACTTAAGAAAAAGGGGACCGTGGGGGACCAACATGTACCGCTCAGGCACTGTTTGCTATAAAGAGAGCGCAAGTAGCTTCAAGTAGTGCAGTGGGGCTTTAATACTGACCTGTAAGTCATCTACCGTGTCCTGGTGATCTTTTTGAAGCGTCTGTAGTTTTGCCCTGAGATCTTTTTCAATCTGCATCTGAATGGCTTTCAACTCTGTCAACTGAAATAATTCAAAGTAAGCAATATTATGTGTAATCAGAAACTTCAGCAAATTTTTTCCTGTAAACTGTAATACTAGTATATATATTTACTTTTTTTTCAATATCGCCTTTTTTGGTTAAAAAAACAAAACACAACCAAGGGAAATACAAAGTAAGTCCAGGTTACTTGTTCATTTTTTAAAGATTTATTCAATTAAAAACAATTAAAGAACAATATACAGGACTACACAGTCATGTAGATAAAAATGTACAAAGAAATACATGCAATTACACTAAAACAATAAATATAAATATATTTTTTTTGTAACTGTAGTATATTATCACAATGAAGTATATTATCACAATAATATATAAATGTTGGCAAATAAGTATAGAGGAGTAATGGGACATTAACCCATTTAGGATTACTTGGAACATAGGCAGCTAGACAAAAGAGCTGCTTTGGGAATACCGTTTATTTTCACAAACTTCCCTCCCAAGGGTAGATATGTAATGCTATGAGCGGTGAACGCATCATCTGTCAGTCGTTAACTGATATTCATACTTTCAGTGATGTAACATTCATTACTGTGTACATCCCTAAGGTGGTGCCAAATGTTTTCTCTGTTTCAAAATATCGCCCTCTACAGACAAGAAAACAACAAAATTGGAAAAATATAATTTTTGAAAAAAGTTGCAGCATGGGAGCATTGAGGCACTCTTCAATGCTTGACTGAAATTGAGGGAAAAGGTGTGTTAGGTCAAAAGATGAGAATATTTGTAATAAAAGGTTGCATAAATACAGTTGTTTGCACGCTATGCATCCAATCATGAAATTAATTCCACAATTGGAACCCAAGGATACATGTTTTCAAGAAGAGATGGCTGTGTTACCATACCTTCTTATCTTTCTCCAGAATGGCCTTCTCCTTCTCTGATAAGACTTTCTTCAATGAGGCTACTTGTTCTCTGAGCTGTGTCATGGCCACCATGTGGTCTGTGTTACCTGGGTCGATAAAGGTCATGTCTGTCTTTGACGATCTGAGCAAGAAATAAATGACACATCCTATTTTTAAAGGCATAGTTTAACAATTTAAATCTGAGATGCATGGCCCTACGTGTTATCGGTGTCTGTGATATGGTGTAATGTTGAAGCCCTAAAAAATTTGCGCTTCAAAATGATCATGAAGTGCCTCAAAAAAGTAAAAATCTTTGAGTGACCGAATTTACCATACTCATTTTCCCCACTACACTGTAGTATTATAAAAACCGTTAAGAAAATGTAAAATGAAATTTTTCGATTTCCGATCATAAATATCTTGATATTCAGACAGGCTTGTAAAAGTCATGGGATTCTGGACTGACCTAAAGGTTTATAATTATGATTGCAGCATGAGCTAAATCCAGGATTTTGTTTCAGAATCTGAGGTAATGTTACCAAGTCACTTTTAGGGAAAGGATTGCATGAGACAAGCACCATTGACAATTGCTTTGTGGTCAATTTTTAACACTAACGGAGTTACTAATTTTAAACCTGCATCCAACCTAAAACTCACTCTTACCTAAACCTAACCAAACCCATTGTCAAACATACTATAAATATTTAATACTCTATTTCTTAAGTCATACATAAGACATACGCATAGAAGAATATCAAATTTGTGACGTAATTGAACAGGAATACTCACACCGTGTCGTGATCCACTTGTTTATTTTTCGTAGGAGATTGAAATCAAACAACTTTAGCTTTAAAATTGTGTTCCCTGTAATCTTTATCTCACTGTACTATTAAGATAAGATATAATTATTGCAACTTGATTTCATATGTATTTGGTGAATTCTCATGCCAAAAATCATCTATGCCTTTAATAAAGGACCTGCTACGAATATAAAATCATTACATAATGCAAAACCAGTAAACATTTGAGACACTGTAAGTATTTGCCCAAATTTTCCAATCATATTTACAAGTACAAACAAATCGCTATGCTTTGGTATGAAAATATATAACTTGTAAACACATCCTATCTTAAAGAAAGATACACTTGTATGATCTCTGACGTAGGTATCAGAATTACAGGCGCCCGTTTCACAAAGCCTTTTTTCAATGACAAATGAAAAAAGTCAGTGAAAAATCTGCTGATAACCAATCAGAAGCAAAGATTTCAGTAACTTATAACAAATACTGTCATTTGTCACTGATGACAAGTTCTGTGAAACATCCCCCTGGTCTACCATTAATGAAGGAGCAAGAATTGAAGAGATATTTGACAAACTTACGCGGATGGCAAGGCACCGTTACTGGAGTGTTCTGATTTGGTCCTCTTGACCTCGGGTTCATGGAGTGTTCTGAAAATATAAATAGAAAGGAAAAGGAAGAGATAGACAAAGAGAGAGAGAGAGATAGAAAGAGAGGGAGAATGTGTGAATGAGAGAAAGGAGAAACATGCATACAGAGATGACAGATTAATAGAAACACAAAACATGAGACAGATAAAAAGTAAGAGAGCGAGAGAGAGAGAGTTACTTAAAACAGCATAAAAGATGATAATCATAATATCAATCAGCTTGAAATGGATGATAAAATCTCAAAATGCTTGACTGAAGACGATATCCTGTCTGAAGTTCATTGACATAAATCTTCCATACAAGATCAATGGAGTGGGTACGTAAGTATTTGACATACCAGTAATAAGAAACACTATATTTGGGTTACTGTACTTCTGAACGATTAAGAGATTAATCTTGGGGCAGCACCGCACTTAAGAGGCTGGTACTGAGGTACAAGCTGAAGAGCTGAAAATGAAAAGCATCCCTAAACTAGTCTCACCCATGAAATTATTGTAGGCTGGGTAATAGGAGTTATGTATTAAACAACCATGCATGAAACTTGTGTCGGAATATTAGCAGACCACACTTACTGTTTCTTGTCGTTGGCCTTTGATTTATGATGCCGATGATCCTCTTTCTTGTCCTTATCCCTGTCTCTATCACGATTCCTATCTCTGGTCCTATCCCTGTCCTTCTCACCTCCCCCACCCCTGTCTCTGTCCCTGCCTTCTCTCGAGGCCGATGAATCTCGACCAAACAGGCCCCCTGACCCCGAGCCACCACCACTACCACCCCCTGAAGATGAGTTCTCAGGGCGGTTGTTCCGGCCCATTGAGGTAGGTGTGTCACGGTTCCTGTTCTTAAGAGGTGATGCAGTGTTCTGATTGGTGGCAGCGGTGGGATTGCCAGTAGGAGTCAGTGCTGAGGGTGTGTTGGTCCCACCCCCTCCGTTCCCTGTTGCTCCCCCGCCTCCTCCAGAGCCGCCTCCCACATTGCCTCCGCCATTGTTACTGCCTCTTGTCCCGCCATCGCTGGAGGAATTCCGATGGTGTTCCCGGTTGGTCAAGTCATATTTTCGCTTCTTTGCTTTCTGAAGTACCCGTTTGTATGATAATGTGCATAACCAGCATAACAACTTGCCATCAACCTGTTAAAATATGGATTGAAGGGTATGGACCAAGAAAGCTAGAAGTCAGTTGTACTATTGAGAAAGACTTAAGTTGCTTGTATGAATAAGCCAAAGGACTGACAAAATCTTATTTATAAATCAAACGGTGACAAAAGATCATTTCACCATCGTATACAAAAGAGCAATGGAAAGAGAAATTGAAAGGGAGGGGGAGACATGTGAGAGAAAGAGAGCACACAAAATTCCAATATTTAGTCTTTTGACAAATTTGAGCTGTCAGATTATCAAATATCATTCACACAATACTGTTTGCATTTTGCAATGCCATATACACTTTCCTTTAAAAGTATTCTCTTGAAAGGCTTAGAAAAGAAAAACAATTCTATAACTTTAATGATCTTAAACACGTATTAGGTTTTTGAAACTTATTCCCATAAAAGTCTTCAGAAGCTCCAAGGATCTAAACTCTGAAATAGCATAAGTATTTAAATTCGTTCTCATAAACGGCTATAAAAAAAAGGACATAAGTCTCTGGCTTCCAATGATCTCAAACTATCAACAATAACAGAAATACAATGTTCCTTTAGCCAATTCTATGCAAAGTGTCCAAAATGACATATGACATTTATCCACATATTTCATCTATGAATTCATTTTTAAAATCTCTGAATATGACTATAAATAATGGTAATGATACCAGAAAGTACTATTATTCAATGGTCATATCAAAAATGTCTTCATTTTTTAATGAAATATGTTGGACAGGACATTGAATGGAATCGTGATTTTCTAGAATCCACATGAATCCTATAAGATTTCCAAAAGGAAACCTAATGACCCCATGTTATGATATCTACTAGACCTACTCAGGAAGCCACCATCATTACCTTTTTCCTCTCATCCTTCCTGTCAAAAGCACACTTTTGTTTACACTGTTCACATGTGTGGGGTGGGCCATACTTCTTCTCAGAGTTGGAACACCTCTGACACTTGTTCCCGATGAAGGCCGCTATCACGTTGCAGTACTCACAAGGCTTGGGCTGTAGATAGATAGATTGAATATTTGAGAAAACATTGAAGTACAATGTAGTAATAATATTGTTTCATTTTTTTTTATAAATGTAATGCTTCCTGGGAGAAATTTCAATTATTTAAACACATTTGTGGCTTGCACCCAGTTAACAAGATCGATTGATCGATCTGTATTGAAAAACAAGATTCCAAGATTTTTTCCGACTTGTTTTTCAATACAGATCGATCAATCGATCTTATTTACTGGGTGTAAGCCACAAATATGTTTAAATATTGTTTCAATTGGATACATTGGCTTTCATTCAAATTATTCACAACTTATATACAAAGTAATTCATAAATGTGAGAATAAACAAAATGGACGATAGTCATACACATTCATGTAGCAATAATCTGAATGGCAGCTGAGAGTTAATATTTGCACTGGTACATGATACTCATTGTGTCACACTAACACAAAAATTATATTGCTCTTGACATTTGTTTTTCTTCTTCAGATAATGTTGTGATATTTATATCATTTTAACAGCTTTAAAACTTATCTGCACTAGTTTGGCCAGGAGGGATTACCGGTAGACCTCCCTGCATGGTCCCTGACAGGTGTTTATCTCATCAAATCAGCTCTAAATTAACATAAGAAAAAGGGGATCATGGGGAACCAACAGGTACTGCTTAGGCATGGTTTGCTATATACAGGGCGCAAGGAGCTACAAATAGTGCAGTGGGACTTTAACTATTGCACATTGAAAAATCAACAAATAAAATATCCCATTCAAGTGGCATATATGATCTTGAATGGCAAAACTAAAGCCTCCTGGATCAAGCCCCGGAATCCCCCTTACATCGTGCCCCCTGAAACGATCATTGCAATCACTTATGACATTAACTCACCGTGCCATATGTCTTGACATTCTGTGCACACTTTTTGCAGATGGCATTTGTGCTGCTTTTACTGTAGAAAGAAAAATAATGAGGAAAAGGTAGATTGATACGAGTCACTGCAGAGGCCAACATTGTACATTCAATGATTTTATTTTAGCTCGTTTGTAAACACACTAATTTGTTTCTGATAAAGGCATATAGATAAGAATTTTAGAAATACAATAATGTACATGTACATACTTTTTTGTTTACAAATGTATCTTATTTATTTATTCTGTGCATTTAAAAAAAAGACCTCTTTACAAGAGAGCCCTGAAGGTTGAAATTGATAAATTTGCTCATTTAATTTCAGGTTAATTTCAATTAAGAAATATATGAATTAGTGCTGTAACATCACGGATATCTCCAATTCTGTTTAACCGCCAGTCAAAACCGGACGGTTTTCGGTTAAACGATTTAAAAAAAAAATAAAAAAAATAGTTTTATTTATTTTTTTATTTTTTTATTTTTTTTACAGACTCTGTCGGCAACTTTCATTTAACTGCGAGGTGCATTTAAAGGGGCCGATTTGTGCTTGTGAACTTGTAACAAATAATAGTAACAATGTTGTTTTTAGAAGAATGTGTAAGATTATTAATGTAAATTAAAAACAGTAGAGGACCTAGGACAGAACCTTGTGTAAAAGTTGGATGAATTATTATTATAAACTACATATTGAGATGATGAGATCTATTACAAAGATTACTTTCAAACCAAGATGACAGACAAATTGGAGTGTTGTTCTAGTTTTGGAGTGGTGAGTCAACACACAGATTACTGAGCTGGGAGACATTGCCAGGCATAGTGCCAGGTGGAGGGGCATAAATCGAAACTTTAAAAAAAAAAAAAAAAAAAAAAAAAAAAAAAAAAAAAAAAAAAAAAAATCGGGAAAACGAAACCGTCCAATTGAAAACGGAATCCGCCATGGGCGGTCGGATACCGGATGGTTAAACGTTTGACTACAGCACTAATATGAATATTGGAACAGCAATGACCATCAATCAATTTTTGTTTCTATTTGTAATCTTGAAAATCTAATGATACAGATGGGGAAAATACTTACTTTTCTTGTTGAAATTCTGTTCTGCAGTAGGTACATTTTACAACTGGATAAGCACCTCTGCATTCCTGTTGTGAATGATCATAAAAATTACAATAGGAAAATCCAAAACCATTTCATTAATAATATTTAAACTCCCGACTCTCAAAGACTCGGACTAGTAGAATGTCTGAAACTTGGTTCCAGTGTCTGTTCATACGCCACCTAATAGTAATACTGTAGTATTGTCTCGTCTTTCCTCTTCTTTTTTTCATCTCTAAAGTTTAATACTGTAAATCTAAAGTACTTTAGTTTTACCACGACGGTGGGTGCGGGTGTGCATGAAATTAGCGACTGTAATCTCAGATCCTCATTAAATTTATGTAAACGCTAACATCCCGCACGCGATCACCTGCACCGTTGAGCCGTCTGTAGGGTATGCCAGTGGTTTGCCGTGAAACCTGCGAGAAAGTTTATATTATAATGTCTTTGTTTTGAGGAAAAATACTCCAAAAAGTTAAGAAACAAAACAATTTTCATTTTTCAAATCATGACCATTATTTGAACAATGGATGAAGATTTGGTTGAGTTTTGGTATGTTTGAGTAGGGTATCTCCACGCCAGAGTTACGGGACAAAGTCTGGATATGATTCTGAACTAGCGCCCAAAATTCATTATGTCTTTATAGATTCTAAATCATCCAAGTCATCAATCACATTCTCATCATCACAAAGAAATGAAACGGACAAAATTTCATGAAAGAGCTCGACTAAACTCTCTTTTTTTCAATAAAATCACATGTATTGATCAAGGGCCAAACATCAGAACATCATAAACAGACCAAAAAAGACATAAAAATTGAGACTCCATGACTGAGTGACCCAAGATCATTCCCTTTCCTTCGACTACATTACACACTTCTTCTCTGGTGGCCGCGGCCCCCCGGCATAGGCCTACACATGACGCACATTACGGGAAGAGTCATATTGCATTGTTTGCAGTGGGCAGTGTCTCGCCGATGATCGCTTACCTTACACAGTTGTTGGCCCTGTGATAATTCATCAAACGGATGTCTACTGTTGCACTTAGTGCAGGCAAAAAGTGCTACTTTCGAATTCGACATCAGGACATGAGTTTTGTCTTCATTAACTCGCTATAATGATCATTGATCATTCGCCAAATACGGTGAAATCTGTCCGTTTTCCCGTGCGATTCGCCTTTAACTATTGTGCTTTCCGAAAATTGAACGGATGAACGCTTTGCGGTGCAACAACAAGTTTTGTGCAGGAAATGCTACCGGGCCGCCGCAGACGTATTCACAGATAAAACGAAAACACGTTGAGTGCCAAAGGGATAAAGTGCATACCGTTGTACTATTGTGGAGATTATATATATTTTTGTAATAATGTAAAATAAATTTAATGTCATCCCCACTTTCATCTGTCTCACTTAAAAGGAATATTTATCCAGCTTTCTGATTAGCTGCAAGTCTATAGTATTAATCCTTCCTGTAAGGACTAAAAAAATACATATTGTGTTCTCTCTCTCTCTCTCTCCACCCTCCCCCCAAAAGAACCTGCCAATTAATCCTGTTGATATTGATGTTTTTCATTGATGTAGTGGTTTTCAGTCTTTAGAAATGTTTATATGTTCCTGCCATAAACAATCACATAAGAACTATACATTCCCTATTCATATGATAGATGTTTTAAAGTTCCTTTGATATTAATTTTCATTAATCAGTTCATAGTGGAAAGAATAAAAACAATAAGCCTTTCTCTGATTAATTTTCTTTCTTTGATTGTTGATATATGGCTATGCAAGGGGAGACACTACCTTGAATATTTAAAGAGAAGGTTGAGTTCTGGGAAGAGGTAAACAATAATTTGTGAGCGTTATCATTGTCATTATGCAAGGGTGGAAGAACATCAGATTAAACATGTTCCCTGAAAAGCATGGCTCTTCAAATGCCTTCATATTCTAAATATGACATGTAACATCATAAAAATCGGGGAGGGGGGGGGGGGTGGTAGGTTTTTTGTTTGCCATGTGCTTGTGTAGTCCCATATGCATCATTCTGTGTACAGTGCTTGTAACTCTGCAAAGATTTGGCCAAATTTCTTATCATTTTGATGATTCCAGAACCTTGCAATACACACGAATACTTATTAGATGATCAACCTTTTCTGATAGATTCCACACCGTTTTTTCACAATGCAGTCACATGACCAGAACTCAACTTTATCTTTAAGTTGCTACAGTTACCACAAAGTAGACAAAAAATGCTCACACAAAAGCTTTAGAAATATGTTTGAAGCGCTTTTATTCATTTCATCTTTCATACAGCCAATTGAAGAGTGTGACACAACGACAAACAACATCTTTTGTGACGGTGCAGTTATCTTAAATATAATCAAATACAGTGGAAAAAAAGAAAGAATATTCAATGGAAAAAAAAGTAATAACCATGACAATGATTCACGTAAACAATAAATCTAGAAACTTATGTGCCTGAAATTTTTGTGAATTTTTATGAGTAGTCCAGATTTGTAAAAGCACCATGCCTTGCAAATATTGATTACAATGATGATTTTTTTTTTTTTAGTGATTCGCAGGAGTATCATGCTGCATAGTGGTCATCATTAGACATTTGTAAAGTTTTCAAGTTACTGAAATTTCCGGTAATACAGCTATCCCCAAAAAATATTTGAGTTGGTATGATTAAATCTTGAATCTCGGAACAAAATTATGAGAGACTCAGACACTGGGGGACAATTTAGAATAGAACCAGTAAAACACACATAGGTATATGCATATTACAGCGTTTCTCTATCAAAACATAATGTCATAAACATGCTTTTAATGGCAATTTAACCATTCTTTTGACTGTTTACTTCTCAGGAAGATGTGGAAGGTGTTTAATCACTGAATGTAGAAAAATTAATGACAGAATTGTGTACTCAGTATGAATGTCTTTTACTTACATAGGACAGAATGATGTTTTTAAAAACTATACACAAAGCACTGTACATATATACATTTCAAATACCATTAAAATACAGGGCAATCTTCATCATAGAAACACCAGATTATTCACTGCATAACGAGTCCACTTGTTAACAAGTCTAAGAAGAGGTTGTTTGGTCGCCTTCTCTTAGATTAAAAAGTTGTCTGTCTGCTAAATGATAAAGTCTTATTAATTTTAACACAACGATGTCATTCCCTGCCGTTCAAAGCTTGCCTGCTAAGTCACTTATTTCACTAATAAATTCAAAGTTTAGAAAATGAAATATACATGTACCGCAAAGAGGGAGGTGGGGGGAGGGGGTCTCATATAGTCATATAAACACAGATCTTGATGCTCTGGCAACAATTGCTCAGGACTTTACTTTGTCAATGATTTAGGGTCGAGTTAGGGTTACAATATATGCTTTCAGCAGGGCTCCACATCAAAATTTTGAATTTTTGGGAGTCCAGACATTTGTCCAGGGCACTGGTTAGTGTTGATCCCTGGTTTAGGATTATGGTAAGGGTTAGGTATAGTGTATAGGCCAGGGATGAAGTTGGGAAATCATTTAGAGTATGAAATTGAACACAGAGCGATTATTGCCGAAACTTGCAATGTATGACAATCTTGGTGATTTATGCTAATGAGCTGTCAGCAATGACTTACTCAGATTCTCAACCAAAGTGTAATGCAATATTTATATTAAATACATATGTCCACACAGATTTCATGAGACTGTATAAGAGTGATTTATAGTTTCAATTATTGTTATCATTATAGGTCAACAGGACCCCCTCTTAACATAGGTCTGGCATAGTCAGTTCATATACTCACTTCTTTAAAAAAAAAGGTCATTACAATACATTGTTTCAATCTTATCTGTTTTGTGTGCACTAAATCACTTGAATACAACATTGAAAGGGGGTCCCTTGAGCATGTATGCTCATCACTAATCCAAAGAAAATCCTGATGTACAAATGTGAGAGGCTTACATCAAGAGAAAGCTAAATAAGTAACAACTTTGCTGTTGAAGTCTGATAAGTAATACATACCAATCAGCTCAGGGAAGTACATTTACAGTTAACAAATAAATCATTCATACCCTTACAAAGTTTTGGAATTGTTTAAGTTTGTGTAAAGTTGATTTGTCTCCATTCATGTTTCTTGAGAATGTGACATAGGGTATTAAAACTAAACATCTAAAAGTATTCAACAAAGGCCCTAATTCAACCAGTCCACCTTCCATTCTTGAGTTACGAAAAAACACAAACAAAAAAGACATGAAATTTACAAGAGGTGTGAATAATTTAGTTGTTAACTGCATGTGTTATCTAAAGAACACAATTTATCTGAGGACAACAATTATCAAAAGAGAAAAGTAAATATGTCTTGCTTGAAGATTGACAGTTGGTATCTGGATTCCCAAGATGGCCGCTGTAAAGCTTCAGAGCAATCCCTGCCTCTTGAGATCTTCAAAGGTTTTCTTGTTGACCACATTTCCTATGGTGTCCTCAAATTCCTCCTGTTAATGGATTAGAAAAGAAAAAATAATGACAATAACAATAACAGCATGGAAATCAGAATGAAACTGAACAGAGAGTTAAAATGACAGCAAACTTCAACACATTAGGCTAATGGATGAGTAAAATCATATGAAAATTTCATTGCAAATATTGAGATCAAAGCTTATAAATGATTATAAGAACCTTATAAATGATTATAAATGAATGTATAAAGTTTATGGATGATTTTTGTTTCTAAATAAGGCATATTTTTGGTTAGTTCTCCAGTTTTATGTACAAAATCTGTACATTCTTTTTAACTGTATATATCACTATAATATTTCTTATTTCTTTTTCATAATTTATGGAAAGAAAAATAATCTAAACTTGAACAGACAAGGCATTACAACTTACCTCTGCTTCTGGAAGCCATCTTTCGGATGCCTTGTTATTCTTCAGTTTTTCCCACACTGAGAAATAAATCAAGAAACAGACAAAAATATTAATAAATTACAGGAGGTGGGCACAAAAGTCAAGAAAGATATGGGCCCTGTATGATAAAGAGGGGTAATTGATTTGAATCAATCACAACTCCTTATCATACAGGGCCATGAACAAAATTTCTACAACTGAGAATTGCGATAGAACTTATTAGTAATACATGCACTGGAGAAGGTGAAATTACTGTAAATGTTTTCATGATATATTAGTAGGAAGACTAGAATGTTTTAATTTAGTCACACTTCAAAATACAATGGTGAAACATATTTCCTAATTGTAATTACTGTCACAGAATCCTGTAAAGATTTCTGGAGTGAAGGTAACATAATACACCACAAAGTGCCCTATAAAGAGTTTATCTACATCATTGATTGAGAGTCACAATTCAATTCAATTCAATTCAGTTTGTATTTAATTCCAATAAAATATACAAAACAGAATACAATCATGACAGAATAAGAGTATAAATCCATCAAGACTACAAAATTAGTTAAAATGATACAAAAATAAAGCGATACATCAGATAACAACATAAGAGCATTATTGGAATTGGGTGGCCATACCAAAAACCATGAGGATTTGTCGAGACGACAACCCTTAATAAAAATTTTAAAAAGTTGAGTTGAACATTCAATATAATCTAGAAAATTTAAAAGATAATAGAGTACTATAAAGAATAAATAATTAAGAATATATGACATATTTTATTTTGTTTTAATAAATACATATTACCGCACAAGGGCATTTGATCTGTGTAAAAATGTATGATTTAATACCCTTCTGTCTCTATAAGGCAGAGAGTGTGTACTTACATGCTAGTGCATCTTCAATATGAGTGACATTGGCGAAGTGAGCTGTGTTGGGAATACCAAGGCACCTCATACCATGGGCGTGGCGCCACTCCTGAAGAAAAAGGGAGGGTGGAAGGGTGAAAGATCAAATCATAACTTAAACATCAATTTAAGAAATGAAAGGATTCAAATGCTTTTGTTTAATCAATAAAATGATGCATAAATGATGCGAAAAAACTGACAAAAAGACCCTGATTGCATGTCTTTTATCTTATGCACCTCTCTCTCATGTAGTCCTTCCATCATCCTCATCATCATCATTATCCACCCTTATTATCTTTATCATCATCCTAACAATCATCACCATCATTATCCTCACCACCATCATCATCCTCTTCCTCTTCCTCATCATAATCACCATCCTCGTCATACATAAACAAATAGTTTCAACTCCTTTGCGTTCTCCATCCTCACTCTCATCTGTCATCATTGAAATCTTATCATTACCATCACCATAGCAACATCACTATAGATACATGAACTTACTGCAAAATGTCTCTGGAATGCTTTGGGTCCTCTGTACGTTTGGTTACCACAAATCTCGCAGCTGTACGATATATTGAGGCCATGGAGTTTGTATAACCAATAAGGAATAGGCTGCAAAGACAATCACAAAATAAAACATAAGTAACTATAAAATGATGTAATTCAAATGTCTTGTCATATACAGGTGTAGATACTCTATACTTTACTTGAGTTACAGGTTCTGGGATTTTTTTTTTATTAGAGAATACTACAAACACCCATCTAGAAAGCAACTATACCGGTAGTTGAATACCAGTATGTGAAGTAGCTCCTTTTTTTTTCCTCCTTTATGCTTTATCGTGAAGCTTCCAATATATATTTCTTCTTTGGTTTTATAATTTCCTGTCAAAACTTTGCATAGCTGGGACTGGAAGGAGATATAGTTTTCTGGTAGTTTTCTAGATAATGCCTCAAATCATATGCTAACTGTCATTTCCACAATTACTCTCCATGACTCATGCATGTTCAAACCTATTACAAACCATTCAAATACTGGATTTAGAAATGCAACACTTTAAAATGGAGAGGGACTCTTAAACCATGAATATAACAGATGATCTTTCAGTGTCATGTGTTGAACTCTTAGAACAATTTGAATATAAGAACCTGCACATTTAAGCTTTGCAAAAGAGTATTAATACTCTCACAATAGAGTGGGATAAGGCTGACCCATTATAAACAGAGATACAATGAGGGGTTTAAGTCTATAGGAAGCACATATCTATTCAATCTCTGCTTTTTATTGTCCAACTAAGCACTCCCCAGGAAGTGGGAAACGAATCAGTAAAGCTCAAGTGATTAAATTCTATCATCATCTCCCCACACAAACAAGGTCAAAGTCTGAAATGACAACTTCTTCTCATAAAGGTCCAGGGCAAAATATTGAGGGTCCATGTTCAGCAGAAACATTCAGCTAGTACCCAAAGTAAAGGGGTCTATGTGTTCCACTCCCAAATTTAATTTTGTGGGTGTTGTTGTTGTATGTGTTGTTGTTATTATCATCATTGTTATAAATATTTTGCATATGTTTACACCACCTCCTAGGGGCAGGTTCTTCAGGTTGCATATAAAATTCTCCATCATTGCTATGGTCACTATTTGAGAAGCGAGAAAGGGCCAGATTGGCATTACCTCATATCATATTACGGAGAATTAATGCCCTTCTAGCTATCAGCAAGAGACTTATGACAAAATCAAAACCCAAAAATTAATAATAATAATAATAATAATAATAATAATGATAATAATATTCAGCTTTTCTATAGCTTTTCTATAGCTTTTCTATAGCTTAATACATCAACGATGTGTCTAGGGTGCATTATGATTACAGATATATTATTACCTGGTCATCGGATTCAGGCTTACCCGCACACAATGTATGCACATTCTCCACTCTCTGGAGAAAATTCCAGCCAGGTGTCATTTTCAAAAACGCACATTTGCTCATCAAACCACATTTACTTTCGCATCCTACCGGGTACCCAATTATCACCTGGGTGGAGAGCGGCAAATGTAGATTAACATCTTGCCAAAGGAGATAGACCTATCCACTAGACCACAACATCCTTCACGTACCTTTCCATCCCATCCAAGGGGCAGGTTCTTAGGGTTGTAGATGACCTCCTCCTCATCATCGCTATCCCTTTTTTAAAAGTGAGAAAGCTAGATGGGCATTACTTCAAATCATTTTGAAGAGCATTAATACCCTTCTACTCCTAGCTATCAGCAGGAGACTTATGAAAAATTCAAAAAATAAACGTTAAAGCGGAACTGCACTACTTGTAGCTACTTGCGCCCTCTATATAGCAAACAATGCCTAAGCGGTAGCCGTTGGTCCTCTATGATCCCCTTTTTCTTATGTTAAGTGAGAACTGAATTGATGAGATAACCACCTGTCAGTGACCATGCAGGGAGGTCTAATCCCTCCAGGCCAAACTAGTGCAGGCAGGCTTTAAAATCTTTCACGTACCTTTCCATCCCATCCAAGGGGCAGGTTCTTAGGGTTGTAGATGACCTCTTCCTCATCATCGCTATCACTGTCTGAGAAGTGTTCCTCGTCCTCATCCTCCCTCTCTGTTCCCGTCCTTGCTTGCTTCCTCTGGACGTTCTCTCTCGTTGCTTGGCGTTGCTCCTACAGTCGGAATAAAGATAGCACTGATAAATGGTCTGTTTTCATGTTTCTGGCAGCTCAATACAATGTAATGGCCCTATGTGCTTCCAATGATCTTCCTACACCTGGGTCAAGTGTGGCAAATGTAGATTAATGTCTTTCCAAATAACGTTAGTGAGATGGCAGGAATTCAAACCCTGTACCTAGTGATCTATATTCTGCCTGGTGACATATAAACCTTTCAAGGCTCCGACTTGCAGGCCCAGGTTTAAAACCAGCTGGCTGACCATACATTCACATTCTTACTGTCCGAACCTTGCGAGTCTTCTCATTCTATTGTATCCCAAGTTGGCCACTCAATATTCAAATTTGCATTTTCTTTTTTCTTTTTTAAATCTTTTTATATCAAATTTGAAATCCAACTACCACATACATGTAAGTCTGTGAATATTGATGTGCATCCCCTCTTTCTCTTTTCTTTTTCCCCTTTTACCAATATTTTGTTCCTCCAAATTTGTATTATTATGTATCCTTTGAGGGTAGTCATACTATCAAGCTTTGCTTATTTTGTCAACCCTCCTGTTTGATGTTTTAGATTAGTTACTGTCAGCCTTACTTTATTCTACATATATCCTTTCTCATGTGTAAATTTTCAATATTTGTTTGTTATATATTTGTAAAAATGCAAAAGAAAAAGAAAATCAAACAAAAATAAATAAATCAAATCAAAATATCAAATCAATACTCACTAGACCGTAACATTTCTAAAACTTGGCACAACATTACAAACTCATCATGGCCCTTAATTTTCTTAATCACATCTGCATACTAAAAGGGCACATTGGGATGCATGAAGATGAAGGGAAATTGTTCTATGAAACATGCTCCAGTATCAGCTGCCCCACAGTCAATTTTGTTCTCTAATATAACACCCAACTTTAATACACCTAATCCTAACCCATACCTGCCAACCTGAGACAAGAGAAATTAGGAGTAAATTTTTCTGGATGGACTACGAGGTCGCGAACCACCGAAGGATTGGGGTAGTAGCCCGTAGATTGGGGGGGGGGGGGGGGGGGGGGGGGGTACACAGGACTTTAGGGTCTATTTTTTTTTCTCTCCATTTTAATGGTGCAAATGGGCCTTTTCCTTCAACCTTTTCGCCCCACACATAAACAATTTTTGAAATGTGAACACTCACAAAACTACATGTTTCACTACCCACCTCAGTTAGGAGCCCTATTTTGCAAAGGTATATAGTAGTAGTAATCCAAAATAAATCTGAGGAAGTCTGGTAAATAACAAGCTTCCACGATCGCAGTCATCGCACAAGCATTGAAGAAAACACGCCAATGTATACAGTGTTTATGCACGGCGTATCAACTGCACATGTAATATAAATACACGTGGGCTATACGCAGGTATGAATAAACATCCCCAAATTGCTGATGTGAGATGCTTGTAGGATACTTTACAGGACAGAATGGACATTTTGCCATTGAAAATGGCGGACGCACCCACAAAATATTAATTTAAAAAAAATTATTAAAAAAAAAAAAAAAAAAAAAAAAAAAAAAAAAAAATCAAAAAAAAATCGGAGTTTTGAGGCATGCACTCGGAATTCGGAGTTGCTATGAAAAATGCGGAGAAACTCCGCCTAAATCGGGGTGGTTGGCAGGTATGCTAACCCAATCAATCAAACTCACTTAAAACCCAACTGTAACCATAAACCTGGAGACAATTTTGGGTCATCAAAAATGTAAGACAAATATACTGAAAGCTTAATGTACAGTGTTGTATAAAGATAATAACACACTGTGTGCACATGTTGAGATTCAACTTTATCAAAGAAACCCATTCAAACTCAAAGACTGAATATGATATGTTATTGCTCTACTCACCCCAAGAAGTTCAAAGAAGTAGTAGACCTGAGCTTCCAAGAATGCTGTATCTCTCTGCTTTTCTGCATCCCTGACAAACAAAAAATACATTGTTAATGGTGTTCATACTAAGAATGCTTATAGCACTCAAAAGTCCTATTTGAGACAATACGTACAAAAGTTTAAAACTGGCTCCTTCAATCTAGGGCCCATTACTATAAATATTGAAAAAACTGCGGTGACTAAATACTTTTGCTATTGTTATTGAATTGTAACTGTACAGTAAAATCCCTTGTGTTCACAATTACAAAAAAAAGAAATCTGAAATAAAAGTTAGTGTGCCAAGATCAACAGCACCTAAAGACTATGTAACCCCTGGTTCCTAAATTCATATCATCGCCAGATACAGTGAATATTATCTCCAGTTACAGTGAAAGGAAAAATGTCTCTGAATTCCTTTTAACATATGCATCAAAGAGAATCTATTGACACCCAAGAATTACAATATGAAGGCACTTACTTCTTGCCAGCTTTGGTTGTCTTGCCCGGTTTACTCTTAGCAAACAGGGCCTGGTCTAGCTCGTCCAGCTGGACTCCCTTGGTGCTGAAGAGGCGCTGGGCCCGCTGCTCCAGGGTCCCACCGCACTTGAGCCCGAGCGCCATCAGGGCTGACTTGAGACGATCCAGACCAAGAGACGCCAACTCCTATAGATTATGAAGTAAAGATTAAAGATCAGGTTTATTCCACTTAACTCTTAAGCTGCCACCCATACAATGCACCCAGTGCCACAGTGCTAATCCCTATTATGCCAGCCACAAATCTCCTGCGTGCCAAGTTAATTTTAAGGTTTGTTCAAGCGTGTGTTATTTAAATCTTTACAAAAAACAAATCACTAAATTACTCGAGAAAATCCAATCTGACTGTTGTATACAAAGACGCGTAATCCAAAGCCGATAATCTGATGCACGCGATGGTACTTTCAAAAGCGCTGCAAAAGCACTTAGCACGGTGCCATAGGCATGAACAATGACTGTTATTACATTTGCGCCCTTGCGTGCACAAAGCAGAGTAGCGGTGGCTCGCTAGCATGAACGTGGCATTCAATAGATAGCGCGCTCGCGTGCACAGAGCACTATAACAATAGCGCGCTAGCAGTCTCATGGCAGGATATGAGTTAACAATAAAGATGATAACAGCAATATTGCATGTTGTAAAAGCTGCAAGTAACTGATGTCCTACAGCATGCATACTCACTTATTTGTGTGTTATATGATACAAAATTAGGAAATGCAGTACACTGATAAAAGTATGCTTTAAAATCATGGTTTACCGCAGCACATGTGAACAAGTCTCAAGAGGCGAAACTGAACTGCTGAATGGCTAGCATAGCATGAATACTGACCTCTGGTGACGAGAATGCAGACAGGTCAAGATGAGCTCCAGCATGGGTCATGGCACTGGCTGCTTCTTTCTGTACAAGAGAAAGGAAAACATAGCAAACATAGAAAAAAAGAATAATTGTTTCAACCTTTTTTAAATATCTGTTACCAATCTTTGTTTAAGTTGAATCATACAAATTGATTTTGGATAAGTATAAGAACATTTTTAATACTCAATTTTGAAAAAGTCTTTGGGGGTAAATTTCACTGTTTTCTTAATAAATTACAATAACCACTCTCTGCTTCTTTGCATAAAAAAGTTTTACTCTTGGATGATATATACTATGAGATCAATATTTCCTTACATCAACCTAGCAAGATCCATCTTTCGAGTCAAGGCTAGAAATTGTCTAAATCATTCAATAGTGAGTTAAGTTGAAATTGACTGAGACTTGCGGTTATTCAAAACATTAAAGGTAAAGACTAGTATTGGAAACACCACAACTTCAAAAATGAAATGGAAGCTCTTATATACCAATCATGTGAAAGAATATGTTTTGACTAATACATGATGATAAAAACTTTGCCGGGAAACCGCCTACTAATTGATATATTTGGTAAATTAGTTTATCTATTGGTGTGTGAGAGATAAACGCATGTGTCGCGCACATGTGCGTAGTCCCATATACATCTTTCTGTGTACAGTACTTGTAACTTTACAAAGACTGGGCCAAATTTCTTATCATTTTGATGATTCCAGAACCTTGCAGTACACACCAATACTTATATACTAGATGATGAACCTTTTCTGATCGATTCCACAACGTTTCTTTCACAACGCACTCGCACGACCATAATGGTTCTTTACCTTTAAAGCTTATGGCATCCTCTAAGCTTAAACAGGCTTAAATTCAAAATAACCCCATTATGCATCAAGACAATGCATTAGGGTTAGGGTCAGGGTTACTTGTGTGGTGGGGTATTCTGCACGTATACCAAATCACGGGATGACTCACCGGCCAGCCGGGGAAAGTCCCTGCTTCCCATTGAATCTCAAATTCTTTCTTGACCTTCTCTAGTTCCTCTGCAAAGTCCAGGATGGGCTTGACCCTAGAGGCATAGTCCTGGAGATAGACTAGAATCAGATCCAGGTACCTGGGGCAAAGATATAGGGTAAAAGATATGCTTGTAATGAGTAGTCCTTGACAAACCTGTGGACTTTAGGGAAATAATGGCCTCTTCCAACAGAAGGTACAGAGATAGAGTGAAAGAGAGAGATAGAGATAGAAAGAGGAAGATAGTGAGAGAGACAGACAGAGATAGAAAGAGAAAGGAAGATAGTGAGAGAGAGAGAATGAGAGAAAGAGTGAGAAAGAGAGAGAGAGAGAGAGAGAGAGAATGAGAGAGAGAGAGAGGGGGGGGGGGGGTGGGTGGAGGGAGGCAAAGGCAGATATGTATAGGTAGACACACTGGCAGACTTGACTTTTCTTACATCATAAATCACTGACCAAACTGCCAGTTTGAAATTCACATAGACTTAGTGATTTCATATTCAAAAACTTATTATTCGTCCGATTCATTTCAAACTTTCGCCATTCTGTTTATTTATCTTTTTTTCTGCTTTCATAAAAATCAACTGAATACAAGGGTTGGCTTGCCTTCAATATTGGTTTTATAATTGCTCTGAAATTTTGTATTCACTGTTAATTGATTTGATGCAACTTGTATTTGCAAATTCTGTTTCCTTTACTTATGCACTATTTCCCTTCCAAACCGCTTAAAGGCATTATGCAATTTGCGGTATAGAAATATCTTATTATTATTTATTACTAAGTGAATTAAATAAGACTCACCTCCTGTATTCTGCATTCTTCTTATCCTTGTTTATCTCAAAGAGACGATCAGCAATGGACAGGTATGTCACATAGTCCACTTTCTGTTGTATTAAAGGAAGAACACAAGAATAAAAAACAGCAAAATAAATGATTGTATTTCACATATTACCTTGGATATCTCAAAGAGACGATCAGCAATAGACAAGTACATGTATGTCACATAGTCTGCTTTCTGTTGTATTAAAGGAAGAACACGAGAATGAAATACAGCAAAATAAATGATTGTGTTTCACATATTTCCTAAGGATTACCTAATTCATCTGTTAGTATTCAGCTCAAGATGGCTGCTATTCAAATAAAGTAAACTTAACTTTCCCCAAGAATAAAATACAGCAAAATGAATTATTGTATTTCACATATTACCTAAATATTACCTTAATAATCTGTTAGTATTGAGCGCCAGGAAGGCTGCTATTCATATAAAGTAAAATTAATTTTCCTAAAGTACTCATGTGAAGAGTGTGAATGCATCCTGCCAATGACATTTCTTTTCAATACTGTCATTAATGATATCCATAGCTGTTTATTATCATGGATACTGGTTGGTTTTAGTCAATTAGCCTGAATAATCATAGGGAAGTTGGAGGCATCTATGTCCCAAATAACATGAAACCTTAAACAGTCCAAAGCACAGAGGTGACAGGCCCATAATAAGCCAAAGCCTGATAACTGGTATCCCTCCAAGAACACAATGATATTAGTATTCTTTCTTTGTTTGTTTGATATTTGCCTATGTTTTTTTATAAATCAAAGACAGCTGCCAACAGATACAGCCTGCACCACTGCAACAAATAAAGGGATGGTAAAAAAGTGTGGCAATTGAGAAATACAAATAAAATTTGTCTGTGCACCAGGATATACATCTACATGTATGTAGAGTGGTACATTGTAATTGCTTGGTGTGGAATAAGTTACCTTTCTCTATTCAGACGGCCGACTCTCTTTCTACTTTTAAAACTGGGCTTAAAACTCACATGATGCTTAATGCGTATTGTTAAATTTAAATTTCAAGACTTCTTTTTATACAATGCATGCAAAACGAATAATCACACTGTGCCACGTTGTATGTACCATGGCACCATGAAGTTGTGTGATCTAATGTATGTTAACATTTGATAAATATTGTTATTATTATTATTAGTTTTGTTGAATGTCTCACCTCTGTACCCTTGAGGTTGATATACTTGTCGTAGCACTCGTGAAGGTCCATGTACTTGCCGTATCCTTCTTCATCTTTGAAAGGAACCAAAGACTGATTCTCCTCGGCGGGGTTCTCTCTATCTTCCCTCAGCTGCTCAAACTCAATGGACATAGGCACTGAGATCTATACAGAAACACAAGGTGAAGTAATAATATATTAGTGGGAAGAATAACTTATTCTATCAGTGTATTGTCTTAAATATGTTGGAATTGATTATTTCTTATTATATAAAAAGAACCAATGACTGGATGTCTTCAAAGGGTTCTCTCTCATTATCTCTTTCTGCAGTTGCTCAAACTCAATGGACATAGGCACTGACATCTATATACAAGTAGAAGGTGATGTAGTATTGGTGAGAATGATGATTGCTATCATCACTGTCTTTACAATTTCATAATTATGAAAAAAAAAGCGACGACTGAATCTCTCTCAGGGTCCTCTCTCATTATCTCTTCCTGCAGTTGCTCAAACTTAATAGACATGGGCACTGACATCTAAACATAACATAAGGGGACGTAAAAGTGTATAAAACATTTTTTACGGTTACTGGAGCTCCTTCAAAAATTTCATTGCATTGATTTCCGTGTGCATTTTGTTATGAACATGTTATTGTATCAGCCAACTGAATATAAAACATGACTCCAAAATAAGCCCTAACCCTGAAGTAACTTTGATGAAATAAAGCCCAGAGTAAATTAAATGACAGATCACACACTCCCCCTAAATCTTACTGTCTTCCTCTTCTCTCTCTTTCCCTCTCCCCCTCTTTATATCTTCTCCAGACCCTTCTTTCTTATCATCTTGTATCTTACCTACATATATCTTTTATTGATTAAAATATCTGGTTTCCTGGCTTTAGTTTAGTTGACTGTAGAGCCTACTTTGATATGGTGCTTTTATTTCTTTTGTCATGCACATATACCTTGCAATATCTACCTTTGTTTTACATCAAATTATGTTGAATGAGACTTTTGTGCATATTACGGAGCAGCTAAACAATGATTTCATGCCCCATGTATGTTCACATTTGGGGGCGTTTCACAAAACTTGTCATCAGTGACAAATGACAGTTTTTGTTATAAGCTACTGAAATCCTTGCTTCTGATTGGTTATCAACAGATTTGTCACTGATTTTTGTCATTTGTCATTGAAAAAAGGCTTTGTGAAACGGGTCCCTGGTGCATAAACAATACACTCTTATTATGAATGTACTAGCCACACTCGCTCACCTCATTAGGATGTCTCCTGTGGAAATCTTTGATGACCTTTAACCTTGTATAGAACTCAGCAAACTCATTAGGACCAGATAGAGCCTGGATCTCCTCCTTACGTAGCCTGAGTGAGAGACAAGAACATTATGAGCGCTGATGCTTGAAAGGTACTATTAAAGTGTACCAATCACCTACTGTATAATAATAAATTGTGTACAGCTAGAATGTATGAAATCAACCTCAAAAACCTTAGTTGGTATTCTATCATCTATGGGCCAATGGATAATAAGAATGGAGAAAATAAAGAATAATATAAAACTCTGTGCATGGATCCAAGTAATTCAGAAAATGATTGGAATTAGGATATTAACTCTCACACAATCAAATTACTCTTGCAATATGTCTTGAAGATTGCTCAGCGCACGTAAATATTTATCTGTCTAGCAAATATGCAGATTGTAAATGTATATCAACATGTGACTGCATTAATATCAACCTCGCTGTAGTTGAGCTGCCTAAATTATACGACGATGAATGTAAAAGCATCAATGGCATTCTCCCTTGAAGAACACATTTCCAAACTTGGGTCAAGAGAGATGAACATCTATCTATAAATAAAACCAAGCAGATAATCATATCCACAGACATTACATCCCTATACACCAATTCAGAGAACTGAACATGGAAGTGTCAGCCACCATTACAAGGCCCCATCAAGTACACTAAATAATACTTAAAATATTCTCACTTTAGTTCAGGGATAGCCCTGTACCTGTCTGTTTACATGTACATTTAACCATCTCATGTTATTCTCTTGGATGACCCCCAGCCATAGTGGACAAAGCAGTGCTCCCAAATGTGTTTAAAATATTGCTTGAATTGTGCTCAGCTCTATAAAAATACTTACCCATCTCTATCTTCATAGAGCTCTTTTAACGTGTTGGTCCCATCTACATAGCGCTGCAATGAGAAGTTGGAAGATGACAAAAAATAAAATTAAACACTTGTTGAGAGAGAGAGAGAGAGAGAGAGAGAGACAGACAGAGTGAAGTGGAAAGAATATGGGTGCAATGCACAGTCTAGCTCGGGGAAGCTCCAAAAGAGTTCTCAAAAATAGAACCTTGCCAAAAAAGCAGCAGAGACATGAATAATCAAATATAACTCTTTAATCTTTATTAATGTCAAAGTCATGAAAAGGCACTTAATATCAACGAACATAAACTCCAAATGACAAAATAATCCCAGCTGTGCATGTTTTTAAAATAGCCCAAAACTTTTTTAATAAATCAGCCCTTTTTGTTTGTTCCGATCATGATACCGATAGCTCTAACTTACAGGGTTACTATATCTTTTTAAAATGTGATGCTCCTCATAAATTGTTACGCGTAGATGCTTACTGCTCTTAATGAAAAAGGTAGACTGATTACTGGGTAGACACTAGAATACATGTGTGAACTTACATCAAGAAGTTGCTTTGCACGGTAGTCTGAATTTATCTGCTCACGGTTCTGCAAAAGATGTGAATGGATTAACATTAAAAGCATGTCAAAATAAAATACAATATAATAAAGCGAGAGGTCATTATTTTTGAACAACCGACTTTCAGGAACAATGGAAAATCCAAGCTTAGCATTAAACTACTCTAAAATATAACAGAAAAATCTGGGAAGAAGAATTGCGAAAGTTGAACAAAATCAGACCGAACAAAATAGGAATAAGGTTATGAAGTTTTTTCACTATACGAATGGGAGCTTCAAATTTGCTGAATCAGTAATATCACTGTGACGTAATGCCTGAAGACTTTCTAATTTGTTCCAACACACAAAATGACTGAAATGTCACTTACTAAAAAAAAAGGATGACTTAGCAGGGTATTGTCTCTTTGGATGACCTAGATCAATATGCCATCCATAATATATTTTTAGTAATGCCCCAAGGGAGAAAGCACAGAAAAACAGAACTTAATAATATTTTTGTGCAAAACAAATTGTCAAGACTTGTCTTTGTCTACGACTCTGTGTCACAATCAACTGACCGAATTGCCAATTTGAGATTTGCATAGCTTAAGTGATTGCAAGGAATTCTTACTTTACATCATTAAACTATTGTAAAAAGTGTCGCTAAACTCAGCAAACTACATGCACATGTCTATGAGATGTAAACAAAAATAATTTGCTTTTGTTGTATTATGTATGTACAGTTAGGGTAACACTGGAACTACTTATCCCTCGGGCAGCATTTCTCAAAAGTGGCAAATCTCGGAGCTACAATGGAAACAATGTTTAAATCGCTGTTTTTTCATCAAGATATTTTTAGAGTTCCGAGATGACACCTTTTGGGGCATAGGGAGAAAAAGTTGATCTTTCACATATGACACCTCATTTGTTTTGTATCGCCTTCAGAATCACAAAGAATAAAGGTTTGAATCTCAATTTGTAGATTTAAAAATTGACCAATTTTGCATGAGCGCGCAATTTCTATGGGAAAGGTTTTAGCACACAAAGCAGAGTGTGTGATCACACACCCTACATTTAATTTGTAGTAAAGCTTGCCTTTATCCTGTTTATTACATTTTTTTCTCTGAACGTCACAAGATCCACTCCTGCAACAAAAAATTGTGTTTAGGGTCTAGAGTCTATAATGTTAAAAGAGGACAAACTAATCATGAAGATTAAATATCAGTTGGGGGCGTTGGTACGAGAATTAGGATCGTCCATATAAACGAGGATCGTCTTCGTAAACGCGGACAGATGCGTCCCCAAAAATAAAGATCGTCCGCATTTTCGCAGACGTTTCATATTTCCGATCCCCGAATTGGTAGTGACTTTGTACAGAGACCATCACGTTATGAGCGATAAATCTTCGGGAAGACGGACAGACCATAAAACTACAAGTAGACGGTGAACTGGGGTTATTTTATTACGCAAAATCCGTTTTTCGCATCACCAGCATTGCAGCACGTGGTTCAGGAACCCGAAACCCGCAGAGTACCGATGAAAAAATATGTTGTCAAAAAAAAACGATGATCCTTATTTTCTAGGACGCAATGTGTCCCCGTTTATAAGGATATCCTCAGTTTGGCGGACGATCCTCATTCTCGGACCAGCGCCCCTACTGTGTATAGATTCTAGACCACGTAGTCGTAGACTGATCGCAGCGTCCGCCGCACGTACGGTTAGGTTTTCACTACTTTACAACTACATGATTTACATCACGTGGGACCGTTGTAACAAACTCTTTAGTAATTTTCATATTCGTTACTTACAGTTGTCTTTTTATGAAGCGTTTCTTTTGCCAATGCATCAACTACTCTTTCCCTTTCCTCATGTATCCTTCTCTGTTGTTCTAAAATGGTTTCCATGGCTCCTTGATATTGCAACTACCGGGGAAATTGTTGTCGATTTCCACACGTTGAGCAAGCCAATTGATTGAAGTTATCGACAAATTGTATTTAAAAAAATAGAAGCGCGGAAGTTTTTGTGTAGGATTTGTAGCTATGGTGTCTTACAAAATAAAAAATCAAAATCAAAGTGCGACAAGCCCAAGGATTTCATAGATTTTTAAATAACTTTCTCAGACCTGCTAAGCTCCAACCTAAAAAAATTGCTCCAGATCTCATTCATCTTGAGAATGAGAAATCATCTGCCAATCATTAAATAGCTAACAAGAAACAGTACTATGTAGCTTCACCAGGGCCGACCACAGGCGCGGATCCAGGATTTCTAAATAAGGGGTGGGGGCCCAAATTTGAAATAAATTTGAAACTTAGTGTGCTGAAATTTGAAAATCGTGCTAGCCCTCGAAAATTTGAAAAATCGCACCCCCCCCCCCCCCCTTGAGCGCCCGGGGGGGGGGGCCTATCTCCTAAAAGAGATAAAAAATAACGTTTTTCCCTGGGTGGAGCCCATAGAAGCTCAGGGGTTTTATACATCAAATTATCGTCGGATGAGCATTATTTTATACCTTATTTGTGACACTAGCAGGTCACGAATTGGCGTGGGGTCCGGGGGGCGGAGCCCTCGGAAGCTCAGGGGTTTTGGGCAATAAATAACGGTAAGATGAGCATATTTTTATACCATATTTGTGACACTGGCAGGTTACGATTTGGCGTGGGGTCCAGGGGGTGGAGCCCCCGGAAGCTCAGGGGTTTCGGGCAATAAATAACGGTAAGATGAGCATATATTTCCGACAGAGATGTGCAAAATTTTATTTTTCCTTTTACTTTTGACGTTTTGAGAACACTATAATCTCAAATGTTAGTCGCTTATTTTAATGATCGCCAGTTTCAGTTCAGACTTTATTGCACGATACGATAGGAAGGCATTAGCTGATTATCCTATCACTAAAAAAATACGTCTTCTTAACACTAGACCCGATAGGCGATACTAACAAGTTAGTTCTGTGTTTCAGTTAACAGGCCATCTCCTAAATGTAGATGTCATTTGCATTTGGTATGTATAGTTACTTAATTGAACATAGCCCTTAGTAATAGAATGATTTATAGACCCTAAAGCTTCTTCTATTAATTTTTGTCAGTCGGTTGAATGAAAATAAAAATAGGGACTTTACGTCTTTAGTTTAGGGTGATTCTGCAAGCTGGTATCATCATCATCATGCATGGGTATATGGTGGGTGTCGTCACTGTCATGATCATTGTCATAGAGATGAAGAGTCAAGACTGAGTTGGATATATCTTATTAAGATCAAGTCCAACATTCAGTCTTTACTTACCATGTTTATTTAGTTTATTTAAGTTGATGATGATGACGACGATGATAATTATGATGATGCGGATGCAAGTGGCAATAGAACCTACTGTGTAATGTTAGACCTCAGTCATGGCATGCATTGTAGGACTCTTAAGCCTAGCCTAGGAGTGGGTGATGATGATGATGGTTAAATGATCTGATGGTTGAAATGATGATTTTTTTTTTTTCTTAATTAAAAGCTTTGATTTGCCTTGATTTACCTTGATGTTGGGCTTCAAGTATAATTACTTATATGCCCCTCTGCAGCAGGATTAATATCTGTATGTACTGGGGATTGCGCCTACGTCGGAGCTTCGGACAATGCAATAGCAAGGAAACATTTCTTTAGGGTTGTACATGTCATATTTAGCTCTCCATGCTTTTTCCAGGTTGGATTTGAATGAGTTCACAGATGGGCTATCAATTACATAAGCTGGAAGCGCATTCCATAAATTGACGACTCGTTGTGAAAACGATCCCATTCGGATAGAAGTGAAGGCTCTAACTTTCGATAGTTTGAAGTTGTGGCCACATGTTCTGTCATTCGATGGTCTTAGAAAGAATTGGTTGGGGTCACTGTGGTCAATCCTATGGAAAATGTGATATGATATCATTTTATATCTACATGTATGTTCAACAAATGACCTATATCAGATGCACATGATTATTGCTACCGCAGATTGTAATGCGGCTTCACATACATCTAATAAATACAACAAGTTGTTCATATTTGAGTTCTACAAAATCCAGCCTCAAGAAGACTCTTATTATAAATCATGATTAGTGTACAACACTTTACATGGTGGCAGCGGTGCCAGGACTTTGCTAGACCATTTTGAGTGCAGGTGGAGCCCGGATTTGGATTTTATGGACAATTTAAGCACCGCGTTTACCGGCCAGGCCTAGGTTGGGATTTCGTTTACGCGCATCGACCCCCTGTGCTAATTTGGCTCGTGTGTATATGCGGTATGGAACTGACTAGCACGTACGAAAAATTACGCGCGCTAACCGCGGAGGAATTTTGAACGGAACAGTGTGAGTCGATTGTTTACATTGTGAATGACGGAAACTTCGCAAGTTAGTTTTCCTCTACAACGATTTTGGACTGATATTCCGCTGAGATGAATTTTGAACTGAGAAAGGTGAAGCTCTGAACAGGTCAGCGATATATTTGAGGGACGTTTGAGTACTGCAGAAAACGACACTGATTATTTGGTGAGTCGCAAATATGAGATTTTAAACCCCATACGAACTGAGACCGAGTGAGCCTACCGTCCGATAGCACAGCACTGATCGAGAAGTGATTATTTGCCCTACATTCAGGACCAGCTTGATGCGGAGGCAGAACCAGAGCCTAGAGGCTCGCCAGGAGCAGAGCCTAGAGGCTCGTCAGGAGCAGAGCCTAGAGGCTCGTCAGGAGCAGAGCCTAGAGGCTCGACCGGGACCGGGAACAGTACAGTACAGCTAGGGCGCTATACTCCCAGCCCTGCATTTTGGTTTGGAACTGAGCCACACGGACTCGGAGCTCATCGGGAGGATCGACGACGTCGCTGGAGCTGGACACCTCGATCGACACCTACATACTATAGACCTATATGAGAGTGAAACCTGGGAATACAGATCTCCGTGGAATAAGATATGAACTTGAACTGAGAGACACTAGATTTTAATCAAGATTCAACATTTTGAAATAATGGATGCTTTTTGCTGAAGTCATTATTTGCACATGTTTGAATAGAATGGTTGAATCACCAACCTGACCATGATCATTTAATGTGAGTAAATCCATGGATAGTATTGAAGGACCGGCTTATATTTAATAGAGACATGGAAGAGTTGGACTGGGCAAAGGAATAAATTGCTTTGGAATTGTATTATTGATGATGTTTGTTGCGATGCAGTATAACGAATGCCATAGATATTTTGTCTCATTGCAGTATTGATAACACAGGATAGGGTGTGAATTTTAATGTAACCCTACTCCTATTTGTATATTAGGATAAGGCACACTATATGACCTTACTCCTTTATGTATAAGGCTGAATATGACTAGTAGTAGTTTTTTTTTTATGTGACTTAGACTTCTAGGCTATATTAGATTTTATTGGCTGTTACAAAGTCACACACACAAACAAACAACATGGGAGAGATGACAGGAATCAACCCTCCCTGCATGGATTGGGCATCCAAAGATTTGCCGACTGAATTTAGAAATTTTCAATACTATTGTGAGTTGATATTTTCAGGGCCGCTTAACAAGAAGTCTGACCAAGAGAAATGTACATACATCCTGTTGTGGCTGGGTCAAGAGGGTATCAGGATTCACAAATCCTGGGGAAAGGACTTCAAGACCCCAGCTGAGGTCTTCGAAGCTTTCATAAAACATTTCGAACCAAAGACCAATTTCCGTCTGGCAAGATTTCAGCTGCAGAAATTGGCACAGGAACCAGCCGAAGCCATAGACGACTTCATGGCCAGATGCAAAATACAAGCACAAAAATGCAAGTTTGCGGACATTGAACTTGAAGGTCGCCTCATAGAACAGATCGTCATTGGCACCTCAAGCAAGAAGGTACAGCAAACATTGTTGGCCAAGGATGAGAAACTGACGTTAAATACAGCTTTGGACATCGCCAGAACCCAGGAGGCAACTGAGGCGGATATGAGACTCCTTCATGGTCAAGCCGTCAACGTTGATATGACGAAGCAACATATCCAAAGGAAGAAACAGTGCTCATTCTGTGGACTGAACCATCCACCGAGGAAGTGCCCTGCTTATGGCACCAAATGCAGAAACTGTGATAAAATGAATCACTGGGAGAAATGCTGCCGACTGAAGAAACAGGAACAAGAATCTAAACAGCAGTGGCAAAGGAAACAAGAAGCTACAAAGACATATCCGAAAAGGTCGCAAGCACAGAGATCAAAGAGACTCCATGAGATGAAAGAAGAGGAAGAAACAGAAGAAACTGACGACATGCGGTTTGAGACCATCTGTGTAGACCAGATCAGAAAGAACGAAGCCTTCGCTGTGATCGGAGTTGAGATCGGAAGAGGACCAGCGACTCTAAAAGCCAAAGTTGACACAGGATCTGAAGGGAACATTCTTCCATTACGCATTTATCAGAAGATGTACCCTGATCGCGTGGACTCTAATGGGGAACCTATCACAGGAAAGCTAAGAAAGTCACCGATAACGATAACAGGCTATGGTGAAAAGAGTGTTATTCCACAAGTAGGCCTACATACGCTGAGCTGTAACCACCAGGACAGACAAGCTAATGGAGAATTCTTTGTGGTGAAGACTCAAAGACCGGCCATCCTTGGACTTGAGTTGTGCCTGGATCTAGGATTAGTAGTCTTGAATTGCAGTCTGATGGAGAGCCATGATAGTCCCATCAAAGATAGAGAGCATTTGAAGACTTTGTATCCCGATAGATTTGATGGAATCGGAAAATTTGATGGGAAATACCACATCGTGATCGACAAAGATGCGGCTCCTGTGATACATGCAGTTCGACGATGCCCGATAGGCATAAAGGATGACATCAAGAAAGAACTTGATGAGATGGAGAGTCTTGAAGTGATAGAAAGTGTCACTAAGCCAACAGACTGGGTATCAAGCTTGGCATACACCCAGAAGCCCAATGGAAGATGGAGAATTTGCCTTGACCCAAAAGACTTAAATAAGGCAATCAAGAGAAGCCATATGCCGATGCCAACCATTGAAGAAGTCCGACACCAGTTTGAAGGAGCAACAGTGTTCAGTACCCTGGATGCCAGACATGGATATTGGGCTATACAGCTAGATGAAGAATCAAGCCATTTGACGACCTTCAATAGTCCCTTTGGTCGTTACCGTTTCAAAAGACTACCTTTTGGCTTGTGTGTTTCTCAGGACGTGTTCCAGCAACGAATGAATCAAATACTAGAGAAATGTCCTGGAGTCATAGGAATGGCCGATGACATAGCAGTCGTAGGAAAGACGGCAGTGGAACATGACGCCAACTTACACAATCTGATGCGCGTCGCAAAGGAGCATGGACTCGTCCTGAACTGGAACAAATGCCACATCAAGCAAGACCGAGTGAGATTCTATGGCCTTGTCTTCAGCAAAGATGGAGTGCAACCAGACCCACAGAAGACAGCAGCCATATCAGCCCTGAACGCACCACAGAACGTGACAGAACTCCGAGAGTTCCTAGGCATTGTGACCTACATGTCACCATTCATTCCAAGACTTGCCTCACTGACTGCACCACTTCGGGAACTTGTGAAGAAAGATGTGATATATAGCTGGACTGAATCACATCAGAAGGTGTTTGAGACCATCAAAGATATGATCTGCAAGGAGACCACACTTGCTTACTTTGATCCAAAGAAACCTGTTGTCCTAGAAGTAGATGCATCGATGAAAGGCGTTGGAGCAGCCCTCACACAGGAAGGGAGACCAATAGCGTTTGCCTCAAAGTCCCTCACAGACACCGAGCAGCGATACGCTAACATTGAGAGAGAGATGCTAGCAGTTGTCTACGCATGTGAAAAGTTTCACACGTTCGTCTTCGGCAGAAGTTTCACTATCCTCTCAGATCACAAACCACTAGAGATGATCACTCTCAAGAACCTTGGAGCTGCACCCCCAAGACTACAAAGACTACTGCTCAGACTCCAAGGGTATGACATGACAGTGAAATATAAACCTGGAAAGGAGATGCTTCTGTCTGATGCCATGTCAAGACTCAATCCTCTGCCTCCTGAGTCTCCTGAAATGCACATGAAAGTTGACTTTGTAATGTTCTCAGACAAGAAGCTACTGGAGATCCGCACCGCAACATCAGAGGACTGTGAACTTTGCATCCTGAGAGATGTAATCCTAGAGGGATGGCCAGAAGAAAGGCGTAAACTTGACAAAAGCCTGATCAAATACTGGCCATACAGGGACGAGATGTCCATTGAAGACGGGATTATCCTGAAAGGTTCAAGAATTGTCATCCCCAAATGCCTGACAAAGGAATACCTGAACAAGCTACATGAGGGACATCAAGGCATCATCAAATGCCAACTGAGAGCAAAGAGCTGTATCTTCTGGAATGGCATAAATCAGGAGATCGAGATGATGGTACGGAAATGTTCTGTATGTCAAGAATATGGGAACTCCCTGCCATCAGAGACTCTGCAGCCACATGAAATTCCTGTCAGACCTTGGCAATTTGTCACAACTGACCTCTTCACACTTGATGGAAGAGAGTACCTTCTTGTTGCTGACGTATACTCAAAGTATCCAATTGTAAAGCAGTTACCACAGCAAGCAACAAGTAGTGCTGTCATCAGACTGCTTAAGGAAATCTTCTCTGAACAAGGAACCCCCGAGAGACTAATGAGCGACAATGGACCTCAATACAATAGTGCCATATTCGTAGAGTTTGCCAGAGACTGGAATTTCCAACATGTAACCTCAAGCCCGAGATATCCACAATCCAATGGATTTATAGAGAGGCAAGTACAAACTGTCAAGAACACCATGAAGAAAGCTAAGAGAGATAACATAGGCGTCAACAAGGCATTGCAATGCCTGAGAGCCACTCCATTGGACAGCCATCTACCATCTCCAGCAGAGCTGTTACTGGGGAGGAAGATCCAAACCAACATACCGACCAGAATTCGGAACCAGTCACCCCAAAAGGATGACATCTACCAGAGACTGCAGACCAGGCAGGATGACCAGAAGAAATACTTTGACGACAAGCACGCTACCAACCTTCCCCCACTACACAAATGACAAGAAGTCAGAATCCAAAATCAAGAGACTGGTAGATGGGACAGAGGAAAGATCACAAACAGGAGACCAGAACCAAGGTCATATGAAGTAGAGACATCATCAGGTTACACTCTGCGACGAAATCGTAGGCACATCAAACCAACCCAAGAGAGGGACAGCATGGAACAAAACCGTCAACATGCTAGTGATAGACATAATGATGCACACGACCAGCAGAATGCACAAACAGAACAAACACAAAGCAAACCAGACACACCATCGAATCACCACCAACCATACACCACCAGATCAGGTCGTACTATTAAGAAACCAGAGAGATACGATATGTAAAATATTGATATGGTTGGAGATAATTCAAATAATTGTTGTCTTTTGCTTTCTTTAACAATGTTTACAAGGTTTTGAGTAGTTAGATTTAAAGAGACATATTGAATATGTCATGTTTTGTTTATTAATTAATTTTATTGCATTATAAAGCAAGATGATAACTGAAGTCTGATCAAAACATTTAAGATAAATAAGCAAACAATTCGCATTCAAATGAAAAACAAATGTGATAGAATTTTCAAATTGTTTTTTGGTGAAAAAAAAAACAACAAACAAAGAAAGGGACGAAATTGTAAGTTCATATTAGCACAAGTTTAATTTCTTAAGCAAAGAATTTTAAAAAGATATTTTAAACAGTATGGATCTAAATATGAAATTAAGTTTTCATTGAGAAGAGGGATTGTGATATGATATCATTTTATATCTACATGTATGTTCAACAAATGACCTATATCAGATGCACATGATTATTGCTACCGCAGATTGTAATGCGGCTTCACATACATCTAATAAATACAACAAGTTGTTCATATTTGAGTTCTACAAAATCCAGCCTCAAGAAGACTCTTATTATAAATCATGATTAGTGTACAACACTTTACAGAAAAGTCTATATGTTTTGTATCATATCCGCTCTGTGACAACAGTATGCAAGCTTTATCTGACTATTATTACTTGTAGGCCTACAGTATCTTCTTTTCCCCCCGGCCCTTCCACTCAGTGTTATTTAGGGTAGGCATATGCTCGTTCCCTCTTTTTGAAAGCAAATTTTGACCAAGGTTTGAGAAATGTTGAAAGTAGGTATTGTACAGTAGGAGAATTTAATTCTAGTTTTAATTCATCCTATAATAACGATCAAATGTACGATGACTCAAACTCCATGAATCTTCAAGCCAATCCTGACTTCAGCCTTTTTCACGTTAATAGTTGAAGTATGAATAAGAATTTTGAGTCCGTACAAGAACTTTTTTTACAATTAAATAACTTCCAGTTTTCCATAATAGGCTTATCTGAAACTTGGCTCCATAAAAATTCCCCACCTCTATTTAATATACCAAACTATCACATGTTTCGTTCTGATCATGACCATGGTAGAGGGGCGGAGTAGCGCTATACATACATGATAATTTTAAACTAAAGTTAGGTCTGACTTACACACTGAAGGTGCTGAAGATTTTTGTTTAAATTTTAAATGATAAAACCAAAAACGTAATAGTTGGCATAATGTATAGACCCCCTAATCATAATGTAGAAATTTTCTTGGACAATTTTGATACATGTCTTGATACTGTTTCCCAAGAAAATAAAGAAGTTTATATAATGGGCGATTTTATTAAAGGTAAAGACCAGTATTGGAAACGCCCCAATTTCAAAACGTGAAATGGAAGCTCTCATTACCAATCATGTGAAAGAATATGTTTTGACTAATACATGATGATAAAAAAATTGCCGGGAAACCGCCTACTAATTCATATATTTGGTAAATTTGTTTCTCTCATAGACTGTGAAAGATATAGGGTAGTCCCATATACATCTTTTTGTGTATAGTGCTTGTAACTTTACTAAGAATGGGCCAAATTTCTTATCATTTTGATGATTCCAGAACCTTGCAGATGCTAGATGCTAGATGATCAACCTTTTCTGATCGATTCTACAACTTTTCTTTCACAATGCAATCGCATGACCATAACTGGTCTTTACCTTTAAGCACATTTCTCATTACCTTATTTGCTCATTTGTTGTGTACTAATAAAATCACATTTATGACAACCCTTTTATTGTATTTTCACAGAGATTTCAGACTAGTGCCCCATGTCAAAGAAATTCTAGATCCATCTGTGTACAATACAAGACCGAGAGAATACCCCTTGGAATGGCAGACTGTTCTGAAGGTGACTTTGTCATCATAGGAGGTGGTGTGGCTGGGGTATCTTGTGCAGAGCAGCTGGCCCACCTCAGTCCAGATCGCAAAATTAAGCTGTTCACGGCATCCCCCCTCCTCAAGGCTGTTACCAACTACAAGAAGGTATCAAATTCAAGTTCATTTCATTCAAAACCACACAAAACATGATATAATTTTTTACATGAAAAAGAGACTGGTAATAGTACATTACTCAACATATATTAACTTGATTACTTCATAAAATGATTTTTTTATGACCCCTTTAGAAGCTAAGCTTGTGAGCTTCTATTCAAGCATTAACCTTAAAAAGACAGGAAGGTTTTTTTTTTTGGGGGGGGGGGAGGGGGGCATTGCATCCAGGAATATTGTTGTCATTACTTGTGGTATGAATTGATGCATTGCAGGTAATTAATTATATTCTGTGGGTATTTTTTAAAACAGATTATTACTCTATACTACATTTCTGTATGATTACATAAATTTGAGAATTACAATTTTCAAGTACCATATTTCCTTTGGCCGCCTGTAATAGTGTTCTGCATTTCATGTATTTGTTGTGTAGATAGATAAAGAACATAATACTGTTGTGCATAGTCTAGATATTCCATCCTTTCGATCCCTTTCTTAACCCTTTTCTTAACATTTTTTATTTTTCAGACACTTCCAACTACATGTATATGTATTTCTTTTTCTTAACAATAAATTCAAATTCAGGTTTCCCGTGCCTTAGAAGACTTTGACGTTGAAGAGAAGCCATCTCAATGGCTGGAGGTCAAATGCCCCAATGTAGAGGTCATCAGGTCAGAGGTCAAAGGACTTGACTCGGAGAAGCATCTCATCAAGATGGAAGATGGTCATCAGATTGGCTACTCCAAGATCTGCGTCTGTACGGGAGGGAGCCCCAAGCTCATTGCAGCAGATAACCCATATATTTTAGGTAAAGTCAGACCTGCTTTAGAAGCCAGGGCATAGTTTCACAAATCTGTCATAAGTATAAGTTCACGGACATCCAATTAAAACGTGTGTTAAATGTAATACACGCGAACAAGAACTTGTACTTATGACAGCTTGGTGAAACCCTGCCCTGCTGTATCAAAAGACTAAGTGTGTATAATGTAGAGATGACATTTTTTTGTTTATCTTGAGCAGAGTTTGTTATTGAAATCTCGATAAGATGAACCTACAGTTAAAGACCACCTGCTAATATGAAGGCCAATCTTCTTGTCTCCATTGACTGGCTTTCAGAACAGGTTTTACTTAATTTACATGCAGTCTAACCCGTCAGTCAAGGCCACCGAAGAAAAACGGTACAAGGGAAGGCAGCCTTTTTAACAAGTAATGTCTCTTTGAAGACAATAGAAATGGCCATTAAAAATTGAATGTATGTTATATCTTACCACTTGGGTAGATTTTAATAGTATGCCTACTTAACGCCACTCTTGAACTTAAGGGGGAAAAAGAAAGAAAAAAAAAATTATGAATAAAACATGGTAGCCTTTTCCTCCAGTTGTTGATGAAATTTGATAGATTATTTTTAAGAAAGACTTGAATTAACTTTGATCTGATAGTGAATGTCAGGCCTCAAAGAGTTTGATTGCTAATTGTCTGTAGATAAATCACTTTATCAAGTACACCTTCCTCACGTAAATTAGGAATCCGAGATACAGAGAGTGTGAGGACGTTACAGAAGCACTTGGAAGGAGCGAGGAGAATCGTAGTGGTTGGAAACGGGGGCATAGCAACCGAGCTGGTGTACGAGGTGGAAGGATGCGAGGTGATCTGGGCTATCAAGGATAAGTCCATCTCCAGCACGTTTGTGGATGCTGGAACAGCAGAGTTCTTCCTGCCCCACCTCGCAGAGGAAAAGAAGACAGCAGACCAAGGGCCTTCAAAGCGGCTGAAGTATTCAGGTTAGACAGGACTTTCTAGAAACCTCATGTACATCTAACTCTTGTATGTTTCATACACTCCCATCACTTGAGACACACTTCAGCTCTTGCTCATAATCTTTATTAATGTACCTTTTCACATATACATTCTCTCCCCCCCCCCCCTTCTCTCTCTCTCTCTCTCTCTCTCTCTCTCTCTCTCTTCTTCTTCTTTTTCTTTTTCATCACCATTTTGGGCCAATCATGCACAAATCTATTTATCAAGCCTTGTTTACACATGTGGTAAACCACCTTGAAAAAAGACCAACAAAAAACATTAACCCCCCCCCCCTCCAAAACAAAAACATTGCTGCAAATGAAATGACACTAATGTAGTGAGTTCAACATTTTATATCTAAATTATGACACACTGATAAATACATGTAAGTATGCATGGTACACCTCCTTTTCTCATAGTACATGAATGAGGGTCAAATGTTCAAAATGAGAAACTTTAAACAAGCGTTCCTCTGAAAAATATTTGTAGATAATTTTTAGAAAGTTTCACTCTGTGAATGGGATAAAGTATATTAAAGATCAACAATTTCTCTTTAATCAATTATGTTTTCATCTGATTATGTCATAAGCTTTAAGCCAAATTTAATTCATATAACCTTTCACATACACAGGTTATCTTCAATATCTTGATTTTTTTTTACCTCTCTATTATTTAGTAACCAAATCTTCGGAGGATGACCCAAGGAAAGAGGCTGGTGTTATGGGAAGTGCGCTCGGCCCTGATTGGAGCTCTGGTTTAAACATGAGAGGTCAAGGGTCGCAGTCACATTCTGTTCATGTGGAATTCAAGTGTGAGGTGAGCACTTACCTGAAATCATTACACCGACTTTGATTGGGAGATCTTGAGTGGGGCGTTCATGACAACTGCTTTGGGCTTTATTAATTTCGTCAAGTTAGGTTCACACTAGTGTGATTGGGTTTAGGTTTGGTTAGATGGGGTTAGGGTAAGGATTAGGTAGACTTCTATTCCAGGGTTGAACTTGTAGTTGGGAATTTGGTCAGGGTAGGTTATTAATTTGAGCAAGTGTCAGCAGAGCATTGTACATGTACATAATGTACAATCTCAGTAGGAAATATATTCTTTATTCCACTGTAAGTGTAATGTACAATTGTTTTGCTGTCTCTTCTGGTATTAATTATTATTTTTTCTTCCACGACTATATCCAAAGCTTGGCATTAATTAGAAATGGGTCCCCAGTTTGATGCAAATTTTGTTTTCGTGTTTGTATATAGTGCAAGCTTGTAAAATATCACCTTGCTTTATAGTAAGGTAGACTATATTGCAAATTACACAGCTTGGAATCTCTTATATTATGTTACAATGAAAGAAAATAAACTGTAATTTTCTCATCATTTTTGTTCCTGCCAGATTCAAGAGTTACTTACTCCTGAAGAAGCCAAGAAGTTGGGGATCACTGAAACTGTACCTGACATTGGCGGTGCTGCATCCAACCCTACAAACTCCTGGCCCGTTTATGTCAAACTTACAAACGGCAAGATATATGGATGTGATTTTATTGTGAGTGCAACAGGAGTGACACCAAACACATATATCCTCTCGGACGTACCGAATCTGAAACTTGCCCAAGATGGCGGTATCGAGGTCGATGATCACATGAGGACTAGCGTTGCAGATGTTTATGCTGCGGGTGATGTCTGCACCCCAACGTGGGATCCCGCTCCAAACTGGATCCAGATGCGACTGTGGTCGCAGGCTCGTCAGATGGGCGCGTATGCCGCGAAGTGCATGGTGGCCGACGTGGACGGAGAGACGATCCCGCAGGACTTCTGTTTCGAGCTGTTCGCCCACATTACGCGGTTCTTCGGTTTCAAGGTGGTCCTGCTGGGGAAGTTCAACGGCCAGGGACTGGGATCCGACTACGAGGTCTTGCTGCGGATGACGAAGGGCGTGGAGTTTGTGAAGCTGGTGATGCACGAGGGATTGATGAAAGGCGCCATCTTGATAGGAGACACAGACCTTGAAGAAACCTTTGAGAATCTTATCCTGAATGAGATGGATTTGAGTAGATATGGAGAGGACTTGCTAGATCCTAACATTGATATTGAGGATTACTTTGACTAGCTAATCATGATTGTAGACACTGACCTTTGACCTCATAATCTTATTCTGAATAAAATGGATTTGAATAGGTATGAAGAGGACTTGTTAGGTCCTAACAGCGACATTGAGGATAGTTTATCCAGTACTTGACATAAGTAAAACCACACTGTTTTATTCAGATTTTATACTTTTGAGCTCTATATTCAATTTTTTTTTTACCTGTCATGCAAAAAATGAAAAAACATTTTGTGATCTATGACATTACATTATCGGAAGCTTTTAATTACTGAATTAAGAGTATTTGTGGAATACTATTAAGTTTAAGGAGGGACTTGTGGTTCTTGCATTCATTATCTACATGTGTCTTGCTTAAATTCATTTAAAGTCGCTCATGCATGGGTATATAGAAGGCAGCACAGCTTTTTACGCACTGGAGTGTTATACCCGTTGGCTTACCCTGGTTAACCCCCAGACCCCCTCAAACTGCTACTAGATGCAATCTTTTGGTATCTACAATGTACTTACAATGTAATGCATTAAGAGTGCAATATTTTGTTCAGGAAACAAATTTACTATTTTAAGAATAAATATATTATACAATTTTTCAGAGAAGAAATAATGTGTCTGTATTCTTTAATCTATACATTGTGGTTATAGTTGTCATGTAATAGTTGCAAGTAGCAAGAATGGCAATGCAATTGGGTAACATTTTGAATGGAAAACACATATAGAAAGATTGATAGATAGTGAGAGAGAGGGAGACAGACAAACAGACAGAAAGAGGGGAGAGAGAGAGGGAGAGAGAGCGAGCTACAGAGACAGAGATATGGAGAGAGAGAGGATAATCTAAGGAGGCACAATGAGAGATACCATGGGGGTAAGGAGAGAGAGAGAGAGAGTGGGTGGGTTGGAAATGGTTCAATGGGGGAGGTATTCAAAAGGCATTCAAAATAATTCCTGAACCCTTATGTAAGAACCTATGTGGTACAATCTTTATCTGTAATGGTAAACAGTATGTGGATGTAACCAAAAGTGCGGCTCTACGTCATGAATCCATCACTGCTATGTCAGGCAATCTTCTGGGTTATCCATAATGGTTTTTGATTTTAGTAGAATGCAAACTATGTGGATGTTGTGATCCATGTGAATACATTCGATTCATTCAACAATCTATTTCAACTCACTTTCAACAATGCAATCACACAATGAATTCGTACTATTTAAGATATTACATAGTTTAGTGTTTGTAAAGGTCATAGATTTGGTTATAATATGCTTTTGATGCTCTAATTCCAAAGAGGTAGCAATTTTTCTTCAATAGGCCATTTTCGTAATGTAATCAAATTTAATGCATACTGGTAAGCCTTTTCTTAAATGCCATGTTACAAATTATTTCATTTACCTGTTATGAATAATTGTATTTCAATAGCATACAATTTACAAACATTAATTATTGCTAGGTTGGACAATCATTAAAGCTTGTCCTATCCAACAACATGACTATTGAAATACATGTACAATTATTCCTAACAGGTGAATGAAATAATTTGTAACGAGGCATTTAACAAAGATGTGCATTAAATCTGATTACATTACGAAGATAAACTATTCATCCTAAAAACTAATTTAGGAAAACTTAAATCCAGGTAACGTGTATCTGTGAGTAAAAAATTTCTTATTACCTCCTAGACATTTACCAACAACATTAAACATGTGTAATAAATTTTACAAAAGAATAAAGATTCAGGTGATGAAGGGACTATAGACACAAAATAGATCCATTTCATGAAAAAAATCTTTAATATATCATATATGACAACCACAATGGGTTGATTTTTAACGATGGACAAATCAATAATTGTGTCCAATACGTGTCATCAGAAAAAGCATGTATAAAAGTACATCTTCTTGAATAGTATGTAAATAACTTGGGATGTTTCACCCATTAGACATGCATGTCAAACTTAATCCAATGGCTTAAAGCCCATCTGTACTAGTTTACAGGAGGGATTAGACCTCCTGCAATGTCACTGACAGGTGGTTATCTCATCAAATCAGCTCTCACTTAACATAAGAAAAAAAGGATCATGGGGGACCAATGGTCACCGATTAGGCATTGTTTGCTATATAGAGGGCGCAAGTAGCTATAAGTAGTGCAGTTAGTCTTTAATCTTAAAAATATGTCTATTTCCATCTCTTCGGATTGCCTAATTCTTTTATCAATCCACCCTTGCAGGATAGTGGCAATGTATTTGAACAGTAGCTTGAAAGTTGATTCATGAAATAGTTTGATCAACTTTTCAACTTATACCTGTGTGACAATATAATATCAATGTTAATGAATTTAGATGTTAAGATTATTTCTAGTCAAGAGTGGATCTTTATCAATAGCGATCCCCCCCAAAATCTTTGCTGGGGAATCGTATGTGATTCTTTCCAACAGGATTATCTACATTATTCATGGAATATAATAGTTTCTCTTCATAATGATGGTTTTTGGAAGCACGGGCATAGATCGTTCACAGAACCAACAATTGAAAATAATCTTTTTAACCATTGTTATACAAATAAAAATACATGTATATAAAAAATATCCCAAATGCTCACTATTATGATCTCAATGAATGATACTGCTGTATGTCTATCAGCAGAAGACTGGTAAGTTCAGTCCACAGTATCAACCACCTGCAAGCCACGAAAATGGCAAATTGAGGACACACACATCTTCAATCACAGAAATACAGTGAATAAGACAACAAGGAAGTTCGAGAAAACACCATGAGTGATATCTTTGATTACATGCCTATGTAGGTCTGTTGTTCATGAAAACCTAACTTTTGATTTTTAATTTACATAATTGAACTTAGTATACAAAATTTTGGTGCCCCATCCCAACCCATTCTTCCAAATTTCAAAAGAATTGATCGATTCGGAAATCGGTTGGTGTTATACTAAAGAGAAAACAATTTACCAACTACTTATTCCTTCTAAAAAATTAAAGGTGGGCAGATGGCTTAAAAAGATTTGTTATTACATGTATATGTAACATAAATCAGTATAGACCAAAACTCACATACAGTATACAAAAATTACATTTCAAATAGATGACATAATCGTTGTAAGTCAATCTCAATCTCAATTGGATTGAGATAAATCAAGACTATAAAACGCAGAATTGAAATTCAATTACATGCATAGGCATACGAGGTAGAAAGGGGGAATTTTGAAATTGTTAATCTTCGGGCATCCATCACCTCATACTCTGGCAGTGAGGTTGTTCTTTCACCATATATTTTAAACAAAACAAAAATTGCATTTTCACAGTAACAGGTTGTCAAAATGTGGCTTGCTCGTTCACTCATTTGTAAATTTTATAACCTTGAAAGCTGGCAATTGGGCAAGAAATGTCACCCCCCCCCCACCCTTTAGTAAAATTGCACCTGTATGCCTATGACTACATGACAAATTTACAGTAGCTCTGGCCCAGTGGACATCTGAATTCAGACAATGATTTTGTCGAACCAAATATATTTGGGTAAAATGCAGCTTCATCAAGCCCCCTGTGGGCTCCTTTGTCTCTAGCTCACTATCGTCATAATGAGTCCTTCTTTGGTGGCGTGTAATGGCTCCTACATTTCTCGTGGAATACCTACAAAAAGATATAATAAAATAAGCTTAGAGTGAAGAGGCCACATCGGCTCCCAGGTCAATTTCCCACACTAACCACATTGAAGAATATACTGAATATACTGTCTACAATGTAACAAACCGTCTAAATAACCAAATTGGTCATTTTAAATTTTAACCCTGGACCAGATGTTTTATTTACAGACCTTTCTCAGATAAAAACAAGGAGTAATCAACCAAAATAAAAGCAAGTAAAACATTAGACTAAACTCTGGGTAACCTTTACCTCACAAAAGGAGAATAAAGCATTTTATTGAATTGTTGACTTGATTTATGTTTCTTGATAATGTGACATATCAAAGATTACATCTAAAAGTATTCAACAAAGACCCTAATTCAACCAATCCACCTTTCATTCTTGAGTTACATTTAAACAAAAACAAAAAAATTCACAAGGGGTATAAATAGTTCAGTTAACTGTATACATCAAATTGGCATTATTTTGGCATTATTTTGGTATAAGTTGGAATTTCTATATATTAACATGGCACTGTTCTGATACATACCTTTAATGTTCTGTCTTTGACAACCTCTTCTATGTTCAGTTCTGATTGCATAAGTCTCAACTGAAAGATAAAAGAGATTTGTAGAAATACATTGATCATTGACATGAGATTTACAGTTACAAATGAACCTTATGTAATCAAGTCATAAAAAAGGGGAACTTGATACAGTGTGCTATGCTTTATTTTAGTGGAATATAGGAAAATAATTGGACTTAAAACAATTGAAAATGTACGATTGCGTAGAATTTGGATTATATTATTATTATTATAATTGTGTTACTGTGTTTGAAGTCGAATTTTGATGACAGAATACAAAATTTATGTTTTCTGCGTACAACAAAAAACCCAGATGTATTCTTTTATCAATATTTGTCTTCAAACACATTTTTATTTATTTATTTATTTATTTATTTTAATTTATTTATTTATTTATTTATTATTTATTGATTTATTTATTTTATTATATATTTATTTATTTATTTATTTATTTATTTATTTTTTTTTTTTGGGGGGGGGGGGGGAAATCTTTGCAGAAGTATGTCTTAAATGACAGAATACAAAATTTATGTTTTCTGCGTACAACAAAAAACCCAGATGTATTCTTTTATCAATATTTGTTTTCAAACACATTTTTATTTATTTATTTATTTTTGTTTAAAATGTATTTATTTATTTATTATTTATTTATTTATTTTTTATTTATTTTTTTTTTTTTGGGGGGGGGGGGTGGGAATCTTTGCAGAAGTATGTCTTAAATGACATCCTCTTTCAGCATAATTTAAGTGAAATTTTGCTTGCATTTTTTGGCGAATTTGGGACTCCCAACAACATAGAAGGGCTTTAACTGTTCGTATACACAATTTTCGTGAAGAAAATAACCCATGATTTGTCCTAATTTCACTTGGTTAGGCCCTGATCAATTTACCTCTCCTTGCCGTTTCCTGAGATCTTTCATGATTTTGAAGTCGTCCGGATTTTGGTCTTTTTCTTTCTTTAGTTGGTTGATTGATGTAGAGACTTCTGATATACACCTCTTAATCACATTCTCTCTACCGGAATATGCTGATGACAACTAATTGACAAAGTAACAATTGAAAAACAATAAATAAACGATAAGAGAGATATTCATGAAAATAATACCATATATTTATGACAATTGCAAAACCAGGTATTAAAGATACTATGTCCCTGTTGCAGCCAACATCAAATTCTGTAGAACTTTGCAGGAATTATGAATATGTCATGTATGTCCTATCTGTGAAATTTAAACGTTAGCAGTGTCCTAATATTCAAATTATGCAAGGAAACCCGTTTACTTGCTAGATTTCACTGTCAGACACTATTGAGTGACTGACTGGCTTTTTTTTCTTCTCTTGTAATAACATACATGAAATGAGCTGTAAAGGGTACATGAGCATTTGTCTACATCCATAACCCACTTCTTGTGATGGCCAAAATCAAACTAAATGAATGTTCGCGCAGCATAAGACGTACGACCATTCAGTACAATGGTCTGAAAATCAGACTATTACTTACTGGCTCTATAGCTCCTAAGTCGTTTCAACAACTAAAAGTCGTTATCTTCTCACTTAAAGACATTTTCAAGCCCCCTTTTTTTAAGGGAAGTTCTAAATTAGTATTATCTTTCAAATGCTGTTGGAATTTAACCTTTTCATTTTTTGGCCTGCAAATGGGACAAAGTACTTTTAAAGGTTAAATATAAGTAAATAATCCTTGATATTGAAACTATTATAACAATTCTTGAAGAGGCTCATCTGATTAGTAGTTATTGAACTTTCAGTTTTGCACAATGAACCTTTTTGATTGTGAAATAATTAAATTCAATATATGGAATTATACAAATTATGGGTAGAAACATGAATAACCTTAACTTGAGACTGCTTTCCACACTTCAAAAAGAAAAAGAAAAAGAAAGAGGTTAAATTGTTCACAAACATTGATTGACTCAAATCATACTCGTAATCGTATTGAAAAGAAACAAAAATTATCATTGTTATTAAAACCACCGTTATTAAAATCACTGAATAATTACCTCGTTGTAAAATCCCTCACATTTCTGGCTCGCATCTACTTGGCCTTTGAAAGACGTTGTTGGAACTACTTTGTTGAGGTTGTAGATTACCTTATCATCTATCATTCGCATTTCTTTAAGAGCTTCCTGCAAAGAAAAAAACATTCAGTGAATCCAATATCAGAAAAGCAGAAATCTACTCCACACTTTTTTCAAAACTTACTCCTGCCAATGAAATTACAGTCTTTGTGTTATACTATGGCCCTATCTGTAATAAGACCAACCTAGAATTAGGAAACCTGTGTCACTTCACAATCATACTTTCAAGTTTCAGTCACTACTCAGTACTCACTGCATTGGAAATTGGTGGAATGGGATGGGCTCAGCCTTAGACAGCAATAACCATCTGATTTGGGTCATTTCTTTAATAAAACTGACATTTGTTGTCATTCCCCGATACAGATGGCAACCCAGAGATCTCGTACCGTGGGGCAGGCTATCTACATATTTTCGTCCACGACATTTTCTCCCCGATTTTCTTTATTTAGATCTAATTTCCTGATTTCTAAATCAGATGTAAATTAGGTCGGTATGTCATTTGTCCTAATTACAGTTATCAAAATTTGATAACTCAATATTAAATGGATAATTTACAGACTTACTTATAATATGAATTATCCAATTTGTATCTCCGAACGTTCATGCACTCGGAACATAGGGCTATATGACCCGGCGGCCAAAATATTTCCGGGTCAACCTACCAAAACATAGCCAAATGGCCAATCAGAGCACTCGTTTCGTGGGAGTTCGTTGATCAAGCTGGGCTTACTCGTACGTAGCTACGGTAGCTATTGGACGTTCGAAAAGAAAAAATGAATATTCATCAACTAACACCAAGACGGATAATGTTGACGACGAGACTTTCTCGGATTAATCATTAATTTAGGATCTAAATGAGCAAATGTTATTTTTAATTTGTGTTATAATTGCAGCAGTTATGAGGATGTAAAGAGTGAAAATCTCGTTGCATATCTCATTCATCGCGGTCCGGTCGAACCGAACCATTTGTTCCGTACAGTGCCTCACAGAAAGAGGTCCCCAGACTTCAGTCTCTATAATCGGAGGTCTAGTGGAGCCAGACGTAGTCTCAGTGGAACAACCGACGATTAGAGAGACTGAAGCTTTCGGTCTAGCTCAGCCTCAGCTCAGCTCAGGACATCATAAATTACTACGCATGGGACTAGAGCTCTACACATATATTTCCCATGGATTTAGCTCATTGACAACCCAGCTCAGATGGTAATATCGGCTATTTCTCATTCATATTTCATTTTCAAATTATCACATCATCACACATGCCTCAAAATATCAGTGACAAATACCTGGAATCGGGCAAAATCAGCACAAGACACGTTGGTTAAATTGCTCCCCGCCATGATTACAAAATCGCATGCTATGTCGCCCAACTGATGCGTGATGAAGCGAATACGTGCATGCACTATGCGTATATAAATGTCAAATATCGCCCAAGATAAACGAATTATCGCCAAAGCTTTTTGTGGGTCAGTCAGTGCATGCCACTGATCTCTACGGAAGATCAGTGGTGGGCATGCCCACCACTGATCTATAAGTGATGCCCACTGATTCCGTAGCTCTCAGTGTGCATAATAGAGAACCGAAGCTGTGACGTCATAAAAATCAATTTTTAGAATTTCTCAATTTTTCTTCATTTTCCGAAAGAACATCAAAAATAATGACCAAATGTCGAAAACCAATTGAATATGTTAAACTTTGGCTGAGATATGACCATCTGAATAAATATACTCCCCATAGGAACTCGGTGTTATATGCTCTGGCTCCTAATTATATCAGGGCATGGTAAAGTATCACCTCCCTGATTATATATGCTCTGGCTCCTAATGGTTAGGAGCCAGAGCATATAACACTGAGCTCCCATAGGACATATATTCATTCAGATGGTCATACCTCAGCCAATACTTAACATATTCAATTGGTTTTCGACATTTCGACATTATTTTTGGTGTTCTTTCGGAATATGAAGAAAAAAATTGAGAAATTCTAAAAATTGATTTTTTGATGACGTCACACTTCTCCACTCTATTATTTCGGGGAGTGGGGGCGGGGGGGGGGGGGGATCATTTACTAGGAAAAACTTCCTCTTTTCATGCTAGTGCCCCACTTCATTAACACGTTTTGATAAGTATACACCAAGTCATTTCACTTATTTCCCATATTCTCTTGAAATTTGAGTGGCTATCATGTATAAGAGGGCAAGTTTCATTAGGATTAGGATCCACGTCATCATCTTATAAACCTATTTAAAGCTTAATACATTGTTTGCACTCCTGCAACCTATTTCATTTTCAAACCGCTAAGCCTTTTCATTTTAGGGAGGGGCGAGGTCATATGAGGCCTGCAAATTCTTTTTCATTTCCATTATTATTATTATTATTATTATTATAATTATAATTATTATTATTATTATTATAATTATTATTATTATTATTATTATTATTATTATTATTATTATTATTATTATTATTATTATTATTATTATTATTTATTATTATTATTATTTATTTATTTATTTATTTATTTTATTTTATTTTATTTTTTTTAATTTTTTTATTTTATTTTTTTTTTTGGGGGGGGGGGGGTAGTTTTAAAACAGAGACATCCTTTGGGAACATATTTTTTATGATTCATTCTTATATGTGTTTTTTTTTCTTCGCAAACTCTATATCCTCGATATGTGCCTCACTTCTCTGACCATACCATCCTCTGTACGTATTTCTTTCATCATGCATCTCCTCTCATTCGCCTCTCTCGATCTAGCTCTTTATTTATTTATTTATTTATTCAAGTTTTATTTAAAATAGAGGGTAGGTACATTCAGTTTAACAAAACTGCTTTCCAAGTACGCCCTCTAACATAACAAATGTGCGATATACAAAAATACAAGGATTATATACAAAATATAACATTCATCAAAACTAAACATTGACATAATTATTTGACATAATATAGAGTACAAACATATATAACATAAGAAAAATAATTATACCGGTAGAGGGAAATAAGAACGGAGATTCGACTATAATAAATGCTTTGCCAATTGGCATCCGCGCTTAAATATTTGAATTGATTTGGTTGATTGGATTGAGGAAGGAAGTTTATTAAATAGGGTGCTTGCTTTATATGAGAATGATCTTTTTTTGAAATCGGTTTTGGGGTATGGGATGTCAAGTAGAGCATTTAAGGAATAGCGGGTACAGTAGTTGAAGGTGCTATAATTTATAAGTGATTTTAAATAAGTTGGGGCCATGACATTTATAATTTTAAAAGCTAATAAACAGTAGTGATATTTTAATCTTTGTTCGACCGATTGCCAATTTAAAGTCGTAAGAAGTGTACATTGTGGTGTGTCGTAATCCTTATTTAAAATCAATCTCGCAAATCTATTTTGTAACTTTTGCAGTTTCGATAAATTTGTCTTTGAGCAGTTTCCCCAAGCAGTACAACAATAGTCGATATGTGGTAAAATTAATGCAAAATAGAGGTTTACAAGAGTTTTATGGGGTATTAGGCGTTTTATACGACGAATACATCCAATAGAACGAGATATCTTAGTACTTATATATTTTATATGTTCAGACCACGTAAGTTGTGAATCAAGTATAACTCCTAGGTATTTCATTGTTTCGACACACTGTAAATTTGTACCATTTAATTTAATTGAGAGACGATTGTTCTCCAACTTTCTTTTTGATCCAAATGACATCACCATAGTTTTCTGAGGGTGTATATACATCTTATTTATATCAAACCATTTACATATTAAATCAAAGTCATTCTGTAAATTTTCTTGAACTTCAGAAAAAACATTAGAATTATTAAAAATGACAGTATCGTCAGCATAAAGTGATATTTTGGAATTATTATGAAATGTTAAATTATTGATATCATTAATATACAAACGAAAAATCAAGGGGCCCAGAATTGACCCTTGTGGCACCCCGGATTTAACAGTTAAATACTCGCTACAATGATTATCTATAGTAACACATTGTTGTCTACCAATTAATTCTTTGATATCTCCGATATCTCCGATACCTCGGTTGTATCAAACTGAAATATTATGTTAATTTTTTTTACAATATCCACAAGCCACACCAAAAAGAAATAAAATGGTACATCTACAAATTAACCAAGTAATTCAATAGTATGTTTAATAATCAAAGACACGAAATGACTTTCTCATGACAAAATAGAAGTCAGACGGATCTGCTGTATTATGCAATGTATAAAGTCGAGAGTGAATTTGTAAGCTTCTAACACGATTAAAGCAAAATAATGATCTATACTATAGTACTGTTTACATTGTCAAACGGAGATGATACATATGTAAATACAAACACTAGCATTTCATTTTCATTTACAAAAGTCCTCCCAAGAAACTATGCCTACGGTATCTTTGAAGAACAATAACTATCTTGAATGAAATGCGAAATATCAAAAGGTAAATTCACCCTCATGAAATATATCAGTGCAACAAAATATTTCTCTATCACGAGAAATAAAACCTAAAATGTTGTAATGCTTTCGTGGTAAGATAAATACACTATTAAAAATTCGTAACTGTTCTTTTGAAATTTAACTCGGGACAGAATAATTAATTTATATTTGTTAGGCTAGTTCCGCCTCATATCATTCTTTTGATCTTGAAGAACGCGTGCAAGATGCAACATATTCAAATTTATGGATGTTTCTTTCTTCAGGACCTAGTGATGATCGAGTCATTCCATTAATCTATTATTACAGCCCCACTGTACTACTTATAGCTACCTGGTCCCCGTGGTCCCCTTTTTCTGATGTTAATTGAGAGCTGATTTGATGAGATATCCACCGTGACCATGCAGGGATGTCTTATCCCTCTTGGCCAAACTAGTGCAGATAGGCTTTAATGGATGAATGAAGTACAGTAATAATATATGTATCTGTAGAGTGCTTTGAGAGGGCCTTCAGGCCTGAAAAGCGCTACATTATTATTAGGATTATTATTACTTGGAATTCATTTTATTAAATTTTGGTTAAGTCTTCGCTATCGTGTTGGCAATGGTGGATATATCCACGGTGCATATCGTTATTTCCATCAGCATGATTTTTTTTTTGGGGGGGGGGGGACAGCATGTAAACAAGTCTTCTTCTTCTTCGTTAGGTTTTTTTTTGTCAACTAGTCAGCTTTTATGAAAATGCAAAAATTGATATTAATGCTAGTCTTTGTACAACATTTCGTTTGCATTAACCTTGACATTTCCCACACAACTATGATTACACGAGCATGTTGATAAGTAAATACCAGACTGTGCTATAATTCATTATCGTTTACTAGTATCCCAAATCTTGAATAGAATACATGGCAACACCTTTTGCATTACTCAATTTCAATGGCCCTGACGGCATTTGGCCAAACCTAAGTATGTTACATTAGTTTTAGACTAATAATAAATTCATCAAAATCTCTTTTTATATCACAGAATAAAAATCATGGTTTTGAAGAGCTTGCATGTGGGTTAAAATTCCCGTACATTGGTCTTCAAGACTTCAACAATTTGTTTCTTAACAATCTGATAAATGTTTGTGAATACTAGTATTTCGACTGCTAGTATAAATGTACCTTACTTCCATAAATATTTATTATATTTTAGCTACCTTAATTGTCCATCATTAAAAATGCAAATTGTTATAAAGAAAAAAAAATAGTAGAGAAAATGAGCACTTGCTCGCCAATAAGCGACGGCATCAAGCTATTTTCAAGATAGAATGCTCTCTAAAGTTCAGTATTCCTCATCTTCGTCCTCCTCCTCATCAGCCCCCGTCTCTAAGGCGACATCTTCGTAGTCCTTCTCGAGAGCAGCCAAATCCTCACGAGCCTCGGAGAACTCTCCCTCCTCCATCCCTTCCCCAACAAACCAATGGACAAACGCCCGCTTGGCGTACATCAGATCGAACTTGTGGTTGACGCGTGCCCAAGCCTCGGCTATGGCAGTATTGTTGCTTAGCATGCACACCGCCCTTTTGACTTTTGCTATGTCTCCTCCTGGTACCATCGCAAGCGACTGGTGGTTGATACCGACCTTGAAGCCAGTTGGACACCAGTCGACGAATTGTATGGTACGCTTGGTCTTGATGGTAGCGATAGCAGCATTGACATCCTTGGGGACGACATCACCACGGTACAGGAGACAGCAGGCCATGTATTTTCCTTTCCTTGGGTCACACTGCACCATCTGGTTCGCAGGTTCGAAACACTCATTTGTGATATCCGCTGCACTGTTTGTCTCATGGAATGATTTTTCACTGGACATGATCGGCGAGAGGCAGGAGAGTGGGAAATGGATGCGTGGATATGGCACAAGATTTGTCTGGAACTCGTTCAGGTCAACGTTGAGTTGACCGTCGAATCGCAGAGAACATGTCATGGAGGACACAATTTGTGCCAGCAGGCGATTCAGATTCTGGTATGAGGGACGCTCGATGCTCAATTTTTTCTTGCAAATGTCGAACATGGCTTCGTTGTCAAACATGAAGGAGACATCGGAATGATCCAATGTCGTATGGGTCGACAAAACGGTGTTGTACGGCTCGACCACGGCGGTCGAAACCAACGGTGAAGGATAGATATCGAACTCCATCTTGGTTGTTTTTCCATAATCGACTGAGAGTCTTTCCTCGAGCAGAGCAGCAAACCCAGACCCAGTGCCACCCCCAAAGCTCCGGAACAGCATGAAACCCTGAAGACCACTGCACCGTTCTGTCATCTTCCGAATCTTGTCCATGGTAAGGTCGACACTCTCCTTCCCGACGGTGTAATGACCACGAGCGAAGTTGTTTGCGGCATCTTCCTTGCCGCTGATCAGTTGGTCTGGGTGATAGAGCTCACGATAGGATCCAGTCCGGACTTCATCTATAAGTCAAATTAATAATTGGGAGATGTTTCATAATATTGGATAAGACAACGGCAGCTCTTTATTTTCTTCTTAAATACATCATCTTCACGATATCGTATCAAACATGAAAGGAGCGAGGACGACAGACATTAGGAACCAGTGGTGATAATAGGGACTTTTAGAATTGTCGAACGACAACGTGGATTGCTATGATCGACGTAATTGTAATGCACTGCCTTGAATGGACGTCATACGTATCAGTCCACGCAAATCTAAAAGTCCCTAATGGGGCAGAAAGGGGGCACATGACCCATCACATGGTGAAAGTTGGAAAAAGACACTATAAGAGCCATGGGAAAGGAAAGGGGACATGAGAATAATTTATCAATGAGCTTGTTAGTTTACATTTTCATCCATCAAGTAAGACCCCCCCCCCCACACTCCATGATGCCACCCCTCATTGTCTGGATCAACACTACGCCATTACCATCCCAGCGACAGTAGGCTTAAGACTAATACCAACTACACACCTATAACAGACGGTTCAAGATCGGCGAACACAGCGCGAGGTACGTGCTTGCCAGCTCCAGTCTCACTGAAGAAGGTATTGAAGGAGTCGTCACCAAATCCGACGGTCCTGTCTGAGGGCATCTGGCCATCAGCCTCGATTTCGTGCTCGTGGCAGAAGAGTTCCCAGCATGCATTGCCCATCTGGACTCCGGCTTGGCCGATATGAATAGAGATGATTTCACGCTGCAATAAAATAAAAATGGTTTAAAGTTACATTCTGAACGAGAAGCAAATTAAGGATTTCTGTAGCGGGATCTAAATCTAATTCACGCAAATTTCTTACATTATTTATCAGGTTATTACCATAGTGAAACTTTGTACAGAAATTTGAGAGTTCATGACATAGCATCGAGAGAAGCGGCCAGAGGCGGCTCTCCCGGGGGCAGGGGGAGGGGCACAGTGCCCTTCCCATTTTTTCCAGTACCCTAAAAGAGCCCCTTTTTGCATAGGAAAAGTGCCCCTTTAACTTTGTAAGACGTGCCCCTTTTTACTTAGGAAAAGTGCCCCTTTTACTTTGACAAGTGCCCCTATTAATTTTTAAAAGTGCCCTTTCCCCTTTCCACCTCTGATAAGTGCCCCTTTTAGTTTGACACGTACCCCTTTTCCTTTGACAAGTTCCCATTTCCGTTTGCAATAAGTGTCCATTTTCCATTCTCATAAGTGCCTTTTTAATCTCTAGTAAGTTCCCCTTTTCAGGTACGAGAAGCACCCCTTTTTCACTTTTGATAAGCGCCCCTTCACCTCTAAATATTGCCCTGTTCAAATCTGAGAGGTTCCTCTTTTGTTTTGACAAGTTCCCCCCTTTTTTTGGTAAAAAAACTACCTCATTTTAACTTGGATAAGCGCACCTTATATTTTCACATGTGCCCCCTTTCCTTTTCCTTTCCCTCTTATAAGTGCCCCTTCCCCTTCTCATAATTACCCCTTTTCATCTTTGATAATTGCCCCTAATAAAATCTGATCGATGCCCCTTTTCTTTCAACAAATGCACATTTCCCTTTATCATTAATGTCCCTTTTTTATTCTCATAAGTGCCTCTTTTCATGTATGGCAGTGCCCCTTTTCACCTCTGATAATTACCCTTTTAACAATGACATGTGCTCCATTTCCCTTACTAATAAGGAACATTTCCCTTTTTCATAAATGCCCCTTTTTACTTCTTATAAATACCCTTATCAAAATCTGATGGGTGCCTCTTTTCCGTTGACAAATGCCCATTTCCTTTTCATCCCTGGTGCATGCCTCTTTTTTTTAGGTGTAAGAAGTGCCCCATCTTCACCTCTGATAATTAGCCTTTATATTTTGACACGTGCTCCTTTTCTTTGCTAATAAGTGTTACAATCCTTTCGATAAGTGTCCCCCTTTCCTCTCATCATTAAATGTGCCCCTAATTTCAAGCGAATAAGAGCGATTTACCCCAAAGTTCGCTCGCTTCGCTCGCTCGTAGTTATATATGTTATAATTATGTAACTTAACAAAGGTCTTTTCAGTCTTCCATTATGAGAATGTGCTTATAACCCCATCAAGATTGGGTTTTCCCTCTAGATAAGATGTAATTTTTCGCACTGCGACCTCACAAATCATAAAAATTTTCCTCGCAAGCTTTGCTCGCTCGCAAATTAATTTTCAGACTATCACACCCAACTGCACAGTATGATGCTTAAGCAATATCTTATATGATGTATAAACAGAAACAAATATTGAAATCATCCCCGATAATGTAATCACAATAAATAGGGGTATATACCAATGTCTAAAAATTTGTTTATTTTCGCTTTGAGATTTCCCTTTGAAGGTGCCCTTTTTCCAGAAAGTGTCCTTTTTGGTTGGTGCCCTCCCACTTTTGAAGTCGCTCCGTCGCCTCTAGAAGCGGCATTGTATTTTCATATCCAGTCTCATATAGACTTCCACATTTTTAGAGGTACTATCTTTTGAAATTTCGAGACAGCAAATTAAAAACGTGTGATACAAAAACCGAGTTAAAATATGATTATGATTACAACTGTTTTCTTTCTCTTTGTTTGAGTTTTTCCCTCTAAAGGACATCGCCAACAAAGGGCAAAATTTTCATTGAAAATGATAACCATTTGCTTAAAAAATGCCCTTTTGCATGCAATTTGCAACATTAAAAAACCCTTTCAAACTCTAGTCCTTGAGAGCATTAATAGTTAAAATGATAAACTTGATAAAAAAAGGCCTTTGTGAAATAAGGTTGGTGCTCACCCTATAGTAATGGTGCTCACCCAATAGTAATAAATCATGTTTGCGTGAAAGCACAAAGAACTATGAAAGCATTGTTGCATGAATTTTCGGTGGGTTACTTATGTATTCAGAAATACATAATGAAGATATTTCATTTCAACTGCACTGTTCATACGGCGTGTAAAATTTGCTTGTGATTGTCACAATGATCCCATCATTGGGGGCGGATCGCGGATCGCCAGATGGATCGAGGGGGTGGGGGATGTTAGGTAAAACGTGGCTTTCTTGCTCTCCCACCTTACCTTGAACTGCCTGTACATGAATTGTCTAATTGTCATGAGCCTATTTGTAATATTCTTAACTGCTCCTAAACAATTTACGCTATTATTATGTTTTAAGATGATACTTTGAACTTAATCAGGGCGCTTGCCTTCGATAGGCCTTCAGCTTCTACCCTCTCCTCCACTCTTAATTTCACTTTCTTTTTAAAAGTAGATGTGTTATTAGTTAAATAAATGTGTTTATTAATTGAATTTCTATATGTTTGTGTCATTTCTTCAATGACTGGAATAAAACTTGAAACTATACTTTAGTTGGCTTACATGTAAAGGGATAAGTGATGGTCTTTTAATTGCTCAAATATTGTTGACGTGGACACAACTCAAGTGAATCGGTGTGACGCGTGGGAGTAATTCCGGATTCATATGCTGAACGGGTACGGCACTCTTTTGTTACATTCGTAGTCTCGACACAGAGATTCATTAGTTTAATTATACACATATAATTATATATATATATATATATATATATATATATGTATATATATATATATATATATGCATGTATATTAATTTTGACATAATTTATATAACATAATTCTTCGTTTACAGGCACAAACGTAAAGTAGTCAGTAACAACGTGTAAAACCGGAACTCAACACTCTAGACTAGCTTGTTATAGGCCATTGCTTGTACATGCCCATTGGGAAACTGTTTTAGGGTTCACTCAAGGAACAATGTATTTTTATTTCCTTTTTCCTTTGATACTTTGTTCATGTCTACGCTTGCAGAAAAAGACCAAACTCATACAAGATTTACTTCAAACCGATTATGTTTTACTTCATACTTCAGGAAAGTCCACGAGTACAAATATATAGAAGATGACAATTGTTAATGAAAGAAATAAAGAGTTCCTATATGAACAAGACTATATGACTCACTTGAATGGACTAGATTATTTGCGTATAACTGAATATAATCAACATATTTCATAACTACCCACTCGAAACACTTTATTGTTTGGTAGCTTGCAAAACAAACAAACCGTATGGTTTGCACTTCACGAATTGGAAGGACAGCATAACAATTTTAGTGTAAAAAGTAGCGAGTTGAATTGTAAGGGTTTTGGAGTGCACTTCTCCATTTCAAGTTTTATGCCTTATAAGAGCGGTATAAAACTGACGATAGTATAAATAATGTGAAATTAAATCAATAATAAACTGGAAAGACACATAGTTTTACTTCGAAATACTGAATGAACTACCTGGAAGCCTGAACCCAACTACGCTATTGATATAAGCTCAAATGATACTTTGGTAAATGAAAATACCAACAACTTTTCACTTCATTTTGTGTGATATGATTCTATTTGTTCATTCTCTTTATGAGTCAGTTTTCAATTCTCTCTAAATGATAAAACATTCAACATGGCAATTACAAAATAATTGAATAACTTCAGAACAATATAACCTCTTGAGTTACATCATATCAACATAATCTCTGCTTTGATCTACAGAAGGACTGTCACATAAAAAAGCTTGAGGTTATCTATGGACAGTGTTCCACTATTAACAGAAGAAACTAGACTTTAAATAACAGAGACAGAAAGCTTGCTCACGTTGGCAATATTCCAACTCTGTAGATGTAAGGACACTTGAGACTTTAATCAAATGTTAAAACTTTTTTCAGTTGTAGGACATCACGTTCCGGCAGGACTTGCTTCACGCCAATATTTCAGGTCATATGATGAATAAAATAAATATATAATCAGGAAGTAATAGAAAACACTAAAAAGTCATTTCACTGAATCAATGATACTCATTAGAAGGAAAGGATAATTATTAAACAAAGGATAATACAAATTTGAATCACTTACCATGGTTTTATATTTGTTACTTTGAAGCGAAAGAACCGTTCTACGCTATCCCCGATGAGAGTGGTAGACTTTCAGTAAATGTAAATTGAGGTAACTGACTACCAGTGAGTTTTAGGCAACGCCGACACACCCACTTTGACTTGGCTGACATGAAACGTAGGTGTCGATATTATTATGAAAAATTCTCTCTCTCTCTCTACCTCTCTCTCTTTGTCCTACCATCTCTCTCTCTCTCTCTCTCTCTCTCCTTCTCTCCCCTCTCTCTCCTCCCAACCCCTCCTCTCTCTCTCTCCCTCCCTCCCCCAACCCCCTCTCACTACCTATATCTCTATTATCTCCACCTCTCTTTTATAGTCTCTCTGTTCTTCTTTCTCTCTGTCTCTCAATTTTTGTTTCCCTTTTCATTCGAGTCGTTTCAAATCCGTCTCCCCATCTCTCTCTCTCTCTCTTTCTCTCTTGTCCTTCCTCTCTCTTAATTATATGGATATGAAGGTGGATGGGAGGATAAGAAAGGGATATACATGTAGCTGTATGCATCGGTAGGTTTATAGCGGTTGCTTATCGTGTGTGGACGCGATGGTCTTCGGGTGCGTTCAAGCAGGGAGGTGAGACTTTAAGCGAATTTTTGAAGCTAGAATCACAAACATGAATCACAAATCAACACGAAATCAAAATTTTTACGACTGACGAAAAATCGCTTTAAATCGCTTGAACGCAACCGTGTTTTAAACTAAACATCGTTGAAAAAAAAGCGTTTCAAGGGTAAAAAAAGGTGTCGCTTGAACGCACCCATCATCGACAGAAATTTGTTTGCAGGCACAACTACCATTCTGTCCATCGCTGCGCATGAGACTAGGCTGGCAGCAAACTGAATAATATCTGTACTGTCTAGTTAGGCCAGGGAGTTGGAATGGACAGAGGTGTCGTGGTCGAGAGTGGATGACACTGGACTGCGGATCACAAGGTCCGCGGCTTAAGTCCTTCCGTGGCACTAAATGTCCGTTGACAAGACATTGATCTACATTTGCTACTCTCCACCCAGGTGTTAAATGGGTACCCGGTAGGATGCAAAAGTGAATGTGTTTGTATGAGCAAGTGCGCTTGTAAAACGACTGGCCGGAATGCTCTCATGGAGTGGAGACTGTGCATACATTGTGTGCGGGTAAGCCTGAATCCGATGACCGGAGTAATAATATGTACTGCGCCTAGAAACAATGTGAGCTATTATTATTATTATCATAGATAGGCTCTGCTCGAGCTGTTAGGAATTGTGGTGAAGACTCAAATTACAGATGTACCTGCAGACTAGATAGAAATCTCAATATCCAAGGTGGAAGCGACGCGTCGGAGACCACGTGTGTGAACTTGAGTACCGGCTGGAATGTGTTAAAGTGGTAAATAAATAGATCTGGGACCCGTTTCATAAAGCCTTTTACCAATGACAAATGTCAAAAATCAGTGACAAATCTGTGGATAACCGATCAGAAGCAAGGATTTCAGTAGCTTATAACAAAAACTGCCATTTGTCACTGATGACAAGTTTTGTGAAACGCCCCCCCCCCCCCCATTTACTTCAACTTTATGGTTACCCACTGTTGCAAATATATTAATTAGAATATTAATTCAATCGTGCATTTCACGTTTTTTTTTCAATGACTGATAATGAAATATCTACCCCTACTCTTTACGTCTAGATTACACTCTGTTTTAGATATAGAATCAATAAATGTCTAAAATATTATTTCTATAGCATTTTTGAAGTTTCTTCTATATCACATGAATTTATTTTGCAGACATTCTTAAATTTAGTCTACCTGACTGATTTTCTATGTTTAATTGAACATACTGACTTAATAAAGCTTAATCGTAATAATTATTCATAATTGTTCCACCAAGTTTGATTTGATTTGATTTCTTCTTCTTCTTCCACTGGAGTACATCCCTCTAACGGAGTATTGTCGTACTTTTATCAACAGCAATACATTCTCATACAATGTGTTTACCAGTACAAGAAGAGAAACTATTGGTTGGTAAAAGGGGCAAGATAATAGCACATGTGCTAGTTGAGCCTAACCCCTTAAACAGCTAAACAAAGTATTTTGGTACAAATCAGTTTGGAAAACGTAACAAAACAAAAATAATGAATTTACTATCACAATCGATACTTTAAAAAATAAGAATTAATAACAATGCTTACATTATACAAACTGATAATATGAAAGTAATTTTTGTACATAATTATGCAGATTATTTAACTTGATATTTCATTCACGAATATTGTTCAACAAATGACTCGTAACAGAATTCCAAAAAACCTATTTCTAGACATTAATAGGTAATCTCATGACGATATAAAACTATACAATGCATTTACTATGTTCCGGTGACTTTTATCTCAGGCATAGTCATGATAGTGATGGTCATAAAAAGAGTTCCCCTTGTATCATTGAGTTAATCTTTATGAAAATCTAACGTTGCTTTTGTTTTGTTCAATTGAATGGATCCTCATGAAAATCTGCAATGATGTGACAAGTCATGACTGTTTGTTCAATGGAAATGAAAATTGTCCAGTCAAACATTCAGTTCACCTTGCTACATTGAGAAAATCAACGAAGTTGATCTGGCATTTATCATCATCAAAGTGAGTCTACACAATGATTTAGCATTGGATTTATTTCGTGTCATAAGATTAATCTTAACGTCATTTCATTTGATATTTACGCCATTTGTTCCTCTATAAAATAATCTTGATCATAAATCTGTTTTGACCTTGTTCCTTGAGATTTTACTTTGTGATTGAGTCACGACTAGTCTTTTATTAAAACTCCACTTATATAACAATGACCACCAAAACTTACAACCAGTAACGTAAATATCGACAAGACAAAAGTCATCCTGGACGAACAACTTTTGGGTAATGAACTAGTCATCTTATTCTAAGTATAAATTAAATTATTTTCACTTTACAGAAATACAAGAGTAACCTACAGGCGTCTATGAAAGACAAAATACTACTTTAATTTCTAGGAAAATACAGTTGTAGGACTACGACACTGTTAAAAATCGACATCGAAATTAAATCTAGTATAATATTTATGTGACAAGGGATCGTCTGAAAGTTGCGCACTTAGTATTCCTCTTCTCCCTCTTCTTCTCCTTCTTCGTCGACCGAATCAGTACCGACTTCTTCGTAGTCCTTCTCGAGAGCAGCCAAATCCTCACGAGCCTCGGAGAACTCTCCTTCCTCCATACCCTCTCCGACGTACCAATGGACGAAAGCACGCTTGGCGTACATCAGATCGAACTTGTGATCAAGACGGGCCCAAGCCTCGGCAATGGCAGTGGTGTTGCTCAACATGCAGACGGCACGCTGAACCTTGGCAAGGTCACCACCAGGAACGACGGTGGGTGGCTGGTAGTTGATACCGACCTTGAAGCCAGTTGGACACCAGTCAACGAACTGGATGGTACGCTTGGTCTTGATGGTAGCGATGGCGGCGTTGACATCCTTGGGGACGACATCACCACGGTACAGGAGACAGCAGGCCATGTACTTGCCGTGACGGGGATCGCACTTCACCATCTGGTTGGCGGGCTCGAAGCAGGCGTTGGTGATTTGGTTAACGGACAGTTGCTCGTGATAAGCTTTTTCGGCAGAGATGACTGGAGCATAGGTAGCCATAGGGAAATGGATTCTTGGATAAGGCACTAGGTTTGTCTGGAACTCTGTCAGATCAACGTTGAGGGCGCCGTCGAATCGAAGAGAAGCGGTGATTGACGATACGATCTGCCCAATGAGACGGTTTAGATTGGTGTAGGTCGGTCGCTCGATGTCAAGGTTACGACGGCATATGTCGTAGATTGCCTCGTTATCGACCATGAAGGCACAGTCGGAGTGCTCCAGGGTGGTGTGAGTGGTAAGGATGGAGTTGTAGGGCTCGACCACGGCAGTGGAGATCTGAGGCGCTGGGTAGATGGCGAACTCAAGCTTGGACTTCTTTCCGTAGTCGACAGAGAGACGTTCCAAGAGAAGAGACGTAAATCCAGAGCCGGTGCCGCCACCGAAGCTGTGGAAGATGAGGAATCCTTGGAGACCTGTACACTGGTCAGCCAACTTCCTGACCCTGTCCAAGACTATATCGATCATCTCTTTTCCGACGGTGTAGTGACCACGGGCGTAGTTGTTAGCAGCATCCTCCTTGCCAGTAATCAGCTGCTCTGGGTGGAAAAGCTGACGGTAAGTGCCCGTACGGACTTCATCTAAATACAAGAGAGTAAGACAGGGAATAACAAATATGATTTTTAACTACATTGTAGATCGGATCAATATCAAAATATCTTCACTAGTAGTGTTCCAATTTAATGATGGGAAGTGGGTTTGCTTTATTGTTTCTCATGGTTACACTCGAAGGGTTGTCTAGCCCTGGCTTATTCAATGCCCAATTTTGGACAACGGCATCTTGGTGGTCGTGATAGCATCTGATGGCTCAGTAACGTGTCGCCGAGTTTAACTTCTCGGTCACATCGCCAAACGAACTACAACTTGACTCCAAACCTACTGCTCTTTTGCCTTTGGGAATGTTGAAGGGGGGGGGGGGCACAATGTAATGTTTTGTTCGGTCTGGTGTAAGTATCGTTGATGTGGATGCGGGACTAAGTAAAGTGAATGAAAAAGTGAACAAACTGCTCAGATTCTTACCAACAACAGTTGGCTCGAGGTCAATGAACACGGCACGGGGCACGTGCTTGCCAGCTCCCGTCTCACTGAAGAAGGTGTTGAAGGAGTCATCACCACCTCCTAGGGTCTTGTCTGAGGGCATCTGGCCATCAGGCTGGATGCCGTGCTCCAGGCAGTACAACTCCCAGCAGGCATTGCCCATCTGGACTCCGGCTTGGCCGACATGGAGAGAGATACATTCACGCTGTAGTAAAAACAAAACAATAACATTTATGAAACAACTAACAAGAACGTTGTTTTTCGTAAGGTTTTTATCGTAATAATTATACAACTATTTGAGATATAATATAAAGATGTCGCCAGTAATTTAAACTGCAATGTTTGGAGGTGTAAGGTGTTGTAATATAGTGGGTCATATTCACTTTACTCTCAATCCAAGGGCTGAGGTTTCGAATCCCAGTCCATCACTAACCTCCTTTGGCAAGACAATCCACAACAAAGGGTACCCGATATGCAAAAGCGCTGCATATTTGGCTGCCGGCTATGACCTGGATAACATAATGTTGGGGCGCCAGGAGTGTCATTGCGCGGCATGCCAGACATAATGCGCAAAAAGAAAGAAAAGAGAAATGGTGTCGTTTTCATCTTACAGTTTTGGTTTCTTGGCACCAAATAACCTTTAATACCCGTTGCACACAGGCTAGATTAGTGCAGGTGATAACGCAATACAAATTAAGCCTCGTGCAAGTCGTGTGCAACGGGCATTCAAGCGCTCCATGAGATTAAAAAAAAAAAAAAAAAATTCAAGACAATCATTCCACATTGTGGTTTTGGCTCATTAACTTTCGATTCAGAACCCTAAAAATTATACCTGGTGCATGAGTATATAAAAGGAAAAAATTTGGCGTACGATTTATCCATTTTTATTGCACGAATATATTGTGTTTGATGCCAGGAATTTTAAAAAGGAAAATAAGCGTTTAAAATTGGCAACATCTTCAGATTCAAAATCATTGTTTTTCAATAAAAATCGGCAATTTGTCAACCTTTTTTCTCTTCAAAATTCCTGCAAATGTATATTTGTTTCAGAGACATTACATTTTCATTTAACAAGGTAGAAATAAGAGAACATAATTTATTATTGTTGCCAATGTGAAGAACAATATGTGATCAATTTCGCCCTAAAGATAAATCCTGTCATGACAGGATTAACAAATAAATTAGATATGCATCACATCCTCTGCCAAGCACTCTCTATCGTTAGCAATGACCCTGACATTTACCCAACTACAAACGCCGATGTCTGAATCAAGCAGTGTATACAATTATTGTCAATGGCAACACAATTATATAGCCTAATCAAGCAAAGACTCGTAACCCTGGCAACCATACCATCGCTCTATTGAAGGTACCCTTGCTGCAAAAGCAACTATCGTCTCCACAGTGTAGCATTAGTTGTACTATAAAAGGCATGTACATTTTTACGAATGCCTCTTCTTGTTACCATGGCAATAGACCGATACCAAACAAAGCACACACACCGCGCCCCGACTTCATCATGACAAGAAATTGTCGCACTTCCTTGCCACGTCTCTTTGTTCCCTGGTATTTTCTATTTGTAACCAACTCGGCTTCTCATCATGCCCATCACCTGCCTGCCCATCACGCCCTTCCACCATCTTTATATGCATCCTTTCGCACCTCCATCCTCTCTCTCTCTCTCATCCCTGTTTCTCCATATACTTCTTTCCATCCCACACCTTATCTTGATGATAATGATATACCCCCATCCCCATCTTGTGACTATTATTTATTCATTTATTTATTTATTCCTGATATTTAGACGGGGTGACTCATTATCACCAATAATGGTGGTCTTCCATATCCTCCTATCATCAGATGCATTATTATTGCCGGCATTAATTATGTCTGTCTAAGCAATTCATAATTTCAACATCAATACAATAAATACCATTACAATCAATCATAACTGTGAACTTGGCATTTAAAAATCCCTCGACACCATCAATCATTATCATGAACGCTTTATGATGCACTATCATCAATTGATTTCATTTGATTTGATTGATTTCCGTTTCAATAACACATGCGAGATACATTTCGACGTAACACAATGTAATACATGTGTACATCAAACAAACAAGAAGAAAATTTAGAAGAGAAATAATAAATAACAGATAATTAATCTAAATGTATATTTTTGAGTATAACACGGGTCCTTAAAAAAACAATCATTAATCCCCAACATCAAAACACATCATTTTACCCATCTTAAACAACACAATCCAATCAATACCATTGACATATTGATATAAATAGCTATAAATCAGATAAAAGGACTCACCATGATGAAGAATTTGCAATCGTCGTGTCTTGCGATGAAACACAGTGATCAGGGCTTGGATGGGATGTGCAGACGGCCTGTCTTCAAGCAGTCGTTTTATACCCCCACACCTCTCACACCAATCGTACACGGCCATACTCAAGAAATCTACCAACACCCCTAGCAACCAATAGATTCAGCCTCATTTGTTGTTAGCAACGTCAGTGCCATTGAAATAATTACTGAAATTGCATCGATGAAGAAAAAAATTATTGAAGCTTTTATTTTTCGGTCCCGTTTAATCCATAGCGTGTGATCAATTAATAAGTGATTCGCAAAGCGCATAGAGATGGCATCATAGCTAAGTTGTATGTAATGAATATTTTCGAGGTTGAACTTCGTTGTTGATAATCATTTCCACCATCACTCTAGTTAAAATATGAATTATAAATGGACACTCCAGCTTTCGGTGTCAACGTATTATGTCTTTTTCTCTCTCTCTCTCTCTCTCTCTCTCTCTCTCTTTCTCTCTCTCATCTGCCTTGCTTTTAATTTTTCTATCCTCCTCTCTCTTCATCCTCACAATGTTTATTTGTTTGTTTTACCAGACTGATATTAAACCATGTGTATACTTGTAAGTAAGCAACCAGGGGACCGACGGCTTTTAAGTCTTCTCCGAGGGCCTTGGTAGTGAAGATTAATGCCTTACCAAAGGGGGGTTTTGAACCCGGGACCTCTCAGTTACGATACCACTGATCTACCACTGAACCACTGCGCAATAGGATGCACAATCATGAAATCTTCTACAGGTGATTATGTTCTCACACTTTACAGTACTATGTCCACGTCCATGAAGCAATTGCGATGCATTACTTATTATACTTCTTTATGTATTCCCTTTATTTTGACAATTAGTCTGTCGATGATTTAATATAAACTTATTTACATAAACTTGACTTTATTCATAAATTATAAAATAAAAAGCTAAAGAGAGCGACCCCTCTCTCCATTTCTTTCTCTTCATGTTTTCTCCCTTCACTCTTGATTCCTCCTATTCCATCTTCCCCTCATTCTCTTGACCCTCTCTCTCTCTCTCTTCTCTCTCTCTCTTTCTCTCTCTCTCGTTTTCTCTCTGCCTCTTTCTTTCTCTCTCTCCCTCCCCCTCTCTCTCTTTCTCTCCCTCATTCTCACCCATCTTTAATATTCTATCCCTCCCAATACATTTATTTTCTATCGAAGCTTTTACTACAAAAATAAAGATTACCACGACATAGAGATTTCACATTATTGCAAAGAAATAACTCAAAAGTTTATTACTCACTTGTCAATACCTGTTTGGGGAAGAAAATAATGTTTATGGGATGGATTTCAAAGTGTTTTGTTAATAATGTCATTTCAATTGCATTTTGATCTTCCTTATATCCAATTAATCTGGATGATAATCTCTGATATAGTGTACTTTGTTCAATGACCATGCTGACTTGATCGTAATTATACACTTTCATCTTGTTCTATTGAATTGATCTATAATGACTGATCTATTTAATTCAGCTTAATGACACCATCACATTAACTTCACCTAGTTTTATTTCATACAACTGTAAAGTTAATTCAACAGTTGTCAAGGTTACTTTATTTTTCTCATTAAAAATAATTTGTTCCACTGTAGATTGATCTCTTCCACTGTAGATTGATCTCAATATTAATCTCATGTTAAACTTATCTTGTTCCAGGTAGTTGTTCTTGATGATCGCTTCAAACTCACGTTAATGTACTAGGCCAAGTCCAAGCTATTTTGTCTCACACGGTATCGACCGTCATCTAACATCTGATTATTGTCTTAAGCTAATAACCTTATAAACTTTATAAAGATCAAAGGGAAAAGTAAACTGATATAAATTTATATTCATAACCTCACTGTACATGGTAACGTATGGGAGACCGAAATGGCGTCATACAATGGTCTTGCTGGATAAGCCCACCGCACACTATACGACCCTCCTGCGATCCTCCTGCGATCCGACTTAGAAGAAATGGCAATTATATTAATTATCGAAATCTAAACAAAATTTATATTTTGAGATCTAGGTTCTAAATAATGATATGGATACGAACAACCAGAATTTTAGTGCGTTTAACTCTCCTAGTCAGAATTAATCCGAATCGGCTTCTAATCGTAGACAATCACACTACTGGTGCGATGTCACTACGATTCTGAGCCGACTTAGATTGTTCTTCTCCAAAGATACTTGAATTCATTGAAATGTTTGATATCACTAATCATATGACTATTTAGATCCTCGGCAGTTAAGATTTTACCAGTCATAAAAGTTCATATCAAATGCAATTGCAAATTCTACCAAAATCGGATCGTAGTCAGGTCGTATAGTGCGGTGGGCTTTACAAACATTATTCGTGTTAAGCGCTATTCAAATATGACTATTTTTTATTATCATTATCATTATTATAATTTTTTGTTTCGTCACCGTAATTTTCTCAGGTGAGATGGATAATCTATCCGTAGTCGTTTTACAAGTGTTCCTATGTTTACCTTAAAAGGAAAGGTGATTAACTATGCATTTTTATATACGTCCTTTTACTATGGGCCATAGCAAGATGTAACGTCCCCTTGAGCCCATAGAAACAGGTTTGCCTCTCATAGCAGTCAATATAGTCTATGATATTATATTTTGTGGTAATCAAGTAGGGCTTTTAGCAGCGAAGGAAATTACCTGTTTATTCATTAAGGACGTAACAGCGATCAGAAAGTAATCTGTCTACTAGCTGACTGTCAGTAGTTCAATCAAAGAGTAGAAGAAAAGATATACGGCACACACACATCGAGGTTGTATCACACACGAAATAAAGTCCAAACATTTCCACTGCCATTAGATCGCATTACATAGAGCATAATTTTTTCTTAATTTATACGACATGACATTTGAAGATTACATAGATATATTTTTGATGTTATATGAACACTCAAACACATATACAGGATAGAAACAGTATTGCAAAGCAATCAATAGAATGTCATACGTACAGCATTGCTGAAATCAACATCAGAGTCAAATAAATTAAGTGAAAATTAACGTCAATGCTTAGTATTCATCTCCTCCCTCTTCTTCATCTTCTGCTTCTTGAGAATCGTGACCGACTTCTTCATAATCTTTTTCAAGAGCAGCCAGGTCTTCACGAGCTTCGGAGAACTCTCCTTCCTCCATACCCTCTCCGACATACCAATGGACGAAAGCACGCTTGGCGTACATCAGATCGAACTTGTGGTCGAGACGGGCCCAGGCCTCGGCAATGGCGGTGGTATTGCTCAACATGCAGACGGCACGCTGAACCTTGGCGAGATCCCCACCAGGGACGACGGTGGGTGGCTGGTAGTTGATACCGACCTTGAAGCCAGTTGGACACCAGTCGACGAATTGGATGGTGCGCTTGGTCTTGATGGTAGCGATGGCGGCGTTGACATCCTTGGGGACGACATCACCACGGTACAGGAGACAGCAGGCCATGTACTTGCCGTGGCGGGGATCGCACTTCACCATCTGGTTGGCGGGCTCGAAGCAGGCGTTGGTGATTTCCGAAGTGCTTAGTTGCTCGTGATACGCCTTTTCGGCAGAGATGACTGGAGCGTAAGTAGCCATAGGAAAGTGGATTCGCGGATAGGGCACTAAATTTGTCTGGAACTCCGTTAGGTCAACATTGAGGGCGCCATCGAATCGCAGAGAAGCAGTGATTGATGATACGATCTGCCCGATAAGACGGTTCAGATTGGTGTAAGTCGGTCGCTCGATGTCAAGGTTACGACGGCATATGTCGTAGATGGCCTCGTTGTCGACCATGAATGCACAGTCGGAGTGCTCCAGGGTGTTGTGAGTGGTAAGGATGGAGTTGTAGGGCTCGACCACGGCAGTGGAGATCTGAGGCGCTGGGTAGATGGCGAACTCAAGCTTGGACTTCTTTCCGTAGTCGACAGAGAGACGTTCCATGAGAAGAGATGTAAATCCAGAGCCTGTGCCGCCACCGAAGCTGTGGAAGATGAGGAATCCTTGGAGACCTGTACACTGGTCAGCCAACTTCCTGACCCTGTCCAAGACTATATCGATCATCTCTTTTCCGACGGTGTAGTGACCACGGGCGTAGTTGTTAGCAGCATCCTCCTTGCCGGTAATCAGCTGCTCTGGGTGGAAAAGCTGACGGTAAGTGCCGGTACGAACTTCGTCTAAACAAAAAGAAAAGAGTTCGATATGTTACTCCTTCGACTAGTTAAGTCGACGGCATTATCTTCAAAATGCACATGACATTTTTTTTATCTTACTGCATTGAAGTTATTATTATGTACTTTAGGATTTCATACCTTCAACTATTCACACCCTGGTGGCGAATTGACGACTTAAATGTCTGCATCTGATTCGGAAGAAAAATCAGGAGTTCTTGTTGACTGTTTTTTAGCATGGGATTGACAGAAGACTTACTCTATCTTTTCCTATTTTAGCAACATTTCGATCAGGTACGTCACTAAACAAACTGCTTAGATTCTTACCAACAACAGTTGGCTCAAGGTCAACAAACACGGCACGGGGAACGTGCTTGCCGGCTCCAGTCTCACTGAAGAAGGTGTTGAAGGAGTCGTCACCACCTCCGATGGTCTTGTCTGAGGGCATCTGGCCATCAGGCTGGATGCCGTGCTCCAGGCAGTACAGCTCCCAGCAGGCATTGCCCATCTGGACTCCGGCTTGGCCGACATGGAGAGAGATACATTCACGCTGTAGTGAACAAAAATATAAAAAAACACAATTATTCCCATATACTGAAATTTGGGTTAAAACTTAAAATGTTGATAGTGGTAAATAACCGTGTAGTGCTTTAACATCGCACGATGAAATATTTCTCCGTCAGGCATTTCGCCGATGTATTTATACCAGGGGCGTAAATCCGTATCGAGGGTGGGGGGGATGATCGGCGATAGCCATCACATACTAGCACGAGCACACGCGCGCCCACACTAATTTACGCAAGCGCGCGCGATCGCGCACGCCCACACAACACACACACACACACACACACGCACACACACACATACAAACGAACTCAGTTTCCCCCTCTCGCGCGAAGAGCGGAAGCCTTGACGTTTCCTTAAATTTTTAGAGAAAGCAGACGATTGGGTGTACTGTTCACGACTCTTAATTCTCGTCTAAATTCAGCCTTCCCGCGCGAAGCGCGGAAGTTTTGACGTTTTATTAAATTATTAGAGAAAGCAGACGATTCGCTGTACCGTTTTCGACTCTTAAAAAGCCCTATTTATCTTAATTCAGTTCCCTCCTCTCACGCGAAGCGCGGAAGCCTTGACGTTTCCTTAAATTTTTTAGAGAAAGCAGACGATTGGGTGTACTGTTCTCGACTCTTAATTCTCGTCTAAATTCAGCCTTCCCGCGCGAAGTGCGGAAGTTTTGACGTTTCATTAAATTATTAGAGAAAGCAGACGATTCGCTGTACCGTTTTCGACTCTTAAAAAGCCCTATTTATCTGAATTCAGTTCCCTCCTCTCGCGCGAAGCGCGGAAGCCTTGACGTTTCCTTAAATTATTAGAGAAAGCAGACGATTGGGTGTACTGTTCTCGACTCTTAATTCTCGTCTAAATTCAGCCTTCCCGCGCGAAGTGCGGAAGTTTTGACGTTTCATTAAATTATTAGAGAAAGCAGACGATTCGCTGTACCGTTCTCGACTCTTAATAAGCCCTATTTATCTCAATTCAGTTCCCCCCTCTCGCGCGAAGCACGGAAGCCCTGAAGTTTTCTTAAATTATTAGAGAAAGCAGACGATTGGGTGTGCTGTTCTCGACTCTTAATTCTCGTCTTAATTTAGTATCCCCTTCCCGCGCGAAGCGCAAAGAGCTTAGACGTTTGATTTAATTATTATATATATAGAAAGAAGACGATTCGTGTACCGTTTTCGACTCTTAATAAGCCCTATTTATCTCAATTCAGTTTCCCCCTCTCGCGCGAAGCGCGGAAGCCTTGACGTTTCCTTAAATTATTAGAGAAAGCAGACGATTGGGTGTACTGTTCTCGACTCTTAATTCTCGTCTGAATTCATTTTCCCCTTCCCGCGCGAAGCGCGAAAAGCTTAGACGTTTGATTGAAATATTACAGACAGAAGACGATTCGTTGCACCATTTCGACTCTTATTAAGCACTATTTATCTGAATTCAATTAAATTCATTCAATATAAACAACAAATTCATTCATTCATAGACACAAACATCACATGCATTGCAGCCCTTAAATATCATCCCCTCGTCCCTTAAGTTTTAGGTGTGAACAAATGACAACCACGCGACAAAATCCAGCCCGAAAATTGTAAAAAAAAGGGGGATGTATTTGATTTTTCACCCGGAGAGTGGGTTTTTAGCTCTCTCTCTTTGGACTCCTGAGAAATGTAAAAAGAGGGTTATAATATATTTTGAATATCATAGAAAAATTGATCGAATCCCGGGATCAAATTCCTGAAACTGCTAGCTTTGAAAGCTCATTCAGGATTATTTCATTTTGAAAAGTAAAAACATTGGCCCCAGCCCCCAGTCCCCCTCGATCGACTAGAGCTCACCTGAAATTGAGGGGGGGGGGGGGGTGGTACATTTAGCAGTGTTCCGGACTTTTTTTTTTGGGGGGGGGGTCTCCAAGGCAGGAAAAGCTAGCGAAAAGCCGGCGAAAAGCCGACGAAAGGGGGATTCAGAAATGTTGGCAGTCCTGAGATAGGGGTGGGGGGGGGGTGCTTTCAAAGGGAGGGAACGAGCATACTCGTACCCTGAATAACACTGAGTGGGGGGAGGAGAGCCGGGCATCTACTGTACATGATTGCACTTTTAAGCGCTTGCGTGCTGGCGCACTTTACGTCTAGGCTTTAATAATACCTTACAAAATAACGAAAAATTATTCTGAAGTTTATGAAGTGCTTGTTCGCGCACGTCGCGCAACTACTCTTTATGATCGTGACATACTGTATACGTGTAGGCTATACAGTTATACATACATTAAAAAAAAAAATCATTTCCAATGCATTATGCTGAAAGTGAAACCATCACATTTTTTCCCCTTCTTCTTCTTCCTTTTTTTTTTGTAATCTCAGGGGGGGGGGATGATTGTACAGGCCATCCCCCTACTTCAAGCCAGGGGGATGCAGCCCCCCCCCCATCCCCCGGGATTTACGCCCCTGATTTATACCCCCCCCCCCCACTTGTACTTCTTTAGCAACGACCGTGGCATCTAGACAAATCTACCAAGGCCAGCTTCTGCACCAGACAGTGTTGTACCGTTGTTAACGGCAACAAATATATGGTTAAATCCAGCAATTATTTCCCGCCTAATATGAACCGCGATCGAATGAGCAACATGGACAAATACTCGTAACCCCTGGCAACCGCTGCATGGATCTATTCAGGATGTCCTTGCCAGCGCAATAGTCGCTCTGTGTTTACCACCACAGAGCATCCATATGCCCGTACTTTAATGGATGCCTCTCCCTCTCTTCATCCACGGCAACCCATTCATGACTCATCAAAGCGGAATATTTTCCTGATCATTCCCTAAAATGATCGTACGTGTTAAAACAGTGGAGGTACTGTAGCTCAATTGTTTTATCTTTCCTGAAATCTTATTTCAGAACGAACACGGGAACGCAAAAGAGTAAGGGTGTTGCGGTTTTTACCAAGCTGTTTCATTTTAATGAATGATCTATGGAGGGGGGGGGGGGAGGGGGGGGGGGTATTGTTATCAGATTTACGCAAATACATATTTTTCTACGTACTCAAATTAATAGCAGGTTTTTGCCAATCTTAAGGTACCATGTATATGCATTTAAAATTGAAAAAATGATATATGAATCAATGAACCACAGAATAGCAGTTTTTGATATCGAGGGGAAGATATTCCACTCGGTCTTGCCAACTAGATGCTCTCAGGTCATATTACAATTAATAAAGTTATTATTATTATTGCTATTATTATTATTATTATTATTGTTATTATTACTATTATTATTATTATTTATTTATTTGGCAAAACAAAGTGTATACAAAAGAATTACATAGAAAAACAAATCATACAAAACAAAGGATGAAAATCATTACAAAAAAAAACATTATCGTGATTCCCATGAGCATTTACAAGTTGCCAGGAATGGGGCAGGCAAACTAAATCACCGAAACCGTAAAGAGTTACTACTCTGATACTAATTTCTAGTCACAGTAAATAAATTTGTTTTCAACACGATTCATAAACATGATGAAAAGATTGCAAAGATGAAGATGAATGGCATCATGGCAATAAATATCTCCCCCCCCCTCATCCCCGTCATTATGTGTTCACCATTTCTTCCTAAGTAGTCTATGATCAGAATTTGATGATGAATCCAAAGTATTGGGCATTCATTAAAGGTAAAGACCAGTTATGGTCATGCGATCGCATTGTAAAAGAAACGATGTGGAATCGATCAGAAAGGGTTGATCATCTAGCATCTGCAAGGTTCTGGAATCATCAAAATGATAAGAAATTTGGCCCATTCTTCGTAAAGTTACAAGCACTATACACAGAAATATGTATATGGGACTACCCTATATCTCTTACAGACCATGAGAGAAACAAATTTACCAAATATATGAATTAGTAGGCGGTTTCCCAGCAAATTTTTTATCATCGTGTATTAGTCAAAACATATTCTTTCACAGTCATGATTGGTAATGAGAGCTTTCATGTCATTTTTTGAAATTGGGGCGTTTCCAATACTGGTCTTTACCTTTAATCACAAATCATGTATTCGTTTTCATTAAAGGCTTCATCATACATCCCATACTCGTCCTACTCATCCCCACTCTCCATCTTGGATGTACTCTAAGCATTTACCCTCATGAGATTGAAACGATGGATTTGCAATGAGGAGACACGCCCACATCATCTTTCAACTCTTTATAGTTCATCATGAACGTAATGGCGTCAGCTATACAAGACATGCCAACGTGAGAACATCAACAATAATACTATTCTTCTTGTCAACATAATTATACTCCAACCACCATTGACACATATCATCCAAAACATTTCAAATTTGAATACAGAACTCACCATGTTGGTACGGTGGTTAACGTCGTGTCTTGCGATGAAACACAGTGATCAGGGCTCGGCCGAAATAATTATGCAGACGGCCTGTATCCAAGCAGTCGTTTTATATACCCCCAAGTCACGCCCATGAGTCATACACAGTAGAGATGAGTCTCCACAAATTGGCCGATCCCCTCAACAACCGATTCTCTCTGAATAATTTATTCAATAGCAACGTCAAATGCCATGTGAATAATGGCACAAATTGCAGCGACGACATAAATTAATTTCCTCTCAGTTTTTGATCACCAACAATGGACGTTGCATTAATAACTAATTATTGCGCGAGGCGCATAGAAATGAGTCAGTACTATGATGTGCGTAATAAAACAGTTTATTATTTTCAAGGTGAACATCGTTCATCGGTCGATGAGTTTTATGTTTAAAAACTGTCATCACCATCAGCATTATCAAAAGCTTCATGTAACGGGCCAGTTTATTTTAACTTTAGGTTTCGGTATATAACCCTATGTTATTGCGAAATGATATCTTCACATCTGGCTGGCTGGCTGCTTATTTCGCATATTCGCAACTCTCAAATCTTAAAGATTGCGATCCGAGCAAATAAATGTGTGACCCCTTTTTTATATACGTATATTTAGCGTTTAGATGTAATAAAGAAATCAATGCATGTTAATGCAAAATGTCCCGATCATCTCGCCGTTCTATGACCGAGGGACTTGGTAATGAGTATTAATGCCTTATCAAAGAGCACTATCGCATCGACTTGGTTTCGAACACAGAACCTCCCGGTTACGTGACCACTGCTCTACCACTGAGTCATCAGTTCTAGTTTCGTCACGTTCATGGGTTCGTTAATTAGCAAAAATAAATTGCTTCATTAATGAAATGGATACAAAAAAGTTATGTAAATGCCTATGGGTTCTCTGTCGTTTTAAAACACACACACATCCACATCCAAACTCATACACACATACCCACACACACACACACGCGCGCGCACGCACACGCACACCAATACATACTCGCACACACATTCTCGGACATATAGAATGATGTACATGGTATTTTATTTAATATTATTTTGTGTGTGTCCGCGTGTAATGTATGTGTATAATAACTGTATAAAGCTGTTAAAAAATATCAATATTCTTGGTAATTCATTTTGCACAATGAAATTTGACATAACGATCTAACTTCGTCTTCCTTCTCTCTCTCTCTCTCTCTCTCTCCCTCTCTCTCTCTCTCTCTCTCTCTCTCGATCGATTCTAGAACGAACTATCTACTCTGATCCCCGAAAAAATACCAACATGGACAATTACCCTTGGAAAACTACCATCTTGGAGTTTTATCCCCATATACCTACCACGTGGTCTTGTTACCTCATTTATTGTTCTGTTAAGGTAAATAGTGTAATTCCTTGACGTTATGGTCAGGGGTAGTTGTCGGGGATCACACTCCGGATTTTTGTTTCCGTCTGGTACAGAACGAAACTTGTTACAATTCTATATTCTTCCCAAAACATATTATACATGACAGCAGTATTCTTTATTTTCAAAAACAATACTCTTTATTGTGCACTAGCAGAACCATACGAAATGCACCGTGTGCTACAACTTGCTTTCGTGTGCTTACAATGCCGACAGCAACTAAATCCTTTCTTGTGAATCCAGTTGTGCGTAAAATGTGTCACATCTAAGATCTAACGAGGAACGAGATGTGAACGTTGACTTGGAAATTGGTAAAGGGTAGAAGACCATAATAAATAGATTAATTGTCATGAACAATCCATTTCCTAATTTATTAAGTGTGTCTTTTACTTGACACTGCCAAGATAATAATAATTCAGGCAAAATGTGTTTTTTTGGGGTAAATACTATGCAAATGGTTTGAATAAGATGTTTATCACAGAAAGATAGATGCGAAGCTAATGAGCCATTAGAATGATATCGTGCCTGATTAATTAAGGGATTGTGTGTAAAATTAAACAAAATTACGGAGTTTTGTTACTAACAGTAATTGACAAGGTTTCAATTATACCCACAACTTTTACAGATTGACCTTTCTACAAGCTTGCATTAGAAATGATTTAGTTTAAAGCATTAAAACATTATGTGACATGTAGTGAAGTACATATGCAATACTGTGGGTATGTAGTAGGACGTCTTAGAAAGAACCTTTCCTTTTGTAAGGTTATGAATGTGTGCTTTCTTAAATTTGAAAGACATAATCATCATGTTGGGAACTTCTTTAATATTCCTCTCCTTCTTCTTCTCCTTCTTCGTCGACCGAGTCGACACCGACTTCTTCGTAGTCCTTCTCGAGAGCAGCCAAATCCTCACGAGCCTCGGAGAACTCTCCTTCCTCCATACCCTCTCCGACGTACCAATGGACGAAAGCACGCTTGGCGTACATCAGATCGAACTTGTGGTCGAGACGGGCCCAGGCCTCGGCGATGGCGGTGGTGTTGCTCAACATGCAGACGGCACGCTGAACCTTGGCGAGATCGCCACCAGGAACGACGGTGGGTGGCTGGTAGTTGATACCGACCTTGAAGCCAGTTGGACACCAGTCAACGAATTGGATGGTACGCTTGGTCTTGATGGTAGCGATGGCGGCGTTGACATCCTTGGGGACGACATCACCACGGTACAGGAGACAGCAGGCCATGTACTTGCCGTGACGGGGATCGCACTTCACCATCTGGTTGGCGGGCTCGAAGCAGGCGTTGGTGATCTCAGCAACAGTCAACTGCTCATGGTAGGCCTTTTCTGCAGAGATGACAGGGGCGTAGGTGGCCAGAGGGAAATGGATACGTGGATAGGGCACAAGGTTGGTCTGGAATTCTGTAAGATCAACATTGAGGGCGCCATCAAATCGCAGGGATGCGGTGATGGACGAGACAATCTGAGCCATCAAACGGTTTAGATTGGTGTAGGTGGGACGTTCGATGTCGAGGTTGCGGCGGCAGATATCGTAGACGGCTTCATTGTCGACCATGAAGGCACAGTCGGAGTGCTCCAGGGTAGTGTGTGTGGTCAAGATGGAATTGTATGGCTCAACAACAGCGGTGGAAACCTGAGGAGCTGGGTAGATGGCGAACTCTAACTTGGACTTCTTTCCATAATCTACGGAGAGACGCTCCATGAGCAGCGATGTGAACCCGGAGCCGGTGCCGCCGCCGAAGCTGTGGAACAGGAGGAAACCCTGTAGTCCCGTGCATTGATCCGCAAGTTTCCTGATTCGGTCGAGAACAATATCGATTATTTCCTTTCCGACGGTGTAGTGACCACGGGCGTAGTTGTTGGCAGCATCCTCTTTGCCAGTGATCAGCTGCTCAGGATGAAAGAGCTGTCGGTAAGTTCCGGTCCGGACTTCATCTACAATGACGAAAAATGGCATGATGATTTACTAAGGTGTCCATGTTCAATCCTAGAATAAATGTCGTTTAACATTCTATATAGCAAGAGATATATATTTTAATTAAACCTCTTGGGATCGTAAGGAATTGATGGATTGGAAATACAATCAGACATTAAAAGGAGAGGTAGTTAAATATCAGATTTGCACCTCCATATAGGCACATCTACTCGAATATGGCCCAAACGATTTGTAAGTGTTTCAACGATGAAATGTAAACTCCCGGACAAACTCAAAATCATTACAAAAGATCCCGTATATTATGCATACCGACTACGGTTGGTTCGAGATCGACGAAGACGGCACGGGGCACGTGCTTGCCAGCTCCAGTCTCACTGAAGAAGGTGTTGAAGGAATCATCACCACCTCCAATGGTCTTGTCTGAGGGCATCTGGCCATCAGGCTGGATGCCGTGCTCCAGGCAGTACAACTCCCAGCAGGCATTACCGATCTGAACTCCGGCTTGGCCGATGTGGACTGAGATACATTCACGCTGGAGAAATAAAGAAAGAAAAAAGGATTTAACCATAAAGCTAACATGAAATGCCCCTTTGAAATTGAATATGCACTTTATATGATCCCTTTTCCCCTTCATAGAGGTATCGTTGTATTGTGGATATATCACCAGACTGTGCATATCATGGTTCACGGTTCGAGTCCCACCGCGGTACTAATATCCTTTAGAAAGCCATTAATCTACATTTGGCACTCCCCACCAAGATGTTAAATGGGTACCCTATAGAATGCGAGCGCTAATGTGGTTGGATTGGCAATCGATTCCAATGACCGGGGTAATAATAAGTCCTTCGCATTGTTATAGAAACTTTCTTGGGTACATGAATAATATGTTGAGGAATTATGAGAATGAGTGTGTATCAATACAATCCTTGTTATTTGTTCATAGTTGAACCATTACAGCTTTTAATTCTTCCCCGCTCAATTTAACATTTTATACCATTGATGTAAAATTAGAAATGTCTAAGTAGAAAACAACTGTGTTGTCTTAAAACTTAATTCTATTAAATTACAAAGAGCAAAAATGCTCTCAAATGTTTCATCGTGTTCACATAAATAAATTAAATTCAACGCTGCCTTTGATACAAATAATTTTTTGAAAACAGAAGGAAAGTAAAATCGTTCGATTGTTATTCCGTACAGTAATAGGTTTTGGTGCAGCTACTAAGCAATATTAATATGTTGGTAAAGTTGTCGTATTTCGACTGTATATAGAGTACCTAACATAACATTTAGATGGTAATTCTAAGCCGTTTACAACACTACACTAATGCAAACTATAGGAGGTTATTGACCAGTCACTTTGGCAAATATTTGCGGACCATGACTCTGGAAGCAAAAATAATCTTGAACCACTGCAAAGCAGAGATTGTTCTTCGTCACGGGGAAGCTGGTGGAAGACGCAAATGTATTTTTTCTAGCCTTAATTCCCTATATCATATGTTGTAGAAACAATGCCAAACGAAATTGAAGGATTTGTTGTGTTTTGTTTGTAAAGAAGCGATACCACGAGGATTTTCTTAGACATTTTAACTGTTATTTTATGAAGTAAAACAGAATAATAATGTTGGGCTGACTTTAAAGAAAATGATACCTCACCGATCGTCTTAGTAATAGAATAACATTTCACCAGCAACTATTTTAAAAGTAAAACAAATAACCTGAGTTTTGTTAGATAAGAAAGATATCTCACGGATTGTTTAAATCAGTGTAGCGTATTTCGCATCAGCTGCTAAATTATAGTTTTGAAGCATATAGAAAAGGCCAGAAAGTATACCGCTTTCCCAATTGAAACATGCATTAATCTATACATGTTTAGCAGGAGTAACTGGAATAAATAAGCAAGTTTTCTTGAGTGAAATCTAATCCATTCGCATTCCATAAAAATCAAACGCATATACAATTATGGCCAATACTTGTTATCAATTTTAAAGCGTGAGAGTCAGTAAACAAACAAAACTATTAAAGTTTGGGTAATGGGTTTACAGTACCTCCGGAGAAACTACCGTGCCCCTGTTTAATATAAATTTTCGGATACGCCACTTTGATGCCTTTCAAATTAGCTATCTAGCAGTATACATTATGAATTACATTAACGCTACGACTTGATATATATTACTTTATTGAAACAAAATTACTCTAATTCGTTCCGACAAATCGAATAAGTTGAGACACGGTGGCGGATAAATATCACATACCGCTCTATCTCCTTGAACTTAATTGAAATTAATCAGATTGCGGAGAGCTGATATAAGACTTGACACGGGCAACATGCACAGCAGGCAGGTATATCAAGAAGAAATATCATTGCTCAAGGGGTTTTCAAAAGTGTACCTGGGAAAATAACGCAGAGACCATATAATATTCTTAATATTCTTGACATTTTACCACGCTCAGAGTTATTATTGGTTCTTCAGACATTAAGATATTATTTTTCAGCTTCTATTTCATTCCAATGTTTCGCGTGACAAATAAAGGAATTGTTAAAGGTTTTAACAACAGGTGTGTCGAAATAAAGAAATGAAGATGTCTATCAATTGCGAAAATCTTCAAAAGCAAACATAACGTCTTTCGTAATAGATCATTATCAATACCTGAATACACAACCCCTTAACCCCAAAACGCCTTCTCTTAACTCCCTTGTCCACCTTGTAATATCGCCGTCCATACCCGTTTTGCAATCACTTAATTGGTTATCATGGTTATTGATCACCAGATGCTTTGGACTTTGATCTTATGACATTTGGGTTGTAGACACGGTTGCCAAGCTATACTAACTGCTGTTGGTTTAAACAGAAACTCTTCCCAATCCAGATGTGCAATACAGTGGGGGAAGTAGAAATGGCGCACAAGTGTTTAAGATGAGAAATCGTTCACCAGGAAGCAGATTTTGGACAGAAGATGAAATCATATTCAAGATATGCATCAACATTTTTTGATAGCGACATGCATAACCATACTGACGAGAGTATAGTCAGGAGCTCGAATCTCCCCTCTATAAACAAAAATTGTTCTTTCTACAAAACATTATCATGCATGCATTTGAATTCATATAACCATTGACCTACATGTACTACGATATAACACGTGACATGTACAAGACTCTTTTTCAAATAAGGATGAAATTCTGAAGGAAAAAAAATCACATGTCGATCGATGACAAGAAAACGAGTGAATAGAGTACTATTAGAAAATAAAATTGTGTGAACAAATACCTTAACTTGCAATAGAATTGGATTGGAGTTTGTGAGAGAGATCGACAGCAGATTTCAACCATCAGATCTATTTCAAATTAAGGCTGAATGTTGTATTATTCGGAATTAAGGGCGATACCAAGTTAAATTAAGTTAAATGTCCTAAATATAGATAGATAATTCAGTAGAAATACACTGTTGTGTTAAAGGTATATAATCACTAGAAGATTTAAAACGCAATAAGATTTGAAACTTACCATGATTGGTTTTCGGGATGAAGATATATTTGCTGCTGCTGTGCTTTGCGATGTAACAAGCAGACGGCTGTACTATCGAATGAAGATATCTGACGACTTACCAAGCTTTAAATACGAAGCACCTCAAACGAAGCACCGCAAACGTGGCGCGAAAGATAGGAGGTCAAAATTAATGTTTAGTTGTCATTTGCAGACCTTTTTGTCCTGTGCTCGCATCCTTTAGATTATTCATGTATGCTGAATTATAATACATTATTATCCCCTCTATTTCTACCTAAGTTTGATTATCAATTATGTATCGCTCACTCTCTGTCCACTTAGTTTATGTACCGTTAAACTAATTTAATCATATACAGGGGCGGATCTAGCTTTTTTCTAAGGGGAGGGTTTGACCAAAATAATGACGATGCAGAGCATCGTCCACGAGCCGATGTTTTTGGGGGTGTTTATTTGAACTCCGTAAGTGATGTTTTCCTGGCATCTATTAACACAATGGAGACCATAAAAAGCAGTGCATGATAACGTCTTTTTAAATCAATTAACAGTTTAATACACAGTTATATCCAGAGTTATCATGTGTTTGGTTAAGTGACCAGATGAGTTGAATATCTTCTCACAATATTTGCTCTTGAAAGGGTTTCTCTCCAGCGTGCGTTCTTTTCTTTCTTTTTTTTCTTTTTCCCCCCTTTTTTGGGGGGGGGGGGGGGTGGCCGCCCAAGGGGGGGGGGGGTTTAAACCCCTAACCCCCGTAGATCCGCGCCTGATATAACCTCCCCCTTGCTTTCTCGCCCCCTCTCCTCCACTCTTCCTTAACCAGAATGGAATCATGGATTGATGGAAGAAAAAAATGAAGGAAAAAGAAGACTCTCAGAATAACTCGAAATATTGTTTAGATTTACGTTTCGCAGCATTAGTCCCAGAACATTATATCTTTGTTCTGCCAACACTGTTCATTCAAGTTGGTATAGTAAATCGGAATAAAGCATATGAATCAATAAATCACTATCATATAGTGTTTTTTTGCACGTTTAATACGCAGGATATCTTTAAATCTTCAACAAAATATTGGTTAAAAATTGTTAAAGGCAAAAGTTGCTTGTTCAAATATTCAAACATGGCAAAACTGAAAACTCGTTGGACAATTGGAGATTGAACGTCCTTCTTGAATGTGTATATTTTCATTGTAACATCGATAATCAGTTGCCTTTTTGGAAAATTGCCTTCTTGAAATTAGGTCTTACAAATAAGACTTCTCTCAGTAACGGTCTTCTTGTAAACTTTGAACTAAACAATAGAAGCGTGTATTTGTTTTACGAAGTGACACACCTAATCGTTCGATAAGAACCATATCAGTTTTATTATATAATACTGATTCTTCAAAGATGAGTTAAATATTAACAGTTTAGACGCAAGATGGCCTTATATTTCAACCATTCTAGCTCTATAATATATGTGTTCCTAAAGGCGCAAAAAGCTTGTCAGTTTCTTTTAGTGGATTTCCACTAATTATTTATCCCCAATCTATCTCCCCCAAAAGTAAGTTTCAAGGATTGCATCTAATTTTAAATTTTACACGAACCCAATGGCATGTGATTATATAATCGTCAACATAATATTTCCTTTTATATTTCTGTTGACACTCGAACTGTATTGTCACACTTCTTTTGGAATTGAAGTAGGCGAAAGTTTTTGTCCGGGGTCAGCTCTCTGGGTGTATGTGCCCTAAGGGTAGTTTTTCAGAGGTGACTACTTAATAGATCTTATCCATAGCCAGGGGCGGCGGTTTCTTTTCATGACCGGGGGGACGAAATGCGAGGGACGACGGAGCAATGGCATAATGGGCAAAAACGTTTGGGAGGGGTAGAACAAAATCCGCATCACCACCACTCTAACATATTACGCAGGCCCTGGGAACAGTTTTCAAAGTGGGGGAGGGGGGGGGGTGGGGGCGGTTTAAATATTTAACGATCAGGTAGAGCAAAGCAAAGCAAAGAGGAGCGTACATATGCGTGGGGTCCAGGGGCAAGGCCCCGGCGGGTGTCAGGGACGGAGCCTTATGAAGCTCAGGGATTTAAGGCTTTTATTACGGTCAGATGAGCATCCTGGGGGTGGAGCCCCCAAGACCATACTTTGAAAAAAGTGCATTCTTGATGCTTGATTTACAGTGTGATAAATACAACTGGGGGAGCATGTTTAGGAAGCTGCTCCAATTCCTACGAGATCTTATTTATAGGATTTTGATAGGGTATGGAAGGTAGGCATAAGTAAGTGGTGCTAACAACAGATGAGAAGGGCAACAATCATTTAAGAAAAGAGCAATTTGGGGGGTACTTGAAAAAAATCACGGAGAACTGTGTCCCCTCGCCAAATGCTCCGGGGATGCCCCCTTTGGCGTAGTCCTATATAGGTAATGGAAATGCTTTATCTCCAAATTTTCATGAAAAACACGTCATTACGTCAGTGATTTAGGGATTTTAATAGTCTTAATGCAGATGAGTAGAAGTCGAAAGGTTTGATAGCCATATTCGGGATCGATTCTTTGGATTTTAAACCTCTCTTGAATAACCCTATTGAAAGTATAGCTTCCATAACTTTTAGTGAATTTCCACTAATTATTTATCCCCAATCTATCTCCACCAAAAGTAAGTTTCAAGGATTGCATCTAATTTTAAATTTTACAAGAACCCAATGGCATGTGATTATAGATATTTCCTTTTATATTTCTGTTGACACTCGATCTGTATTGTCACACTTCTTTTGTATATTGGGCTTTGCGTTTACAAAGACCAAAGTCCAATTTCACGAGAGTACATACTACATCGCCACGTACAATACATGTTACATGTTAAGAATACTTTGCGTTGCGACTTGTTCATATTCATAAAGCTTCATTCATACTTTCTTCAGTCCTTATCCAACATACACTGGAGACATATATTTTGAAATACACAACTGAAAAGAAAGGAATTTATTTTGTTTATATCCTGAGTGGTATACATACATATAGCATAATTTTGTAATCCGGAATCAGTTCTGCATCACAGCTGTGTGCAGTACAGATAACTTGCTAATTTCAAGATTATGAAAATAGTATAACTTGCTTTCTGTATTGCAAGTACAATATTGATACGAATTTATAAGACTAAAATACGAAAAGGAAGGAGTGATTTCATGGAGGATACTCAATAGATTCAACATTTCGTGTAAATTGTAGAAAATTGATAAAAGTATCGCTTTTCAACCCTGGACTACTATCCCTAGGACAAGTAACTCATGAGACAATATACTCAGGTGGAATTGAAGTAGGTGAAAGTTTTTGTCCGGGGTCAACTCTCTGGGTGTATGTGCCCTAATGGTAGTTTTTTCAGAGGTGACTACTTAATAGATCTTATCCATAGCCAGGGCGGCGGGTTCTTTTCATGACCGGGGGGACGAAATGCGAGGGACGACGGAGCAATGGCATAATGGGCAAAAACGTTTGGGAGGGGTAGAACAAAATCCGCATCACCACCACTCTTACATGCTACGCAGGCCCTGGGAACGTTTTTCAAAGTGTGTGTGGGGGGGGGGGCGGTGGCGGGTTAAAGTATTTAACGATTAGGTAGAGCAAAGCAAAGTGGATCGTACATTGGCGTGGGGGCCAGGGGCAAAGCCCCGGCGGGTGTCAAGGGAAGGAGCCTTATGAAGCTCAGGGGTTTTAGACTTTTATTACGGTCAGATAAGCATCCTGGGGGTAGAGCCCCCTGAAGCTCAGGCGTTCTAGGCATTTAATTTCGGTCAGATGAGCAACCAGGGCCCGACTTAGGGCCCTTAGTGGGGTCTAGGGCACCCGGTAGGTCAGTTAAAAATCATGCAATTTATACAACATTTTAAAATCACTGGTATCGAATTAGAAATAAACCACGTTTAAATTTCATTTGGGAGGGAACTGCCCTAAAAGCCCCCCGCCTCTATCAGTACGCAAATGTAAGGGAGCATAGTGAATGAGAGGGGTGAAGGTGACGGAAGTGACTACCCCTTCAAAGGTTTCTGAAGATCTGTTGTATTACAAAATTATATTCCTTAGCAAAACTATAGTATAAACGTTAGTAATATACTTTTTTCACCCTTCAATTTTCTTGGTTTTTACTTGTACATTTTGAAGGATATTATGCGAGGAAGCGTAGCTACCCAGTGAGAAGATTTTTTGCATTTTTATTTGTTTAAAACGCTGCACTCTTGGCCCCTCCACAGCCTAAAAGTGTGTTGCAGTCTTTAGTCAGTATTTGCTACACATTTTTTGTGTGTAATTTTTCAAATTTTGAGGGGAGGGGGACGATCCTCCCTAAAGAAATCGAGGGGGACGTGTCCCCCCGTCCCCCCCCCCCCCGGGATCGCCGCCCCTGTCGCATAATCATATAGCTCAGTTTAGTCTCATTTCACAACGCCCCCTATCGTCAGAGTCAGCAGCCATACATGTTAGCCTATGGAATTGTACAAAAACAAATCGTTAAACAAAAAAACGAAAAAAAAAAAAATGTTTTTGGTTTAAACGAAAAGCACATCCACCCCGACTTACGTTATCACTAGCTCTTTCATTGGAACCCTCATGTCCTATTGACTGTTGAAAGTTTACCCACCGCATTTTGATCAAAATAGGTTGCAAGCTCGTCATTGCCTATAATAAACATGTGAAACAAGTCGAACTTTGGACTCAGTTCGCCAAGCGATTTTAAGATTATAGGTCAAGCACACGAAGGATAAGAAGCATGAATTATCATAGATCACTTCTGTTTAGTTCATTATGTCCATTTCATCCAACCCCCACCGTCATTTTTCCATTTAGTAAAAGCAAACATTTTGCCGAGGTAAGCAAAATCATGAATATTCATGAACGGTCAGACAATACAGCCTTTTAGTACGTAACGTATAGTGAATGGGAATGGGCGATGATCCAGGAGGTAGAGGTCAGTGGTTTGTGCTGGCAACGTTCCAGCGGGCGAAAATGACACAATCGGAGCAATATGATCCTCTAAAATGTACTAGTAATTATCGCATTTCGTCCCCCAGTCAGGAATAGAATTCGCCGCCCCTGTCAATAACTTAATATCTGT